CAATGCACACGTGTTTGTTGTATTGTGATGTTAAAATAATGATGTGTATATGGGTGAGCAGTGATATTGGCCTGTGTCGTACAAAGTACAAAGTATCATTTTGAGTGTCAACTAAAAATGGGGTTTTGGAGCGCATGTACGACAGGGAGCAGAGCAGTCGCCACCAGGCTTGCGAGTGGACGGTGCTAGACGTTTTGACCTTGGTTAAACAGTTTGCCCTCAGCTGGCCTTTCAGGTCTTTGCCGCTGAGTTTCCGTGCGCAGTTAGGAAGGCGCTGACTTTTGCGTAGTTGCAGACAGTTCTTAAGTATGGCTGCAGCTGTAGGTAGGCGAGCCTTTTTGGAGGCTAAATTAGCTGATATTAACCAAGAGCTAGCAGAGCTAGGTTTGACCGAAGCAGACCGAGCTCAGGTCCGCGAGTACAATTGGGCGGTAGAGCAAGCCGAACAAGCGTATCAGGCAGCCATGGCTCCAGTGGGACTTACCAGGCCTAGCCGTGGCAGCGCGGTAGCAGTTAGCACCTGGCAGGAAGCCCATCAGCGGGCCAATTCAAACAGAAACGCTAAACGGAGGCAGGCTCGCGAGACGCACAGGCGCGGTTATGAGTTGCTATCACGTTACCAGTCTTGGGAACAGCTTCGCAATCAGGGGACAGCTCTGCAAGAAGAATTGGCCGCGCTCCCAGGGCCCAGCAACGCAGCGGCCGGAGCAGCGCCGGCTCACATCCACAACGCCGAAGCAGAGGCACCGGAGGAAATTGACAATGGTGAGAACGGGGCGGAGCAACGGCCAGGAGGGTCCAGGGGCCGGCGGGCAACAGCGGCTCGCGTTCGGGCAGACAGGGGACGGGGGGGCACTCGTGCAGTCCGGGAGGCTTTCCAGGCGACCCCCGGCCGTCAGATAAGCCACCGGCACGCCACCACTGCTTCACCTAACGCGCCTGACCCCGAGACCTTGGGCGTAACTGGTCACCTAGATGCTCTTGCTGAAGATTTCCTTGCCACCCAAGCAACGCCACTGCAGCACACCGGCCCTCCCGCCATGCCCGGTACGGGGTCGCCGGCAATCGCAAGGGCAGCGCCGGCGAGGGACGTGGGTGTGGCACCCAGCGCCGTATCCGTCCCACCGACAGCGGTTGTACGGGCTCTCGATCGCCTTGAGAACGCAGGCTTGAGCGATGCAGCTCGCAAAGTACGGCGCCTCGCGAGCCTGGAGCTGGCAAGACGGGAAATCAGGGAGCCTGTATCCGCTGACGAGGCAGCGGAAGTCTGGAGGACGGTGCTAGAGCGGCAGCTGGCGGCTCTGCAGGACGAAGAAGACAGCGAACAGCACCAGCCTCAGCGCCAGCAACGGCAGCAGCAGCAATTGCCGCAAGACCGGCGGCCGGCAGTCGCCACCCTGCAGAACGACCAACGGCACCCTGCCATAGGGAGCGCACGCTGGAGTGCCGGCCTGAACCTACAGGGCCTTCCCGGCAGCAGCAGGCTGCAAGCATTTGGGGCAGCGTCAGCAGGCCTGGGAGGCCTAGGGGGACTGGGCCTCACGCTGGGGGGCAGTGGCGGGGACTTAAACAGCAACTCTTCAGTGCTGGGCCTCGGCCACCTACCCCTCGGCTCAGCACCGCCGTCCGCTCTGGGCCCCCTGGCGGCAACCGTTCAGCGTGAAGGGGCCTGGGCAGACGTGTTCGACCGCATCCCAGGCCTCAGCAGCCTGGTCTCGCTGGCGGACGTCAGCTTCGCATCCCGGGACCAGGCGACCTTCACGCACAAGGCAGACAGTCCGCTCCCTGCAGCATCTCGCGTCCCAGCTGGAAGCGGCCAAACACTGCGCATCCTCTTCGGAGGAGCTCTCGCTGCTCTTGGCCAAGGCCGCGCAGGTGTGGGAGGAGGCTTTTCGTACACAAGAGGTCCTCCGGCAGGTGCAGAATGCAGCCCGTGTCCTGCCCTTCAAGGACGTCATGGACGTATTCAGCAAGGGCTCTCCCCTCACACAGCAGTTCCTAGCCGCCCTGTCGCAATTTACGGACAGCCAGCGCCAGCACCTCTTCGGGAAGTTCGCCTCAGCCGCCGCTCCCGCGGCGGCTTACCCGCCGCCCCCGCCTCTTCCACTCCCGCCGGCCCCAGCACAGCCCCGTGCCCCACGCGACAACGGCTGCTTCTACTGCAAGAGGCCCGGACACAGCTACCGCGGCTGCCGAGAGTTGCGGTCGCTGGAACCTGGGGCCCAAACGGCAGCACTCGCAGAATGCGCCAAGCAGGAGCAGGCAGCCCGCCGGCCGGCTTAGGACGCGGCAGCGTCAGCTGGGGGCGAGGTCGCCCCGGCGCCAACGGCGCCCCCCCTCCATCCAGCCGCCGGCAGTACAGCCGGCGGTGGGGCAGCTGACGCAAATACGGCAGGGATGGAGACACCAGAAGGTAAGCGTGTACGCGACCTACGGCGGACTGGGGCCCTGCGCGGGTGACAAGCAATGTGCTGTTGCGTGTGTCCATGTGGCGCGACCCTGCCCGAGGGGAGAAGGGCCTGCCTGCGTCTACCTGCTGTCTAGTCTGTGGTGTACGCGACCTACGGCGGACTGGGGCCCTGCGCGGGTGACAAGCAATGTGCTGTTGCGTGTGTCCATGTGGCGCGACCCTGCCCGAGGGGAGAAGGGCCTGCCTGCGTCTACCTGCCGTCTAGTCTGTGGTGTACGCGACCTACGGCGGACTGGGGCCCTGCGCGGGTGACAAGCAACGTGCCGTTGCGTGTGTCCTTGTGGCGTTACCCTGCCCGAGGGGAGAAGGGCCTGCCTGCGTCCACCTGCTGTCTAGTCTGTGGTGTACGCGACCTACGGCGGACTGGGGCCCTGCGCGGGTGACAAGCAATGTGCTGTTGCGTGTGTCCATGTGGCGTGACCCTACCCGAGGGGAGAAGGGCCTGCCTGCGTCCACCTGCTGTCTAGTCTGTGGTGTACGCGACCTACGGCGGACTGGGGCCTTGCGCGGGTGACAAGCAATATGCCGTGGCATGCACCGGGGTCGTGTGGCTCTGCCTGAAGGAAGAAGGGCCTGACGGTGTTCGCATGTGGTTCAATCGGTGGTGTACGCGACCTACGGCGAACGGGGGCCCTGCGAGGGTGAACACCCAAAGCGTAACCTTGACCTGTGCCTCATGCAGTTTTGTGGATGCCTGACTCGGCGGCGGAAACGCCGTCGGCCGGCCGCTGGTTCGGCCCAGGGGGCGTGAAGCTTAATACGGCCGCGTGGCAGCGTCACGGCATCGACACGCCTGCGTCCCGTAACGAAGCCAGCTGGACCTTCCACACCACGCCGCCAACCTCGCACCACTTGCGCAACTACCCATCCGTGCGCGAACACAGCGAATGGTACGCCAGCCACATTGACGAGTTACTGCGCCAGGGCCTGGTGGAGGCGTACGACAGCAAGCAGCATGGCCCCCTGCGCAACTTTGCAGCCACTATCAACCCACTGCATGTTGTCAGCAAGGCGGATGGCAACCTGCGCCCGATCATCGACCCTACCGCTTCGGGGGTGAACGACTGCATGACCAAGCTCCCCTGCCCGCTGCCCGACCTCGCCTCAATTCTGGAGCATTTGCCGTTCCAAGGGGCGCTAGGCAAACGGGACCTCGCATCTGGTTTCCACCACATCAAGTGCAGCCCGGAAGCACGCCGGTACATGGCCTTTAGGCATCCCACCACGGAGGCAGTCCTGCGTTGGGTGGTGCTACCCTTCGGCGCCAGCCAATCGCCCCCAATCTTTGTGGAGTTAACCAACGCCGCGTGTGCCATCTTCCAAGCGGAGTGCGACCGGCGGGGGCTACGGGTCAAGCTCTTCTGCTTCGTCGACGACTACATCATCCTAGGGGTGACCCATGCAGACGTCGTTGGCGCCTTCGCGGTCATGGACGAAATAGGTGGCGAGCTGGGGCTGGAGTGGAAGACCAGCAAGGACCGCGGACGAAACGAGCACCTGCGGCAGCTCGACTTCCTGGGTATGCTGTTCGACACCGAGAAGATGGAGATGCGCATCTCGCCGGACAAGCGGCAGCGCTACGCGGCGGACGTGCGCGCCCTCCTGGACGCGGCAGCTACCGGACCAGTGCAGCGGCACCTCCTGGAGTCCACCGTCGGCCGCTTAACGTTCATAGCCCGGGCATGCCGCTGGGGTTTCACGTTCATGCAGGGCCTCTACGACAGCCTCTTCTGCCCCACCCGCCCGCCGGCCACTGTCGGCCTGGCGGCGGACGCAGTAGAAGACCTGGCTTTCTGGTGGCAGGTGCTACGGGCGGATTCCTCTGTCTGGGACGGGGTAAAGCGCTCAGCGGGCATCGGTTTGGACCTAGTGAGGGGGGAGTTTATCGGCCAGAATGGGGCCGTCCTCTTCACGGACGCTAGTGGGCGTGGGTTTGGCGCAGTCTGGGGGGAGGCGGAGGTGCAAGGGGCATGGTCAGAGGAGGAGCGTCAGCTGCACATCTCGTGGCTGGAGCTCAAGGCGGTCCTCAGAGCGCTGCAGTCATGGGCCGCCAGCCTTGCCGGGCGCCGGGTGCTGGTGCGTTGTGACAACACCCAAGCCGTAGCAGCCATCAACCACGGCTCCACCCGCATCCCAGAGGGCCGCAGCCTTAGCCGCCAAATTGCAGAGCTTGCGATTAGCTCAGGGTTCGAGGTCCGGGCTGAGCACATTCCCGGCGTGGACAACGGCCAGGCCGACCGCCTCAGCCGCCGCCTTGACAGCGCCCAGGATCAGAACCTGCGGCTGAAGGCCAGCATCTTCAGGGAGCTATGCCGCAAGTTCTCTCTCCGGCCCACCGTCGACTGCTGCTGCGACGCCCATGGCTCCAACCGGCAGCCCGGCTGTGAGGTGTTCTACAGCGCGGGGCGGTCGGTGCTTGGCCAGGAGGCCGAGCTGGCGGGCAAGGCGCTGTGGGCCTTCCCACCCCAGGCCCTGGTGGGGGAGGTGCTAGCGACCCTCGTGGCAGCGGCACGGCGTGACTCGCGGACGCGGGCGGTTGTGGTGGTGCCTTTCTGGCCGGAGCGGGGGTGGTTCCGGGCCTTCGTCCGTAGCCGATCCGCACCATTCCGGGTCGCCCAGGTGCTGCCCAGGGGCGGCCGCCTCTGCGTTTGGCCCTGGGGCGACGAGGCGGGTCCTTCTCCTTACGATATGCTGGTCTTACGCCTGCCCTGACCGAATTCCGATCCGCGTTTGCGCCCCCATGGCGATTGTAGAGGGTGGCGGGAGCTGCGAGGCCTGCGTGCGGCGCACCTCCGTGGGGACTTGCGCTGTGAGACATGCGACATACGGGCACATCGCCGCTGCCTGGGACTGCCGCCGGGCTCGTACCCCGGCGGCTGGTTCCGCTGCATCCACTGCATCCTGGCGGCGGCGGGTTTTCCGGCAGGGGCTGCGGGCGGTCGGCAGGAGGCACTCGCGGCGAGGCTGGTGGCGCTAGCGGGAAGCGCCGTGTCGGCGGGTTCAGCAGGGACGTACGAATCCCATCGCCGCCGCTACGCGGCCTTCTGCGCTGCTCTGGGCTTACCCATGAGGGCGGCTTTCCCACCTGCGCGGGGCGCGGACCTCAGCCCCGAGCTGGTGAGCCTGTTCATCGCCCATGAGGCCGACCGTGTGGCCCCCTCAACGTTGTCAGGCACCATTAGCGCCCTTGCGGACTGGCAGCGCGCGAAGGGTTTTCCGGCGGAGGCCTCCATCCGCCGGAACCCATTGGTGCAACGCACGCTGAGGCAGGCGTGGCGTGCCCGGGCGCCGGCGGCAGCCGCCACAGCTGGCGGCGATGCAGGGGCCGAGCCGCTGCCGCAACGTACGAAGGAGGCGTTCCCGGTGCCGCTTCTGCGGCTCCTATTGGGCTGGCTGGCAGCGACGGCGGACGGGGCGCCAGCGCGCCGAGCGGAGCTCGAGCAGGATGCGTGTTGGCTGGTGGTGGGTTTCTTTGGGATGCTGCGGAGAAGTGAGCTGGCGGGGCTGCGGCTAGGTGACGTGCATTCGCTGACTGGTGGGGTTCACGTGGTGCGGATAACGAGGAGCAAGACCGATCAGGTTGGGGCAGGGGTGGATGTGCACCTGGGGGCATCGTCTGGCAGCGGAGTACGCATCGGGCGCATTATAGGGCGCCACCTAGAGCGGGCCCGCTCAGGGGGGGCGGAGCCCAGCGCGCCGCTCTTCACGCGGGGCCCCCAGTGGGGACCGGGGTCGGAGGCTTGGCGGAAGGAGGGGTTTACGCGTAGGCTTAGGGCGCTCTTAGGAGAGATGCAGCGCGCCCTGCCACAAATAGCCGGGCGGGTACCAGATTACGCGTCCCACAGCCTGAGAAGGGGGGGAGCCACGGCTGCAGCGGAAGGGGGGGCCTCTGGAGAGCAGATCAAGGCGCACGGGAGGTGGCGGTCGGAGGCGGTGAGCGCGTATATCCTCCCCTCCGCGGCGGCTAAGGCCCGCATTGTGGGGTGCATGTGAGGTGACGAGGCGTGCGGTGGGTGACAGGGTAAGGGGGGTCCTCTCTAGGCGTGCATGCATGCGGAAGCGCGCCTAGAGCCTAATACGCCGGGGCGGGTTTTGGGGGCTAGAGCCCATCCGCGCCCGGCTGTTGGTTTTCCCCCTCTCCTGTTGTTCCCCGGAGAGGGTAGGGTGAGGTATCGGCTAGGTAGCAAACTTGGTTAGTTACAGAGTTGGGTCTCTTAGACGCTGTTCGGAGTCTGGGCCCGCAGGCCAGGTCCCAGGCGGTGTAAGGTGATGAGGGGTGCGACTCCTCTGGCACTGGAGTGTGTGCGACAAAAGTATCATTTTGAGTGTCAACTAAAAATGGGGTTTTGGAGCGCATGTACGACAGGGAGCAGAGCAGTCGCCACCAGGCTTGCGAGTGGACGGTGCTAGACGTTTTGACCTTGGTTAAACAGTTTGCCCTCAGCTGGCCTTTCAGGTCTTTGCCGCTGAGTTTCCGTGCGCAGTTAGGAAGGCGCTGACTTTTGCGTAGTTGCAGACAGTTCTTAAGTATGGCTGCAGCTGTAGGTAGGCGAGCCTTTTGTTCCCCACCCTCCCACCCCTACTCTCTCCGGGGTCCTCTCAAAGTTACAAAAAAAGAGGCAAGAGTGCTCCTACCCCCGTCGGGAGTCTGAGGTCGTACAGGGCCTCCTTGGCGCGTGCTGCGCTCGCTGTGCTCAGAAGCGTGGTATGAAACATCTTGGAAAGAATGAAATTATTTATGCCACATATTTCTATCTAAGTGCAGCCCATTTGGTATCCACCTCGCAATCTACCCAGCACAAGGCTTAACATAAGTAATTGTCCTTAACCTTATGCAATGAAGTTATAATAACATGTAACCAAACATAGTGATTCAGATGTTAGTGTAGGTCTCCTAGTAGCTGAACACTCCGACGATGAAGCCGAAGCATTCCTTCGCGCTGCTCTCGGGTCAGATAGCAGCGGCGGTTATGAGTCTGGGCATGGGAAAAACACCCTCGTTATTGTCTTAAAGAGTACTTTCCGAATATGCGCTGACCTGAAATCACGATTCCGGACCCCCCTCCGGCACATGCCTCTAGCCCTACCCTTGAGCCCCCTCCAAGTGCATGCCCGCTTTTTCCGTCGCGTGTAGCATCACAACCCGAATGAGTCTGGGCATGGGAAAAACACCCTCGTTATTGTCTTAAAGAGTACTTTCCGAATATGCGCTGACCTGAAATCACGATTCCGGACCCCCCTCCGGCACATGCCTCTAGCCCTACCCTTGAGCCCCCTCCAAGTGCATGCCCGCTTTTTCCCTCGCGTGTAGCATCACAACCCGAATGAGTCTGGGCATGGGAAAAACACCATCGTTATTGTCTTAAAGAGTACTTTCCGGGCGGTGCAGCACCCAGCTCTCAGCTGCCGCCAGCACCTCGTGTGCAGAAGGGGCAGGAGACGCGCAACGAAGCCAGGGCCACGGCACAACCCAGGGCATCAGGCAGCAGCCGAGCAGGACTTAGCAGCAACAGGGGCATACGCTGTGCCTGCTGCATCCGACCCAGCCCCATCCTACTCATCAGAGGCATTCGTATTCAAGTCCTTCACTTCATGCGAGAATGTTTTGTCAGCAGCCATGCAGTTGGTGCCTGAAACTCAGAAACGTAAACTTAATCCGTGCCCAGTACACGCTGTTGTCTCCGTCCGTGCTGGAGTGTTCAGCAGCACTTGCCATATGTTTGCGGCACATAACGCCTGCGTGCACTCTGTTGCGGCAGACGTATACAAGCAGTGGCATGGTACCTCAACCCCAGCGTCCAACAGCTTGCAAGGCGAGGGTATGGAGCCAACAGAGACAGGGCTCCAGCCAAACAGCAGCTGAAAAAAGGCCTGTGGAGAAGGTGGTTCGAGAGGTTGCCTCTCGCCTATCAGTTGATTCGCTCAAGTAAGGCTACCATACGCAGAGCATTCACAGCAGGCCGGAGGCCCCCCACGGAACGTATGTCAGCCACGCTTGCTGCTGGACGGAGGGAGGCTGAAGCCTTGCGGTTTCTTGTCGAGTCCTAAGACCGCTACAGAGGGCCGGCGGCTTTGCGTATGCCAGCTGCGTCTCCTGCTGCACCACCGCCGATGCCTCCCCATAGCAGTGAGGTGCGGGCTTTAGCTGGTATCGTTTCAACGCTGCTCGTGACCATCCACGCAGCACTATCGGGGGCTAGCAACCTATCAGCTGACGATGTAAAGGCAGTTGCTGAAACTATGTCTGCGTGGGCAGCTTGGGTTACCCAGCGCAGCGCTGCTGCTGCAGGAGGTGAAGCCCGCTCTGATGCAGCAGCTGAGGGGCCAAGTGGTCAGGGAGCGGGCACAGCAGGGGCTAATGCGGCTCAAGACACAGCACAGCAGCAGGGTGTTACAGATGTAAATATGCATGAGGAGCTTGTTCCAGCTGACGCGGTACGCACGCAAGGTGTAAGTAACGAACGACGTACCCATGCTAAACGCATGTATAGAAGGAACGCTGCAATTGGTGTCAAGCGGAGGCGTCAAGGGGATTCTAGTGATAGACAGGACGGGACTGACGGTGGTGTTGGGTATCTAAATACCTGCAGACGCGTTAGTCCTAGTACCGGCAAGGAAAGAGAAGGGAAAGGGAGGATCGTTGCCTATGGACATACGTGGCAAGCAGAAGAGGTCAGCACATATATATTGATAGTGTGCACAGATGCACAGATGTGAGACAGCAAGTATACAGGGCATCGCAAAGCCCTTAACAGCTTAATACTATCTATTAACTTCAGGACAACGTGGCACGAAACATACCTTGGGCGACTCAGGTCCTGTGGCTGCTGCTGCCGAAGAGCCGTCACATCCACTGCTGCCATCGCCCTTCATATTTGCACTACCAACAAGACTTTACCGCCTGTGGCACAAGCCATAAATACCGTTATCATATTAGGACTAAAGAAGATAAACATATCAAGCTTGCTAGCAATTTTCTGTAGGATGACACAGCATTGCACAGAAGTCCATTACGCTTACATTTAGATGAATTTTGGAATTCCCAGAGTAAAAGGGTGATACCAATAACTTATTTGAGTCAAAAGATAGAGAATGGCAGCGCAGCACGCGCCCTGGAGGCCCTGTACGACCTCAGACTCCCGACGGGGGTAGGGGCGCTGTACCAAAAAAGAGGCATTAAGCGCATGTCGATAGCTTGCTACACGTTGGTATCCGTTAGGTTGTTGTCGCGGTAAGGCCAGCAGCGTAGTTTAATAGGGCCGACACCAATGGCTTCGGTATTGCCTTCCTTACTCAATACACACAATGGCCAGGGAATGCAGGAAAACATATGAAGTTGAGGCTCTGTGTAAAGCAGCCGAGACTATTGCTTCTAGCGGACTGAAACTTACTGCCAAGCTATTGTATAACGAAGTGTGCTCCGACACGCGCTTGAAGGGCTTGACGTATAAACAAGCATTACAAACTATCGTGGCTACTGGGAAGGAAGCGTCGCCAAAGACATTGCTGCAGGAAATGGGGCGGCCCAGTATCACTGTAGGCATGGTGCGGAATCGACTGCGGAAGGAACAAAGTCAAAAAGATACGGTCGCTCATAGTGAACTGTTTGAAGGTAGCCACTGTTTCGCTGACGACATTGCTCCGTCGCACAAACGAAGGTGACAATGTTCCAAGCACTGCTCAAAAGGAGAGCGGTATGGGTACGTTGTTTATTATGAGTGCATTTCAGAAAAGGTGCTGGAGGAATGCTGCACCGAAGAGAGCGTACCACTGAATACTAGCCCAACATGCTCTGAATGCCACCCACAAACCCCTGCCCACATAGAAGAAGACAACTTTGGCGATGAGGCTCTGCCAGCATATGACAAACGCAGTGGAGTGCAGAGGTGCACCTACACTACAGTTGAAGCAGCAGAGGAAGCCTGCAGATCTCCATCCCCTCCCCTCCCCTGCCAAAGCTTGGCTCCCAAACTCAGCCTCTCTGGATGTTATAGCCTCCACGGTTCAATACACTTTTCCTATGCAAGCCATGCCACCGCCCTGTCCTCCCCACCCCTACTTTCCTGTTGCCTTACCTTTCCTCGCTTTCCTTTCACCACCAACCCTGTTCTTGCTTTCCTATCCCTTTCCCTGCCCACGCCATCCTTTAGCTTCCATGCCTTTATTGTTCTCTCCCCGTGACTCCCCTTGCCAACCCATTCCCACCCCATCCCTGTGCTCGAATGAGGGTGACAGCGAGGGCAACTGATACCTAGGACCGTGCGTCAGTTACTGTGCACGCCTATGATACCCTCGAGTTGCCAACGCAATTGCGACCCTGCTTAGCAAGACGGCTTGCCCCTGAGGGCCGCAGACGCCGGGCTTGCTGGTGCAATATGCCAATTCGCACTATCCAGGCATGCCCCTCGACGCTGTAAACGCCTCCCTCATATGACCCTACGCAGCCATCTGACCCTCCCAAACGGGACACCCATGCGCCACTCTCCTAAGCAGCCTCGTCAGCCCCCCAGCCCGCCACCTTACCCACCCAAGCATGACTCCCACACACCGCCATCATAAACAGCCGCGAAAACGCACCCAACCACCCCACCACACCGTAACCCCCCCATGCTACACACCCATTTGGGCAGGCCATGAGATCGCTTCGGTCTGGTAAGTTCCCACTGTAGGGTGAACCTAGATTTTGGCTATCAGCAGCTAGTTACATGTTATTATCGTCTTCGCCTTCGCATAGCTTGCCCCAGTGCAACCGTATTCAGAGAATGTCCAGTTCCCTTGCCGTTGTTGAATGCCCGATGCACTGCAGGCTGTTTGCACTCTTCTCTGTTTTGCTCACAGAATACGCTGGCGTACTCTACGACATGTCGCAGAGACTTGAGAAGGTGATAATGGGAACGTATGTTTGGGTCGGACGGATTGTTGGCATCGCAAGTTGGTGCGGTCTGTTCTTGTTTGCGCTAATCAGACGTCGCCCCGTGTTGCAGGTGCCGTACACCCATCGGCTGCATGAGGTTATCCCGCGGATGTTCCGTGCGCCACCGAGTGGCGAAGAGTACGTCCCGTTCCGGCCATCCGAGGAGTTCTTTGCTGTAAGGGGGTGTAGGTGTGAGGCTTTAGTCCGTTTTGGTTTGGCTCTATTTGGATCCCTTGCAATTTTCAAAGCATAGCCCTAATAGCCTCGGCTGGGGCCTTACTTCTTTATGGCTGAGCCCCTGGAAATGCAAGCGCCGCGACCACTGAGCAACCAGTGAATGGCAATCATACACCTAGTCTCTATTGCAACACAGTCCTCTGTGTTTCAACATGACCCCATCCATACATCACTCACTGCTTCCCCCCCCAGAACGCCAGGTCCATTGTGGGCTGGTGGAACCAGCTGCTCCCCGCCGACCACCCTGACGTGGTGCGAGTGCGGAGGGTGCTGCAGCAGCTGGCTGTTGCTGCTGCTGCGGGCCGGGGTGGGGGCCAGTACGACCACATGTGTGCTGACATGCCGTGGGAGGTGGCGGTGGTGGCGCCCATGGTTGGAGCCAGCGAGGAGCCGCTTAAGGGGCGGGAGGAGGAGCGCAAGCCACAGTTGCGTTCCTGTGTGCCCGCTGACGAGGCCTGGCTGGCATTCGACTACCCGACTTGCGTCTTCTCCTTCGGCGAGGCCTCAATGCACGAAGTACGTCGTTTAAGTTGCGCGAGGTCTGTTGCATGGGGCGGCGGGCCAGCCCAGCAAGAGTATATTGCAACGCGCGCGGCATTTAGTCCCGAGATAACTGCTGGCCTCATTGCATAAGCTAATCATTACAGTACGGGAGGAAACATTTGCGTATGTACTCACATGCTGCCTCTTCCTGCCTTATTCGAACCCCGCGGCGGTGGCCCCCCAGGTCCTGCTCCACCAGCGCACGTTGCAGCTGGCGGGGGAGGATGAGTCACTGCTGGCCGCAGCGCTGGCGCACAAGCTGGCGGGAAAGCTGGCACGGCATGAGGTGGGACGTAAGGGATAGTGCAGCAGTACCGTCTGACGTTTTGCTCTAGCTGCCTTGGCTTCGGTGTCAAAGGAACGATGACCGGGTTAGGGTTTCTATGATGCACATCTCTCACAGCAGCGATTAGGATAGGTGCGCTGGTGGCTGATAATACATGTTGGCCGCATTCGTGTTGCAGCTGGAATTCCCATGGCACTTCGACACCGATAACAAGTTCGGCTACGTGGGAAAGCTTGTGGAGCAGTGGCTGCATCCTGAGGATGTGTGGGTGACTGATAAGCACAGGTACGACCTCTCTTGGGCTAGTTTTGACCGTGTACGCTAGCGTACGCCTAACCTGTACTGACACTGTGGAACTCGGCGGGGCCATGCTTGCAGCTACCGTGGACCTTTCCCGAGTCTGCAAGCGAATGCCGCTTGATTGATGCATTGGTGCTGTTTTTTTAAATAGAAAACATCCCTGCTTTATTTGGCTGTTGCGGCGTGCCGGTCTATTTCACGTGGACAAGGGGGCGTCAGGTCATCCTATCGTGCATAATTACTTTCATCATCTGCCGCTTCAGACACAGGGATACAGCGTTTAGAGCAATGGCTTGTCATCTTCAATAAAGGGGTGTTAGAGTCTCCAACAAGGGGTGACAGCTTCCTAGCCAATTATGGGCGTCGGTTCATCAGGTGTTGACCGGGCATCGCTACACGTGCCTTTTCAGTCCAGTGGTCTTACCAACCTACCCTCTCCCTCGACACGTTGGATCTTCTTTTATCCCCTCCCACCTCTTCCAGGCGCACGCACGAGGCCGACCTCATCGCCGTACACCTGCTGTCCGAGGCCGGGTACGACCCCGCGGGCATGGTACGATGGCTGGAGCGCATTCAGGAGCAGGAGCAGCGGGAGCGAAAGCAGGTGAGGGTGTCTGCATGTACACTGTGCGTGACCTGTGGGCGAGCTCGCTACATGCTTATTGAGTAAGGTTTTGAAGGGTAGCCAAGCGTGCTTTTGACCCATGGGTCCACGAAGCTAAACACTTTGGGACGCCAGGGGTCCGTCCAGCAGATACCAAATTCACATTGTTACGTTGTGTACAACTGGCATCTAGTTAGCAGGGACAACTTCCGTCCCGTGCGGGGCCCTGTGCGTGTCGCCATCCCAACCGCCGCCTTTGCTGCGTGCTGCATGCAGCGCAAGAGCCCAGCCTCCGAACAGGCGCCGCCGCAGCAGCAGGAGCTTAGCCCGGCCATGCGCGACCGCCGGCAACGTCAGCTGTATGTCAAGGCGGCCACCCTTTCCGAGGCTCAGGACCCGCCGCCTTTGATGCGCTGGTTCAAGAAGGTGGGGGAGCAGAAGGAGGTGCAGAAGAAGCAGCGGCGGGAGCAGGAGCGGCGGGAGCAGGAGCAGGTGCGGATATACAATATGACCTGCATAAAGATGGCAGAGCGAGGGCGAATGCAGGGACCCAGTCAGCTGTTCTTTTGGCACATCGGTTTGGGAAGCTCTTAACACTGCTATGCGCCCGTCCTCGTGTTATGCCCTGCTGTTTGTGTGACCCACCCTATCGCCGCCGTTGCTTTCCACCTGCATGCAGCGCAAGAGCCCTGTTCACGAGGAGGCGACGGCGCCGCCGCCGGCACAGGAGCTCAGCCTGACCAGCCACGACCGTCAACAGCTGCAGCTCCAGGCGCACGTCACGGCGGCCACCCTTTCCGAGGCTCTCGACCTGCCGCCCATCCGGCGGCGGTTGGAGCGCTTGCAGCGGCAGCTGAGGCGCATGGAGAAGGGAGGCCAGCTGAAGCCGCGCATCACCGAGCCCGCCCAGCAGCCCAGGCCCATTACTGCATGAGGAGCCGCCCGCCTGCTATCTTCATCGGCACCGCTGCCGTGTTACAGGCGCTCCTTGACGGACGGCAAGCGTGCATGCAACAGGCCTAGCCCTTATGTGAGGCAGGGCAGGCACGGATCAGGACAGTGTGTAGGTGTGCGTCAGTGACTGCCTGAGGCTTGCTTGAGGTTGATTATAGGAGGTTATGTTATGTATATGCGGTGCATATACAAGATGTTTGTTTGCGTATGCGTGATCAGGCTGGTGGGTTAGCGGTGGCGGCCGTACCGGTATGGCGGCGTAAAACAGTGACAGGATACGGGTGAGTAGTGGTACGCTGGAGACGCAGAATTCAGTATAATGGTACATCAGAGCTTTGGCGTGGCAATTTGTAAAGGTGAGCCAGTGTCGTATAGGTTAGAGAACCTCCTTAGCAGGTGGTAATAAGGGGATTGGACAAACACCCATCCAAACACGCACGCCGAGAATGTAAAGGTACATCTGCCTTGTGGCGTTTCCTCTCACGCCACGCACACAACAAGCGGTCGTGCGATTGTCACGGGGGTAAAGCGATGTGGGCTGCTGATGCATGCTGCCCTTCGCCGCATGGCGTGTAGCTGCCCCCAGGTGTCACGGATGGGAACAGGGGCGACCACGGTCCATGCATGCCGTTGCTTGCTAGGCTCCCCAATCACGCAGGTGAGCCTGGGTGGAGAACATTCAATGTTGCTATCACTCCCTACACCGTTCTAAGACTTTTGACGGCATCATACACCTCAGCCGTTAACCCAGTAGGTAGACACCATGGATGGACCCTGATTAGAAATCCGTGTCATAGGCATCCATAGCCTGCAGTTATCCCCCCAGTGGTTTAAAGCATATCGTCACCCTACATCACCTGGTGGTCCGCGCTGCACTGAAGGGAAGCACAGCTAGCTTCCACGCATGCATCTATAACCAGGCACGAACATGAGGCCGACCTCATTGCCGTACACCTGCTGTCCGAGGCCGGGTATGACCCCGCGGGTATGGTACGATGGCTGGAGCGCATCCAGGAGCAGGAGCAGCGGGAGCAGGAGCAACGGGAGCGAAAGCAGCGGGAGCAGGGGCAGCGGGGAGCATGTGAGGAACATAAACCTTTGCAGATAGGCTTTCTAGAATGGAATGACTTCCATAGAAAGCCTAGGTTCAATTAGCTACATGGCATAATGCTACCCGCCCGCACCTTCGACCCATGGGTCAGTAAATGCCGCACTTACTTGTTACTAGCACGCACGCAAGGCGTAGTGCATGCAAAGGTGTCATACAACTAGTAAGTCCCGCCTACCCGTAGCTCACGGGAGGGATCTGGAGGAATGGGAGGTAATGTCAAGAAGAATGCGGATGCACGCATTTACGGCATGAGGATGCAGAAGGATGCTTGAATCACGCACAGAAGAAGCGGCAGCGATTGTCGCCAAGGCTGCTAGCAATTACAAACGGTTAGGAAACTTAGGATGCACAAGAGGCTTGAGGATGCCAAGAAAACACGCAATATACCGTATCAAAGCGTACAGGTGGTGGAGTGCTAAAACGCCACCCTAAAACGCCACCCGCCCGAATACTGGTGCGGATGCCGTGCCGTGCCCTGCCCTGCCGAAGTACCGGTACTGGCACCTGCGCGTTAGCATACAGATCCAACTACCACTGCACTACTACACAACTTCCCGTCGTCACCAGTCGCCCACACAGCAAGCGCGCATCTGTCTGCAGTAGCTGCAGTCAGTACAGTAACGCAGCATCGCAGCTCAGTTGCTAATGGACGAACCCGCGCAGCCGCTCGTGTACCCTGCCACACCCTACCAGACCACATGTGCCATGCAAACCAGCAGTCCCGCCGTGCCAAAGTACGGGCGCAAATTCCCCAACGTTGCAGCCCCGTTCGAGTTATGGCACTGTCTCCGTCTTGTCCAACCGGCGCCTGTATGCTTCTACACGTCCTGCCCTGACTGCATTGGAGGACAAAGAAAGGTTAACGTGGGGATCTGTCCCGCTCTTTAAAGGCCTGTCGTGTCGCAGGGCTTTGCACATCCGGGCTTCGAAGACGGAGCGTTGGCCTGTGCAGCAGCGGCCGCAATAGCACTTATAGCTCTTGTGGCGTGCGGATAGGGCCTTTGGCACCTGCCGCAGGTTTGTAGTGCATGCCTGCCCGCATGCACCCTTGTTGTTGGACTGTGCGGGTACTGCATGGGTGCGCTGAGCTTTGGGCATCTGCCTGTCCCAATGCAATTATGGCCTCCCCATTCCCTTTCCCGTGTGGCCCCGGTTGCCATGGAAACGTAACGCCACGGAGTGCGCCTCCATGGGGGTACGTTTCCATGGCTTCAATGTACTGCTACGTATGGGTAGCCCGATGTGCTTAGTACCGCTGGTCAAGGCACGAAAAGCCAGTAGCCCCTCTTCAAAACAGGTTTTCGGAAAGGATAGGCCGTTGGGAGGCCCCTGACCATACCGGTATACGAAACTGTTCAGGGGGCGAACGTGGGGGCGCTCGAACAATATGGGCCTTAGACGTATCGGATCGTGGGGTTCCACGATCGCGCTCGGTTGAAGATAGAAACACTGGTCTCCAGGGCCCGCTTCCACGCACCTCCCCTGCTTCCAGCCCCTACTCGACAAGCCTACTCCACCTATCCTCGAAGACAACACTCCTCACCATGTAGCTGCCTCCTCACCTCCAGCTTCCTAGTCCCCTCCACTAAGCAACACGTTGCCTGACACGCTTATGCGCTGAGGCATGCACCATCACAATATCAAAATGACGGCGCCGCGTGTGTGCAGCCATACATCGCCTATTCGCCTTCTTCCGCAAATGCCGCTCATGCATGCAGGTATCCCCCTCTGCTAGTTACCGGCACCCACATGCACATACATCCCCGCCTCTCCTGGCTATCGGCGCTTATGCGTGCAGACATCCAATCGTCCTGCCAGGAACCGGCATCCATGCGTGCAAGCATCACCACCTTTCCCAAGGACCTGCACCCAGGCGTCTCCGTCCGCACCCACCCCGCGCATCAAGCCCATCAACTGGCACCACTACATACATGCATACGCACCATGCCCCCGTCCTGCTCATAAACTGGCACATGTGCGTGCAGGAATGAGGGCATGCGGAGGTAGGCAGAAACCTCACGGGGAAGGACAGAGAGGCCCGCTGGAGGCTGCAAGGGTGCCGCACGGAGAAGGGCATAAGGAGGCAGGGCCCCGCGGGAAAAAGACAGTGCAAAGGGTGTCATACACCCATTGGACGCCCGCTGGTAGCCGGGTATTGCTAGTGCAGCTACCAGCCTAGCACTGCTCTTGCTGCCAGGTAGGTTAGGGCGGAAATAACACGTACCCGCTCACATCTTTACCGTTTGCCTCCACCTCTACCCGCAAGGTGCAGGGGACACATGGCTGCTGCCGTTAGGGCGGCCGCCCTGATGTGCCCGAGCGGGATGGGGTCATGGGCCGTGAATCTGCATAGAACCCACCATGCATTTGTCCCAACCTAGGCGTTCATGTGCTATCGCCTCCCCCTTCTTCCATGCCCAGTGGCTGCTGTCCAGAGCACCTGATAAGGCCCTGGGGGCATGTGCGGAGGGTAGCCACCTGGGGGACCTGCGCGGGTAGAGGTGAAGGCAAACGGTAAAGATGTAAGCGGGTACGTGATACTATCGCCCTAACCTACCTGGCGGCAAGAGCAGTGCTAGGCTGGTAGCTGCACTAGCAATACCCGCCTGCACACCAGAACACTGAAAGCGGGCGAAAATCCGTCCCCGAACTCACCCCAGGGTTGTTGCGGCGGCGGCGGCATGCCGTACGGCGGGGATGCGCCGTACGGACCTGGCGGTGGCATGCCCCCCGGCTGCGAGGGCGGCGGGGGCAGCATGGGGGTGTCCACAGCAGTCAAGCAGGGGGTGGTGTGAGATAACGATAAGGGCTAAGGAGCCTGGTTCCTATCAGCACTGGCAACGCTGCCGCAAACGACACACCACGTCTGCGCTTCGAAACTTCCGCCCCTCACAGCAGGGCATCCTTCCAATGTGCCTTTCCTCAATGTGCAGTTCATGTATACAACTATTGGCCCTTCAAGGTAATTATGCTGCGCCTATTTGGCCTGGGGCTTATATAGCTATATCAGCAATTGCTTCCACAGGCTGTAACTTTGTTGTCTAGAAGCGTGATCTTAACATTTAATTTATGGTATATTACACCACTACATCGGTTCAAATTTGTCGTGACAGGATAGGTACTCGTGCACCCGCTTTTTTAACGGACAAGCAACACGTCGCGAAAAAGGCTGGATAGGGTTACCGATATGCGTTAGTGAGCCACATAATTAACTTTTAATTGTTGACTATAACTGCAGGCGTTTGGTGTTCATTTCTTGGTCGTGAGTGTACCGGACGGTCGTTGCTGTGGCAGTTTCCCTGTCGTTTCATATCCATCTGCCCAGCGAAAAGGCACTCGTATAAACATGACAATTGTGTCTGTACGCTAACCATAAACTCAATTTCTGGTCATTGCGGTATCAGCAGGTTGCTGACAGCAACCCCAAGCAAGCAACTACAGTTCTCCACGTAAAGTGCACGAGAAGGTGCGCATGGCACACATTTTTATCAGGAAGGCTCTGAGCTGCTCCCTACGCTTATATAGGAACCCCGTATGGGTTGTGTTGTTCAGCTCCATGTGAATAATACGTACCGGTATTGTGGAAGGGGCGTGAGAAATGAGCTATCCCTTGCGCTGTCTATTGCTAACGCCATGTCTCATATGTATATTACTGCTATTCGCAATGGTGACCCAACACTATACCTCGTACATGCAGGCCGCGCCTTGTCGGTGCCATGGGAAGCACATCGAAGGGAGCAACGCTGCTTTGGCGTCTCGGCAGCTTGGCCACCCGTTCAGGGCCCGCCTTGTGCAATGGGCTGCTGAGCTACACAGCCGCACAGCCAGCTCTACCGCAAAAGGTGCTGAGCTCACGCTTTACTCGTAACGTCCCATCACGGTTGCTCGCAGTCTCCGTGCACGCAAATTCCCCCCAGCTCCACGCTCTCCCCTCTCCTCTACGCGCCATGCCTGTTCTGGAGGGCCTCGTGGGCATTGATGCGGCTGCGGTAGCCAGCCAGGCTCTCCCAGCCAGCAGCGCGTCCCTCGCTTCGGTCCGCCCCATGACAAATGCTTCCAGCAGCTCCTTCACCCAAAAAATTCGGGAGAAGGCTGTCGCCGCTTGGAAGACCTTTAGTTTACTATCGTAGGTGCCTCGTAATCAGCTTTTGTGCACATGGTGCAGGCTCATTCTTTTGACCTCACCTGCTGAGCAGGTGGCTGTTCGTCATTGCTCTCATGGAGCGCTTGTTCGAACTCCTTTTTGGAGATCTTGGCGGTTCCATCGTGGTTATCATTGGGTGCTTGGTGATGTCGTCTATGCTCTGCTGGTGGCAAGGCGGACTGACTAGGTGAATTGAAGTGGAGTCCGATGCTGGCTATACCGGCGATACAATAGCATCCATGTCTTACCGCCCCTCCATTCGTTACCGCTATCCAACTGATCGTCAACCCCCGTCCTACTCGTTGATTGTTCTTGCCTGCACTGCAGGGATGCTGCATATCTTTTGGTTTTCTCCCTGCTATTCGCCGGTCTTACCTACGTTATGTGGCCGAGGCTTGAAAAGGTGTTCATGGGACGCATCACGGGTGGATATACGGTGTATGTACACATGGTTGGGTGATGTTGTTGTGTTGGCTTTGTGAGCTGGTGCGGTCTGTTCCTGTTCGCGCTAACAGACGTTGTCCCGTGTTGCAGGTGCCGTACACCCACAGGCTGCATAAGGTTGCCACGAAATTCCCCGCGCAACCGCGTGGCGACAAGTACGTCCCGTGGCGGCCATCCGAGATGTTCTTCGCTGTGAGCAACAGTTTGCTTCCGCCGTCCGTAGTGGTTTGGGGAAACCTTAGGTCCAAAGTTCGCAGCACGGCTGCACAGCAGCATAATAACAACACTTAGTCAAAAGCTAATAATCCGTAGAAGTTGCCGTGCGCCATATCCCCTCATGCTGCATGCAACCTTGTTGTGGCTGCAGTTATGTAGATGGCTGGAGCTGCAAGTCGCAGGTCCGCTGGAGCCATTTCGCCATACCGTGATGACTGTTACCCGTCATCAATGTTGTTTTGCGCTTCGTCTATCATGACCATACATCCATACATCTCAATCACTGCCTCCCTCCACAGACCGCCAGGTCCATTGTGGGCTGGTGGAACCAGCTGCTCCCCGCCGACCACCCTGACGTCGTGCGAGTGCGGGGGGTGCTGCAGCGGCTGGCTGCTGCGGCGGCTGCGGGCCGGGGTGGGGGCCAGTACGACCACATGCGGGCTGACATGCCGTGGGCGGTGGCGGTGGTGGCGCCCGTGGTTGGGGCCAGCGAGGAGCAGCTCAAGGGGCGGGAGGGGGAGCGCAAGTTATATCTTACACGCCATGTGTCCGCTCGCGAAACCTGGCTAGCATTCGACTACCCGACCTGCGTAGTCACTTCAGGCGAAGACTCGATGCACGAGGTTGGTTATATGAACTGGGGGTATTGAGAGGGCGGGCCAGCTCCATCTTGCCAGCATTTGAATGTCCTGGGGGCATACAGCTGCCCATACTCACATGCTGCATTTTTTTTCTTTCGAACCCCGCGCATGCCCCCTCCCCTCGCCTCCCCCAGGTCCTGCTCCACCAGCGCACGTTGCAGCTGGCGGGGGAGGATGAGTCACTGCTGGCCGCAGCCCTGGCGCACAAGCTGGCGGGAAAGCTGGCACGACATGAGGTGGGAAGTGCAGCAATGCCGCCTTAGATCTGTATGGCGCTAGAAGGCCAATACACATTTGGTCTTCAATTCCTCCAGTTACCGGATACGTTTGGAGCGGCATATGACCGGGTTCCATTCACTCCATTCACCATTCATTCAACCCCTGTCCATGCATGCCGGCGGCTAATCTGTTGGTTGCGTGCCTTGTGCAGATCGAACACGGCAGCTTCGACACCGGTAAAAAGTTCGGCTACGTGGGAGAGCTCCTGGAGCAGTGGCTGCACCCTGAGGATGTGGGGGTGACTGAGAAGCACAGGTACGGGCTAGCTGACCTGTACGGCACACCACAATGTTTGGGGTAAGCAACGAAAAGCCTGTTACCGTGCGTTTCCCTCTATACCGTCTTCAATTTGTCTGCAAGGGAAGCAGGTTTCAATCAAAGAGTTGTACTCAGCAAGCGAACGATTATTAAGTTCCACCAACCCCGCCCCTCCCTCCTTTGGTGTGGGCAATATCTGACCTCTCCCTCAGGCGCACGCACGAGGCCGACCTCATTGCCGTACACCTGCTGTCCGAGGCCGGGTACGACCCCGCGGGCATGGTACGATGGCTGGAGCGCATCCAGGAGCAGGAGCGGCGGGAGCAGGAGCAGCGGGAGCAGGTGAGGATGACATGCGTAAGACGAGAGAGTGCCCTGCGGTGACATGTTGCTTGGAAGTCGTGTCCTTAGGTCCACGAAGCTCTTACGTTTCCAGACGCAAGGCTCCTTCCAGATGCTGAATCAAATTCGTTTGGTGGCATCTTGATAGCAGGGGGACTTGCAAATCTGGTACACTTACAACGGAGGGCTCGGCCTTCGCGTGTTGCCATTCTTCACGGTCCCCGTACATGCTGGGCCGTGTGTCGCCCACCCAACTGCCACCACGCACTGGATACCTTCTTTTCACCCAACCGCCGCCCTACCTGCTTTTCCCCTGAAAGCAGCGCAAGAGCCCAGCCCCCGAGGTGGCGGCGCCGCTGGCGCAGCAGATAAGCACGGCCAGCCGCGACCGCCGACAGCGCGATCTGCATGTCAAGGCGGCCACCCTTTCCAAGGCTCTCGACCTGCCGCCCGTCCTGGAGCGGCTAGAGCGCGTGCAGCGGCAGCTGAGGCGCATGGAGAAGGGAGGCCAGCTGAAGCCGCGCATGCAGCAGCCCACCGAGCCCACCCAGCAGCAGCCCAGCAGGCCCATTGCATGAGGAGCCGCCCGCCCCCACTGGCGCGCGTTTCAGGCGTGTCAGTGACTGCATGGGGCTATCTTGGTTGCTATAGTATGTCGAAGTATGCAGACATACAGGGACCACAACTTCTGGTGATCAGTGGTGGGTCAGCGGCGCCTTGTATGCATGGCAACATGAAATGTCGAGCGCTGTTAGCGGCACGTGTCTGTATGGTTATGAGTATGTACACGGTCGGGTTTGTGGCTGTGTTGTTCTGCCATGGCCTGGTTGGTACAGCCGTCAGTTCGTCGTCTGACGACATCCGTATAGTACAGGCATCAGTGCTGTTAGGCCATGCAACCCCCAGCAGACTCAGGGCCGTGATCTATCAACGTAAATTTGCATATGCAAGGATGACGGACAGCGGTTGTGCATGCGCACAGGTAGCATTGTCATTGTTACTGACTGGACGATTGGTGGGTTGTCATGTCAAGATGGGCTAGCTTTCTCATCGGCTTGGGACTGACCGGATGGACTATATACGGCAGCCACCACTTCACAGTGTGCAGAGCACACACCGGGGTTGGGGCGCAACAGGCAGGGTAGGCCGTCCTTGTACTTATTACTGTGCGCGTCCTTGAAATTATACCGTAAGGAACCCTGAGGGTTTTGGCCTGGCCCTGATTATTATTCCAGGCGCTCCACGAGGCCAGCGCCGTGAACAAAAGCAAGTGAACAACAAGTGAATACCCTGACAGATGGTCCTAGACGAAATGTGCGTTTAAACCCATATCTTCAGACTGTAATTGGTAAAATGTGCAAGGTACTTCTGTGTGCCAAAATGAAGAGAAATGAGTAGGAAAGGACTTTGGTGCAAGACCACGTTTGCCTTGGTGCCGGACACAGGTTTGTTACTCAGCCCCCATGGGTTGTCGGGGAGTAGGCTGAATGGGTATGCCATGCCTATGCCACACCATGCACCCTTCCCAAACAGAGTAACACTGCGGTCACCTGTTTGGTGTTGGCCTGTTGTGGGGATCCTTTGCCGGACCGCACAGGCAGCACTGTGCCTCCTCCGTGCTCCCTATGTTCTATCATGTTCCTGCTCTTTCCTTTTGGACCATCACTCAAGCAACAGCCCACATGCCAAGTATCCTTTCGGAGGGGAGATATTAGAAGGCCGGGGTGACAAGGGAAAGGAGGAAGGAGTGGTTGCTTTATCGTTGAAGCCGTACTTCTTCGTACTGGGTTTGTCGTTCTGACTCATTTGTGGAGTTAGCGTGGGCGGGAGCAGCTGACGGAGGAGCTCGGGGTGCAGGCGGAGCGGGTGTTCCCCATCTCCGCAGCTACCGGTCAGGGTGTTATGCAGCTGGTGCGGGTGGTGCGAGGAGTGCTGGATGAGATGGGCCCGGCACAGTCATGGGTCCATCAGGAGTCATGGGTCCATCAGGAGGTGCCTGGTTGCCTGGCCAGAAAGAGTAAGGGCGAATTGCTCCTGGCACGAGGAATTAAGCATAGGTATTAGGGCCACACTGGTAGGTTTTCACGTGGTTTGAGAACGGGAAGTGCAGCGATGTGGTTGACGGTGCCAGCATCGTGGACAGGCTATGTTCATACTCGCTGCCACACCTGGCATTGCAGAAGCTGCTACTGTTTCCCTATTTGCTTATGAGAACCGAACGCAAACGTTAAGTTACAATTGGGTTGAATCCGATGGTAAGCAGACCCTCTTGGCAGCTGATACCGTATTAGCTACCACTGCTGCACGTGCGTGGGCCTTCTCGGCAAGAAATAAGGCTTGACCAGAGACCAAAGCGTTATTTGATAGTATTTCATACCTGCTACCGCTTAACCTTAAGCCTCATAAAACGCGGTTGGTTGCAAACATTCTTTGGCGATGCTCACCGGTACATGCATGGTAACCCAGCCGCCGGACAAGCGAGCGAAGTGGCGCTCTCAGGATGAGGCCAATATAAAGAGAACAGTATGGATTGCAATAGGCAAAGGCAGTTGCTGTAATAGCGTCATTGGCATTGATCACACCTGAGTAGACATACACTGCATGTATGTATCTCCACGCGGCAGGGGTTCCGAACAATTGAGGGGGCAGGCCATGAGATCGCTTCCGTCTGGTATGCTCGTAGCAACATCCATGACCCTGTAGGATAACGGCCAGTCGTTTCTTCTGCAGCTAGCGTCGGTTCCTCAAGTAAGACCATTGAAACGACACTTCCGTTCTTGGGCCTTACAGTTGATAAAAATAAGTACTTCCGCTGCGTCCATAGTCAGTTGTTATACTGCACCATTTGCTGGCAGCGCAAGCGTCGTAAACGGTCGTCCGTCAATCGGCGGTCTTGGAAACAGGTGCAGCTAAAGCGAAGGAGCCTGCAGCTTGTTTAATAATTTCCAGGTGCGCCGACTAGAACCGTCTATACTCTTTAAAGCACGAAACCATGCAGTGACAAGGTAACGGCTGACATTCCTTGCATGCGTAATGTCCGGCTTACAGCAGCAACCGCCAAGCCTCTGACTTGCGTGTGAAAACAAACTGCAGGTTGAACACTCCAAGCCCAATTCTATGGGAGGCGCATCACAGAAGACAAGGCTGCTGCAGAGCCTTAGCTGTGTGGCCGCTCATGCAAGGCCTGCATCGCTTGGTGGGCTGCTGAGCTCCACCGCTGCCTCACGGCCAGCTCTACTGCCTCAGAGGGTGCCCAGCAGTTCGCTGTCCACCTGTAATGTCGCATCACGGTTGCTCCCGGTTTCGGCTTTCCAGCCCGCCCTTCCCTCTCCCAGTCGCACGATGCTGCCCTTGCTGGAGGGCCTTACGGGAAACGCGGCTGCTGCAGCAGCCAGTCGGGCTTTTCCGGCAAGCGGCACTTCCCTCACCGCTACTGCGCGATGCATGTCGACAGGATCTAGCACCCACACCCAGTCTTCATGGCAGATAATGGCAGCGACTTGTAGGGCTGCCTACGTGCTCTTGTAAGTTTGTCTGAAACCTGTTGGGTGTACAGCACGTGCTGTCTGACTCCTTCCTTTTCCACCGCAGGAAGGCAGTGCTTGAGGTGGTCTTCCTGTTCGTCCTGTCGATTATGAGCGTACTTGCCTTTGGGCCATTCCTATGCGGTGCCCTGTGCCTCGTTCCTCTGATGGCTAGAATCCGACGTTGCAGCAACCCAGCGTAGGTTCTCACGACATACAGAGCTGCAGCTCAGTGCCTAACCAGTGTTAACTGTCTACCTATCTACTGGACTGGCTTGCCTAGCCGTGGTGCCTCTCGTGCCGTATTCACATGGTGCATATACCGGTAGCTGAGGATCGCCTTCCTTCCTGCAGTTTCAAGTGGACGGAAGCTGGGTTCCTTGATAAACTTTGTGGCATTCTCGTCCTAAGGGCGGTCAGCTCTGCCATTTCGTGCACTGAGATCGAAAAGGTAACGAGAGGCTGGTGTACGCCTAATGCCGGGCATAGCAGGTTACCAACCCCGCAACAACGCAGGTGCCGTACACCCTCCGCCTGCATAAGATCGACTCAAAGGCGCCCAAACCTGGTGGGCAGTACGTACCGGCACGGCCACTCGAGGACTTCTTCGCTGTAAGCAAGCGGCGGGCGCAGGTCACCACCAGCATTCCGTTCATCAGTGGGATAAAGACGCCTGCAGTTCGCACGTGGTACCTGGAACGCGTCCTGTGATAAGGGTATAGTTTTGGCATAGCTATGCTTACCTACCGGTATACTCTAGCCAATACCTTGATTGTCCAATCGGGAGCTAACGAACGGCGCTACCCCCTCTACCCTGGATATGTGCATGCACCTAGTTCGTTACCTTGGTTATCTTACTGCTTCTGTGCAGGAGGCCAGGTCCATTGTGGGCTGGTGGAACCAGCTGCTCCCCGCCGACCACCCTGACGTGGTGCGAGTGCGGAGGGTGCTGCAGCGGCTGGCTGCTGCTGCGGCTGCGGGCCGGGGCTGGGGCCAGTACGACCACATGCGGACTTACATGCCGTGGGCAGTGGCGGTGGTGGCGCCCGTGGTTGGGGCCAGCGAGGAGCAGCTCAAGCAGCGCCGGGAGGAGTGGACGGCCGATCGCGAGGAGCGCCAGGAGTTTGATACGCCAGCCCGAGAAGTTTGGTTGACGTGTGACTACCCGACCTGCGTAATTCCTCGAGGCGAACACAAGGTTCACGAGGTTGGCCGGTGCTACCGTTGGTGGGGAATGTCGGCCCTCTACTAAACATGCAACTAAAGGGACTAACGGTAGTTCTTAGCGTCTGTACTCCCTGCGCACTACCCTCCGCGCCGATCACGCGCCTGCAACCCCCCCCCGCCTCCCCCAGGTCCTGCTCCACCAGCGCACGTTGCAGCTGGCGGGGGAGGATGAGTCACTGCTGGCCGCAGCGCTGGCGCACAAGCTGGCGGTAAAGCTGGCACGGCATGAGGTAGGCTGCAGACTTCAGCGGTCACAAATGGTTTATGTACAAGACTGCGACTACTACCGCTTGAGCCCATCCCGAACATTCAGCTCACGTTTGTCGCATCAAGCACATTCCATGCACACCTTGTATAATCCTGTTGAGCCTGGCTGGTCATGTGCACAGGTTGAGGACCGTAACTTCCAAGTGCTTGGATTCTTGGGACAGATGTTTGAGGATGAGCATTTCACGGGTACTGTGCGGCCTGGGCGGCACAGGTGTGTGCCTCTAGCCTTCCTGTCATGACGTTCAGAAAACTTGTATTTCTATGTGTACACGCTTTATGCAAGGCATAACTAATAGTTACTAACAAACAAATGACTGTTAGTTGGTTGATCCCCTTCAAGCTTGGGTAGTCTTGGCGACATGCATGCATGAGCAGCTGGTGTCCAGCAACTTTGTACAGCACAGCTAGCTTTCACGCATGCATGATGCATGTACCCTATACCCAGGCGCACGCACGAGGCCGACCTCATTGCCGTACACCTGCTGTCCGAGGCCGGGTACGACCCCGCGGGCATGGTACGATGGCTGGAGCGCATCCAGGAGCAGGAGCAGCGGGAGCAGGAGCAGCGGGAGCGAAAGCAGCGGGAGCAGGTGAAGAACTTGTACCTTTGCACGTCTGTAGCAGATGGGCTTTCTACAGTGGAATTAATTCCCAGTAGCGCTATGTACATACGTTTCATTAGGTACATGATATCATGTTAGCAGGTACATCACTGCCAAAATAAGTCGCTGGCATTGTGACAGTCACGTGGAAGGTGTCCACTTCTCCACTATCGCCCCTGTTATCTGCTGCTATGACCCCGTGCATGATGCTAATCGATGGTAACTGACCAGTACAAGCACCCTGCAAGCTTTCCTGTGCGCTTGAAATATGCCTACGCTCTGGCATGGTGCCTCCGTGACCTTCCGTACCTGCACTGCCCTCCTTAAGACTCCCTTGCTTGCTTGCCCCTTGCAGCACAAGAGTTCACCCTCAGAGAAGGAGACGGGGCGGCAGAACGCTGCTGATGACCCGGTGGCACTCAACCGCCAACAGCGTGACGCCACGTATGCCTCTGGGGCCCTATCGGACGAACTGCGCCTAGCGCCTGTCCAGGAGCGGTTGCGACGGGTGCAGCAGCAGCTGAGACGCATGGACGAGGCCGACCAGCTGAAGCAGCAGCGCGCACAGCACACCGTCAACTCCTGAGCGGAAGATTTTGAATTATGGGCGGCCAGAGGCGGCTACAATGTGCTAGCTTGATTACGAGGGCTCTAACAAGATGCAGTACTTGCTTGCTATGCTTCCGTGTCGATGTTGGGTCAGTTACAACGAAGCGATGAGGCCGTGGCCATGGTGGCTGTGTCCTGAAACGCTGATAGACGCCATAGGCAGCAGCAGGGAGCTATAAGGTACTTAAAGCTTCGAACTAGGACACAGTGGGATGGGCTCGCTCACGCAGACGACGGCACCTGCCAAGGCGCGTGGATAGTAAGCTTCTTTTTCCTGTGGTAGCACCTATAGGTCGTGATGGGACATGAGCTTAGCTGGTCTTCCAGTTAGAAACAGATCACGTACAAATTTGCAAGATGTGAGGGGCTCCCATAGTAGTAACCAGGGCGTACATGGATGTGAGCAAAGAGGTTGCATGCGGCGGCATGTGCAGTTTATTTACGACTACCGGTGAGTTGTCTAGGCATGTAGATAACGCTGTGCTGCAACCAAACGCTCTTGGAATGTGTTTAGAAATATATACGAGCCCTGTGGTGCTTTGCATGTGAGTGAGTGAGTTGTTACAAGCTCTACGGCTCGTAAGGCCCAGACGAGCCAGGAGGCTCATGGACCTTTGCATGTGGCCTGTGCTTAGCACGGTATGCGTACGAGTGCTCCGCAAACGCCTACCGTGCAGACGCCGTACGACAATGTGACTATGCTGGTATAGGTTTGCCCCAAAAGATTGTCTGTGGCTACTTATGTTGGGCTGTCTTGAGGTAATTGACTTGCTGGGTTCCTGGCAAATTCAAACCTCGATAACTGATGACATGTACGACTCTTAAAGCCTTTCTGCGAGCAGGCAACCCACTGGCGCTGAAGCCGCTGGTTGCCACCGTGTCTGCAAACTAGCTCTGCTGTCGTGCGCACAGGCAACTGCGCCGCCAGTGGCAGGTGCTGTACACTTCTGTTGTCCGGCAGGTCATGCCCACTCCCCATGCTTGACACGGGTCATAACCTTTGCCAACATACAGCCAACCTATACCGACAATTCCAGGTAACCTTGCATGCACGTTCCCCGCAGGAATGAAGGCTTGCAAGCAGTACATTACGTAAAGGACAGCAGCAGCCCTGCAACTGAAGCTACCACACTGGCTACGCTGCGTGCCGAACAGGCACTGTTGGCATCACGCAACCTCCGCACAGCAGCCCGCAAGCGTGTCAGTATAAAGCTCGAAATCCGGCGGATTAACAGCACTAGGCAACTGTTAGCAAGGTGTACGAGCTGTATCAATTCTTTTCTCTCTCGCGCGTAAGCTCCCTCCTTTGCACAGCCGACGCTCCAAAACATCAAGTACATTGTACGGGTCCATAATCCCTTCACAACTCCGAACTTGTCGTACAACGCATGTTACCGGCCAACCCGCTTAACAAGGCCCTCCCACCCCACCTAGGGGCTCCAAGGCCCTACTACCATCCCGGCATTCAGGCAGTGCCGCTGGCGAAGGAGCTGCGCTGCTGCAATGGCAGCCGTAAGAGAGCAGCCGTAAGCGCAAGGTACGGTGGCGCAGACTACTGTCACCACTCATCATCGTCCGCCAGGAGGTGGCGGAGGCGGTGGCATGCCGGACGGCGGTGGCGGCGGGGGCGGAGGCGGCATGCCAGGCGGAGGCTGCTGCTGCCCCATGCCCGGCGGCGGAGGCGGGGGCATGCCGTATGAGGGCGGCGGTGGCGGCGGCATGCCGTGCGGTGGGGGCATGCCGTACCCTTGAGGCGGCGGCGGCATGCCCATCGGCGGCATGCCGTAGCCCGGTGGCGGCGGCATTGATGGCGGGGGCGGCATGCCGTAAGGAGGCGGCGGCATGCCGTACGGTGGCGGATAGCCCTGAGGCTGTACGACAATACAGGAACGGAGGGCAAGGGACACGTCAGCTACCGCCTGGCATGCAGTGCTCTGTGTGCTGCGCTGCTGCTGTGGATAGCAGCCGCAGGGCATGGAAGAAGGGGGAGGCGATAGCACATGAACGCCTAGGTTGGGACAAATGCATGGTGGGTTCTATGCAGATTCACGGCCCATGACCCCATCCCGCTGGGCCACATCAGGGCGGCCGCCCTAACGGCAGCAGGCATGTGTCCCCTGCACCCGCTCCCAGCCTCACCTGATAGGGTCCTGGGGGCATGTGCGGAGGGTAGCCGCCTGGGGGACCTGCGCGGGTAGAGGTGGAGGCAAACGGTAAAGATGTGAGCAGGCACGTGTTATTACCGCCCTAACCTACCTGGAGGCAAGAGCAGCGTAGCAGTGGTAGCTGCACTAGCAATACCCGCCTGCACACCAGAACACTGAAAGCGGGCGAAAATCCGTTCCCGAACTCACCCCAGGGTTGTTGTGGCGGCGGCGGCATGCCGTACGGCGGGGATGCGCCGTACGGACCTGGCGGTGGCATGCCCCCCGGCTGCGAGGGCGGCGGGGGCATCATGGGGGTGCCTGCAGCGCAGAGCGGGGGTTGGGGCGGGGTGTAATGTGTATGGGATTACAAGCAACGGGGTAATGTTGGGGTGGGATGGGGGTAAAGAAGGCAAGGTCCAGACACGGCGACTCAAGGGCCCCAACTGCACCGACTGTGTAAGTACTGGCAACGCCTCCGCATGCGCCACCATCACAACAACTGCTGGACGTGCTGCCACAGCCTCCGCAGCCCAAGGAATAGCGCCAATCCTGCGCTTTTGCTCTAGCCGAGGGTCAGTGGGGCACGCAACCAGTCCAGCCCTAGGCCCCCAATGCCTTTCCTCCACAACACTGCTGGCGGGCTGTGCAGCCGCCCTCTGCTGGCAACCCATCGCACCCCGCCCGCCCCGCAGAAGACCCTTGTAGGCAAGCGCAACCTAACTCGTAAGGAAGGACCATGTTGCTGCCAGCATAGTCTCCTCAGCCCAACCCAGTCAACTTATTCCCTTCCTCCATGACCGGCGCCCACGCTTCCCCCTGCACCCCTCCCCTCCAGCACCCCCACCCAACCCCAGCCCCACTCACCCGCCGCGTAGCCCGAGGGCGCCAGTGCCGGCACGGGCCCCGCGGGCGGCTGCCCGACCTGCTGCCCCTTCAGCTTGGGCCCCTCCGCGAACAGCTGGTTGGGCCGGCTCTGCGCCGCCTGCTTCTCACGCTGCTGGGCGGCCAGCAGGCGCTCGGCGGGGGTGCCGTGCCGCTCGCCTGGGGGCGCAGGGAGGAGCAGGAGGGCAGGAGCGGGGGCAGGTGAGGAGGAGGGACCCCGACAGCAGGTAGGAGGCGAGCGGACGCTGCGGACGTGCACGCCGTTGCAATGCAGCGGGTAAGTGAACCGGGTCGCTAGGTTGGCGTCGGCAAGGAGGCGCTGAGGGAAAGGGCAGAAGTCACACACACGCACACACAGCTCAATCACAGTACGTTTCGCCTCGCGGCCAGCTATTTTAACACACAGCTCAGCTCCTCCCCTCACCCTTGGTATCCTTTTTGAACGCGTACGACACCGTGATGGCCCGGTTGCACAGGTACTGCCCGTTCATGGCCTCAATGGCGGCGTCGCTCGCCTCGAAGCAGTCGTAGCTGACGAAGCCGAAGCCGCGCGAGTTGCCGGTGTCGGGGTCGCGCATGATCTTGGGTGTGTTCACGATCACACCGAACGCGCTGAATGTGTCGTACAGCAGCTGCAGGAGGGAAAGGAGGAGGCGGCGAGGGTGTGGAGAAGAGAGGTGGAAGGCGAGGGTGTGGGGGACAGGGAGGAGGCCGAGGTGCGGTGGTGAGAGAAGGTAAGGGAACAGCTGCGCAAGCAGCGGCGGGCAGCCCACGGGTGGGGGATGTTGCAAGGAGCTCCCCGGGGGAGCGGCCGAAAGGTGCGCGGACTGTCACCTCCACGCCACCCTAGCGCCTGCAGGCACCCATTTCCATCCCCACACTCACGTGCAGCATGTGTGTCTTGTTGGGCCCCCACACAGCCCCAGCAGCCATCCTGGCACGGGTTTACACCCCCAACCCAGCATCCCGGGCTCCCGCAGTTCACCCCGGGAGTCCACCTTAGGCGGTAACCTCCAACCGGACCACCTCCGGCCCCCGCCCCCAGGCGGTTCCCTACCCCTTGTTCCTTGTTCGTCAGTTTCCTCATTTCGATCCCCTTGTTCCTCCGGTTCCCTCGCTGCCCCCCCCCCACCTCACCTTCTCGTCCACATCCGGGTCCAGGTTGCCGATGAAGAGGTTGGCGCCCACATCCGCCTGCCGCTTGTCCTGGCTCGCCTTGTTGACACGGATGGCCTTGCCGTACACCTTGATCATGTTGAGCACCTTAATGGCCTGCGGTGAGGCGGTGGGGGAGGAGGGTGGGAAGGGAAAGGAGGGAAGGAAAGGAGTGAGGGGAGCGGCAGTGCAGTAGGAAAGGTATGGGCTAGGACCGCCAGGTGCAAAGCGACACGGGTCATGAAGGAGGATGAAGGATCCGGGTCTACCCACGATATACTACGTACTTGAGAGGTGGCAGCGCCGCAGCAAGCATGTCAGCATAGGCAATTTGTTGGAGATGCTTAGTATGACGCACGTCCGCGGTAAGGGGTTCAGGCCGGGCTAGGGAGCTTGGTTCAAGTACCCAACGTGTACCTGGAAGACCCGCCGCCCGGCGGCAACACCCATGTCGATCCCCCCTGCCCGTTTAGGCAGCCACTTACATAGTCCGCATCCTCCTCGTCCTTAAACTCCACAAAACCGTATCCCTGATGCTGGTTCGTAACCCGATCTTTGGGCATGTAGACATTGACTGCACGGCAAGACAAAGCTTAGGAATTGGAGACTCGTTTCATTTATGCACCTTCAGAAAACAGCTGGACCTACCGACAGGCCCAGCTTGTGTAAAGAGCTCCCAAACGAGCTCCTCCGTCACCTGTGGCGCCGGCGGTATCAACGTGTGCCGCCGACGAACAACATATTAATTACCCTGAAGTACTAAAATTACCTGAACATCTATGTTTCCAACATAGACCGTCGCTTCCTGGTTGCGGTCCTGTGCATGCTGGCCAATAAGGTTCGCGCCCACGCCCGGCGCAATGCGGCCACCAGCAGTTCCCGTTACGGACATATTGATCAGCGGCTAGTGTAAAATGAAATGGCCCAAGAAGCTAGACGCTCATGAACAGCCCCAAATGTGCTTATCTACACCGTCGTCATGCCGTTCACTCTAATTATACCAGTTCACGATAGTGTATACAAACGTGTCCAAGTTGATGGTGAAACTGGAGGGAATTGCAGTTGTCTGCTCAGCATTCACGTTGGCCCTCTACATCAATGCACCAAGCGCGATTTTGCGTTGGCGGGGAACATTTGGAAGTGTAGCCTAGTAATGTCATATGGTCTGTGAGCATGAACTGCATGCGGTGCATTGTATAGTGAAGCTGCCGTACAAACATTTCATGTACTGTGGTAGGGGTCTAGTTTCTACTTGCAGAAGGCAGGGGACGCTGCACGCTTAGACGGCCCAACCCGCTTGGCACGTCTAATGCACGTATTAGTGCTTTAGGGTTTGTGTGGCCTTCCTGTGCCCTAACTGCCCCATGGAATGGGGTTGCAAGGTCGCCGAATAGGCCCAGACTAGCCTTTAGCCAACCCCTTGTGTTATCCATCAGGGCCGTGAGTACGTACTTCAAACAGCACTGGCATGGGGGAAAGGGCGCTGGCTCTCCTTGCGGCCGCATCTATGGCAAAGAGTAACCGACCTGTACTGGCAATAGCACATGACACAGGGGGTAATTTGTGGGGACTTAACCATGCACAGATTGCCTAGGGCCAACTACACGCACAGGCCTCCTGAGTAGCAAAATTTAGTGGAACTGCATGCCGGGGTTGCGACTGCGGGCGAAGACCAAACGGCGGACGGCAGGGAGAGCGCACGAGGGACGAAGGGACCGTGATTGGTCGCATGCCTCGAGTACCTTTGAAGTCAGGCCATCTTCTTCAACTCCAGTCACATAACCAATGGCCCCCCTTGAGCGGCACCGATGATGCTCACACGTTTGTCTAGAATGCGAAAGTTACAAGGGGGCAGTTAAAGCGTCAATTCGTTGTACAACTGCTGGATTCTAACGCCTGACTAGCCGCCAACGAGCTCCTTGCATATTGGCTGAATATATTGCCATTTGCATGCTGTCCTTTGTTTCGACAAACTCAGCAACACGAGGGGGTTTCAACACTGGTTGCCGTAACTGTGTAATACCCAGTTCGGCCGCGCCCAAACGGCACGAATTATTTGTGCAAACTGCAAATTGTGTTGCTTAGTGCATACAAGTAACCATGGCTAGTTACGCCAAGCGGCTTTGGGTGAGTGCCGCTGACTCAGGCAATTCTCGACGGTGGCGGCCTGACCGAATTGTCCGCTTCCATTTATGAACAGCTTGAGGAGGATCTGGGAGATGACTACCGCTGGTCGTATCGCGTATCCGAGGTGCTCTTTTCGGGCAGAAGCGAGTACCAGGAGGTCGACCTTGTTGATACCCCGACGTGGGGAAAGGTAACTACTCTACATTCGGCGAATTCCTCAATTGCCAAATGAGCGGGGTGTAAGTGCTTAGGCTCTTCACCCAGCGCCGCCTCATTCGTTCGGTGCTGCGCAGGTTTTACTACTAGATGGAAAGATGCAGAGCACGGAAGCCGACGAAGAGGTCAGTATTGCAATCCGACCACCTTTTGCGGTGTAGTGTGGGCTTTGCTTTGGCCGTGTTGCAGAATGCTGGGGAGCCAAGCCATTGCACATAGCAGCTGCGGCATTCCTGATGCCTTTCCCTCCTGTGATAGCTCATGGACGATATATTGGGTAACCGATGTAGTTCATGATGCTAGCGATCGGCGAGCCAGATAGACTTACAACCTGCCATGCAACCTTAGGAACCCCTTGCCGAAGAAGGGATGTCTTACCTCTTTGCTGTCTTCCCGGATGACTGCAACAAGGCTTCAAAAATGACATTCTGACGCCCACTCTCAGTTGTAGCTCGTACGGCCCCTGTTGACCCCTCTTGGCCTGCACCCCAACCGCTTTCATCCCCACCTGCTCTCCGCCCCCGTGCAGGTGTACCATGAGCTGCTGGTGCACCCCACACTGCTGCACCACCCCAACCCCAAGCGGGTGTTCATCATGGGAGGTGCGTGGAAGGAGAGGGAGGAAAGCGCTCGGAGGGTGGACGGCAGCAACGTACTGCCTGGAGGGGCTGAGGGTGGCAGGGCTGGGCCGGCTGGAGCTGGGGTGTACGAGAGGCTGCTGCCAGGCTATAGAGTCCTAATCATCAGGCTTGTCCCAGCTGTTGAAGGGGGTCACAACGGCCCCACATCCTCCCTCGTGCTCCTGCTTCTCGCTGTGGCAAGAGATTTAATTTCTCAACTTGAGGCTCTTCTCGGCCCCATCGCCTCTGCTGAACCATTCCCCGCCTGTTCCCCGCTTCTTCCCTCCTCCCCTCCTCCAGGCGGCGAGGGCGCCACTGCTCGCGAGGTGCTGCGGCACCGCTCCGTGGAGCAGGTGGTCATGGTGGACATTGACAAGGTGAGGGAAGGGAGAGGAGGGAGCAGTGGGGCCCGCGTAGAAGGAGGAGAAAATGCTATGCGAGGGAAGGGGAGGAGGAGGGAGCAGTGGGGCCCGCACTGTCGAGGACGGGCGGACTGTGGTGGATACTACGTTGGAGTGCAGCTGTGGAGGAGGATGGGCTGGCGTGCAGGCGGCTACAACATCACCCATGCTTGGCGGCCTAAGTGACCTCAGCCAACGTGTATGCCCCTTGGCGCCTACATGAGCCGCAGTGCACCACCGCCCTCACCGCGCTTCACCCTCCGCCCCTCCCCGGCCCCCAGGTGGTCACCGACTTCTGCTCGCAGCATCTGGCTCGCAACCAGGCCGCCTTCCGCGACCCGCGCCTGACGCTCATCAACGACGACGCGCGCGTGCAGCTGGAGGCGGCGGAGGATGCCTCCTTTGACGTCATCATCGCCGACCTGGCGGACCCGCTGGACGGGGGGCCTTGCTACCAGCTCTACACGCAGGTGGGGGTGGGGCAGGGGGGCTGAGCGGCGGCGGCTTTAGGACCGGCGAGCAACACGCGGTCGTGGTCTCACCCTGGTCGCTAGGGCAGACAACTCACTTTCCTACCCTGCTCCTGCTCCCTGGTTTTGCTCCCTCCGCCCTGCAGGAGTTTTACCGCAACGTGGTGCTCCGCAAGCTGGCTCCCGGGGGCGTCTTTGTGACGCAGAGCGGCCCCGCGGGCTTCCTCTCCTGCCGCGAGGTATTCGCCTCCATCCACGCAACCGTGCGCTCCGTGTTCCCCGCCGTGCTGGCCTACGCGCAGCACATCCCCTCCTTCTGCGACACATGGGGCTTCAACATCGGCTTCCAGGACCCGCAGCAGGCGCCGGTGCTGTCGCCGGAGGAGATGGACGCACGCATCTCCGAGCGGATCAGCAACGGGCCACTGGGCTTCCTGGACGGTACGACGTTTGCGGGGCTGCGGCAGTTGAATAAGATGGTTCGTGCTGCGCTTGAGGGGCCCGATGTGGAGGTGTACACGTTGGATAACGCGCGCTTCATTCATGGGGCGGGAGTCAAGTCGGCTGGGTCATGAAAGTCATGAGGGAATGGGGCGTTGCTGAGGTGGAGGTGGAGGCGGTGGTGGTGGGAAGCCAGTGATAGCTGATAAGGGGCGGGTCCTTTGGTATGGGTGCCTGCCTTTTCGTTTCTGGAGGGCTGGTTGCTGACCTCGAAATGATTGGGTGGTACGACAGCTGTGTGAAGTACGTGAGAGAGGGAGCCGGTGCATGCGGCTGCGCCTGCGTGCGGCTTTTTTAGTAAGCGCACAGCAGCCTCCGGCATGAGTCGCCATATGACTGATTGGTCGAAATTGACAGCAGATGGCTAGTACTGACGACACTTGACGGGTCTTGAATGGGAGAAGGGGTTGGCCAATTAGACCGCTTGCCCCCACGTTGCTGTGAGCGTATGTGCGGGGGGAAGCGTGGGAGCTGCTGCTGCCACGCAACGTTCTTTTTGTACGAGAGCGCAAGCGTTGGAACGGCATGCATGCTCAAAGACGCGATACAACCGTAACCTGACCGCCGTAATGCGCTGTCTTGTCTGGACGTGCCGGTGCTTATCCATGATCGGAGGCTGCCCAAGGGGCCCCGAAAGAGTGCGAGAGTGCGCTTGAACAGAACAGTTTTGGTGTGACGTGACTTCTGCTGTGCCGGCGAAGTGTAGCGGATTTGGTGGGTGGCATTTTGGAAGCGGTTTCAGTGCGAGAGGGGCCCTACCGCTGCAGCAGCCGCAGGTTGTTAGCAGGTGATACGTGGTGCAACGAAGAAAGGCGTGAGGGGTGGGTGCTGCATGCGGAGTGGCGGGCGTGATGCGCTGTAAGAGGCAAAATAGCCACAGTAAGAGCCGAGCAGCGGATGCTATACGTTCGGTCTTGGGTGCGGGGTGTGAGACTGGCCCGGGCTCCTTGGTGCATTGCGACTGTGTGAGGCATGCGACTGCCCCGACGTGGAGACTCTTAGTCGCCCGTTTGTCATACTGTATAATGAATCATGTCGCCGCCACAAGCCACCGACCCATGGGTCAACCGTTATAAACCGTCATCGCGCTGCCTCAACTTGTTGTCATATGAAAGCAACGCGAGCACATTCTTCACTTAGCAGTTAGGAAATAGGTACGTATGTAATAGAACTTCAATCCGTTGCGAAGGTGGGTTCCAAGGTAAGACGTCCTCGTACCACATAAGAGCGTCCTCCTTTTAAGCCGTAGGTCGATGTGGCAAGTCAGTTCTTTGCTGGCGGCTCCAGCTGAGCGCGTACGTTCCAACAACCTAGTACAGCTTACCTGCCGTTCCGCTGTACGCAACGTGATACTGCCTCAGCGACGGTGCAGCGATTGGCCCACGCGGCGCGTCTACCGGTGTTAGCCTTTTCCTTTCTCTGGCATATAGTTCCGTGGCATATGTTTGCTAGCCGGCGGACTAGGGCTGTACACTAGCTAAAGGAGCCCGCCTTAGTGGGCCTCGAGCGAATTTCGCAGCTCCGGAGCACCTAACGCGGCGGTTGAAAGCATCTTGCTTTCCTGGGAATCTACCTGGAAGGCAGCTCTTAGACTTTAAAACGGGTATGTTATCGAGCAGCAGCTGAAGCCAGGGTGCCTGGATGTTACACTCCCGAAGCACGTGTGTGCCGGCGTCGCGAGGACGACCGGAGCTGCTGTGCTTGAAGGTCTTGAACTCTGAGTGGAGGCAGTTACGGCCGGCCTATAGCCAGGCAAGTCTTGATTGGAGGTCTCATCGTCCTGTACTCGATGAAGCGTTCGCACACCAGCATTGCGCCCTTGCTTGGATGCATCCGCTGCTGCTGTAGCCAACACGACACATAAGAAGTAGAAGTGCTCAAAGCAGCCCCCTGACCCGGCAACTGCACGCCCTGCTGCGCAGTACCGCCTTGCCTTGCTGTGCCGCGCAAGCAACCACGACAGCGCTGCCAGCTGCTCGGGGGGCAGTGGGCAGCTGCCGGGGCCGAGCCGGCGCGGCAGTTCGGTGGGCGACGACACAGACCAACCGCAACCACGACCGCAACGCCGCCCGCGATCTAATCTCTTTCCCAACTCGTACAACGGCCGCCCTGGGATTAGGATACCGGACTTGTATGTCTACCACTGGTGGCCGGACGTGCCCAAGGGGCAGCTGCGCGGGCGCCAACTGCAGCTACGAGTAGAACTGGATGACCGGGAGCTGACGTGTCCGGGCTGGGAGGCGGTCGGCCAGATGCAGGTTAGGCAGGCAGTTGCGCAGTTGGGGTTGGAGGTTTGGTCCGCATTTGCGCCGTAGCTGCTCTAACATAGATACCACGTCGTCCAATGCTGTGATTGCTGTTGCGAAGGCTCTCACTGCTACAGTCCTGTGATACCATCTAACCTTCTCCGGTTGGTATGCCCTCGCAGTCCCCGTACCCGGTGGTTCTGCATGACTACGTCAACCCCAAAACAGGCGCTCGCGATGTCGACGCTAAAGGAGTGCCCAAGGCCTGCCGCGACCAGCTGCTTCACCGCTACCTGCAAGGATACCGCGGGGACCCCCGCAGGGGCCCCATCACGCTGGTCGCATGTTCGGAGCCCGGGCAGAAGCGACTGCAGCCTAACGAGGCGGACAACGGTCCGGTGGGCGGGGGCTGCGATGGGGACTGCGGGCAGGCTGCTAGCCCCGCCTTGTCAGAGCGAGCGGCATCACCAACGGCCGGTGCCGCAACCAGCCCTAGCCCGCCCGAGCAGGAGACGCCGCCAGCGGCAGCTACGAAGCCTGGTAGCCCCAGCCCGGCTGCTGCACCCGCCGCAGCCATCAACGCAAGCCAGCAAGAGCAGGTACGGCCCTGCTTGTACTCTGACTAGAGGCGGTTACAGTCGGGCCATAGCCAGGTTAGCCCTGACAGGGGCCTTACTAGGCCTCATCTTCCTGTACTGCACGACATGTTCGCACACCAGCAATGCGCCCTTGCTTGGATGCATCCGCTGCTGCTGTAGCCAACACGACACATACCGGTAAGAAGTAGAAGTGCTCAAAGCAGCCTCCTAACCCGGCATTTGCCCGCCCTGCGCAGCACCGCCTTGCCTTGCTGTGCCACGCAAGCAACCACGACAGCGCTGCCACCGGCTCGGGGGGCAGTGGGCAGCTGCCGGGGCCGAGCCGGCGCGGCAGTTCGGTGGGCGACGCAGACCAACCGCACCCGCCGCAGCCGCCAAGATGCCGGGGGCGTACACGCATTGCCCATAGAAGCTACACTGGGCGAGAGTGGTTACGGATATATGATGACTACGTCTACGCCTGGTGGCCGGACGTGCCCAAGGGGCAGCTGCGCGGCCGCCTCCTGCAGCTGCGAGTGGAACTGGATGACCGGGAGCTGACGTGGCTGGACGGTACCGTGACGCAGGTGGGCATGGGGCCACCACGCATAGGCGCTGTCTTGCCGTCACGCGTTTTGACCTCAACGTGTTAGGGTGTGTTAGGCAGTGTTACGTTGCGACGGGCTAGGCAACCTCCTAAGAAACGACATGTGGTATGCAAGACGCTTGCCTGGCTTCTCTTGCCACACGGATACAGATTACGGCCCGTTCGGCCTTACCTCTTGGCCGTTGCCCCGCCCACGCCTTGCAGTCCACCTGCTGGGTGAAGCTGCATGAATACATCAACCCCAATACCGGACAATACAACGTCGAAATAGGCGGAGTGCCCAAGGCCTGCCGCGACCAGCTGCTTCACCGCTACCTGCGAGGATACCGCGGAGACCCCCGAAAGGGCTTCATCACCCTGGTCGCATGTTCGGAGCCCGGGCAGCCGCGGCTGCAGCCTGACGAGGCGGATAACAGTCCGGTGGGCGGGGGCTGCAACAAGGCGTGTGGGCAGGCCGCTGGCCCCGCCTCGCCAGAGCAGGCGGCGTCGCCAGCGACAGCAGCCGAAAGCAAGCCTAGCCCGCCAGAGCAGACGTCGCCAGTGGCAGCTGCACAGCCCTGCGATTTCAGCCATGCTACGGCCGGTGCCGCAACCAGCCCTAGCCCGCCCGAGCAGGAGACGCCGCCAGCGGCAGCTACGAAGCCTGGTAGCCCCAGCCCGGCTGCTGCACCCGCCGCAGCCAGCGAACCGGACGTCTGGGTGGCGACGGCGGTGCCGCATCTGGACGCAGCAGCGGAGCTTGCGGAGTGCTTTGCGGCGGTGAAGGCAGCAGCGAAAGCTGCCGTGGAGTCGGGCAATGCGGGCGCAATACACGCGGCGGCGAGGTTCATAAGGCAGTCACAGCGGCTGGTGCAGCTGGTGGATGTGCTGCTATGGCCGGCCCGGTTGGCTGGGGACGGAGGGGCAGCGGATGGCGGGGCTGGGGCGATCTACGCTGGCACGGTGCTCCCCGCAGTGCGCACCGCTGCCGGCGTGCTGACCGTCTGCAGCAAGGAGGTGGCGGCCGCGGCAGCAGCGGGGCAGTGGAACCGCCTGCGCTCGGCCGCTGAGCAGCACCTGGAGGTTGTTGTACGAGCACGCCGGAGCTTGAGCAAGCTAGAGAGGATAAGGGGATAGTAGGCACGGTGCCGGGATGTGGGCTGCAGCACAGCGCTTTGGTGCTACAGCTGCAGCCATTTGCAATGGTCTACATGCTGCGTTGCAATGTAGCAGTGGAGGTGTAGAAGTGCAACCCTATTAACGTTAGTAGTATTTTGTCGACAGTGTGACCCATGGGACGTCACATGGCTGCAAATTGTCTGTACAGCGGGTTCCTGACTTGTTAGGAGCGAGAGCTGGCTGGCGTCAGCGCAATTGGGCGCCATGTTGGCAAATAAGCCTGGCTGAGGTCTCAGTTAGCTGTATGCAGACAGCATGAAATGTAATCCCGAGGACCAGGAGCCAAGAGCCGAAGCAGAGAGACATTTTTACATGGTTACTATGAAATGCATTGTGCCCACGCCCAACAAGGCGGCTTCATAGCTGCGACCTCTAAACTCGCTGTTATATGCTGCAGTACATAACGACATAACAGGTAAGATGCATTAGCTGATTCCTGGTAGCCACGTGAGGTGCAGGCAGTTGCATTAGTCGTAAGCCAGAAGCTGCTCGTTAGTAGCATGAAAATTGTACCACAGCATATACCGGTAGTTTGCGTACAAATGCAGCTGACATTGCACCAGTTTTTCTGAACATGGCAACGTATGTACACCAACTTGCCGCGCCTTACCTGTCCAGGACATACCTGACGGGGTTAATGGCGGCATTCTTTACGTTTACATGGCATATACGGCGTAAGCGCAGCACAAACGCAGGCGCATTTCTCAAAATTTGCAGCCGTTTGACTAGAAGCTGTCATTACATGTTGCAGGCAGGAGCCAACACCCATCCCTTACCAGCCCAATCGTGCTCCAAACGCTAACGAGGGCAATTGTTTAAGCAATACTCGGGTGCATCAACATGGCTCCTCCAGGTGAAATGCCAAGGTAAGCAGCAGGCAAGTAACTTACGGTTGCTGGCAGCGTGACGGGGTCAAGCAACTCAGGGTGAACAACATCCGCTAATGCAAGCAGCATTCGTTTTGATATGGCACTAACCGGCACAGCATGGCATGGCATGCATACGACACCATCGCATCAAAGTACACAAGAGGCGGCGCCCTAATCGACAGCGCAAGCGCCAAAACAGCAGGACAGCATGCGAAGCGCATTCCGAAGCAAAACACGCACAGAAGCAGCTAAGCACCGACTAGCACCAAGCAACCTCCTCTACCTGCCCGGCGTGCCCGCCTCGGCCGCCGTGATTGGGCTGTGCTGCGTGGACTATCAACGGGCGCCATGGCGACCTGCAGCGCTCAGGTGCTCAGATGACAGCGTGGCGCATGGCGTGACGCATCAGGAGCAGCAGCAGCCAGGGCATACCATCTCATGACGCTGACAAGGCGAGAAGCAACGCAATCCTCGAGCAGGGAAGCAGCAGCCAAGCTCATGACAACAGCGCTGATGGTAAACAGTGCAGCACAGATGCACACACGCAGGACGACAACACACATTGCACGCAGCCACAGGGGCGCTTCATGTCAGCATTACGGCATGTCAGCTGGCTTCTCCCACTGGCTCACTCCGGTCTGCGTGTTGTAGTAATAGGTGCGACCCTGGTCATCCTGCAGCGCCTGCCACAGCGAGGAACCCCCGCCAGCCGCCGCCTGGGGGGCAGCAGCGGGCTGTTGCTGCTGCTGCTGTGCCGCCGGGTTGTAGCCGCTAGGGTTGTAGCCGCCGGGGTTGGCGTACGGGTCGGAGCCTGGGGCGCCGTACGCGTTGTAGCCGCCGTACGGTGGCACCGAGCCTGGGTAAGGCGGGTAGCCGCCGTATGGTGGGTAGCCGCCTGGCGCCCCGTAGCCGGGCTGGGGCATACCGAAGCCTCCGTAGCCGCCGTAGGGTCCGCCGGGGTAGGGCGGGGCGTTGTAGCCGCCACCGTAGGCGGGCCCGGGACCAGACCGTGGGCCTGCGGACGGGAACGAAACCACATAAAGCATCTTAGGTTAACAGCATGTTGAAATGGAAGCGAGAGGCAGCGTGCAGAAAGGGCTGTATAGCACAAACCAGCGCCAGGATCCCAGACCAGACAGGGTCAGTTTGGCAAAGGTAGCCTAGCCCAGACCCCCACCCACCTCCCATGTTGGTTGGCCGGATGAGGTCCTCGATTGCCCGCTTGGCATGCCCGATCTGGTGGGTGGGTCCGGTGATGGTGACCTTGCAGGGCGTGGAGGACTGGTCAATCTGGATGCTGGCGCTGAAGCGCTTCTGCAGGTCCTTGATGGTCTCGCCGCCCTTGCCGATGATGCGCCCCACCATAACCTTGGGGCACTCCAGCACCTCAGTGGAGCCCAGACCGAACTGCGCAAAGCAAGTCGCGCAACGACGTGGACGGACGGACAGGAAGTACAATTAGTTGCTCTGCTTTAATATATCGGAAGAGCGGGGACCACCCCGGGGCACAAACCAAGAGGAGCACGCCATACTTGGAGGGCGGGGGGGGGGTAGTACGAGCAAACCGCAACAAGCCTGCGAGTGAACGCGGGACGAGCATAATGAACCCTCATTTTCCCCCGTGCGTACCCGCTGGATGACGGCCTGCGTGTTGGCGTGATCGCCGGATATGAGCTCCGTTACCATGCTGACTGCTCGCTCCACGGCGTCATGGGAACCGGAGATGGCGATTTGCCGTGGCACGCCCTCGGGGAAATCCTGGTTCACGAGGATATGCGCACCGCTAGCCTGCTGCAGCGTGCGGATGGTCTCACCGCCGCGACCGATAACACGCCCAACAATGCCAGGTGGGCATTCAAGCATCCGCTGCTCCTCGCCGGGCATGTGCTGATGCTGCGATTGCTGCTGCGAATCTCCGCTTCCCGCAATCAAGTCGTGCACCATCTTCTTCGCGCGCTCCACGTCCTCGCGCTTGCCGGAAATCGTTACTGGCTTCTCGCCAGGAGCCTTATGATCTACTTGCACACGCGTGCCGGTGCTTGCCTCCAGTTCCCGAATTGTTGCGCCTGCGCGCCCAATGACGCGTCCGACCTTGTCACTGGGGCACATGATAATCTCGGTGGCAGTGGCCGCGTCTCCAAGTATAGCTGCAGATGTCTGCACAGGCGCATAGGAAACTAGATACAGACAAAATGGTACGCTATAGAGATTTAGACACACGCACCAGGCCAAGCACTTCAGCGGCGTGCCGCTTAAGATCCGGGGCATCAGCCGCGCTGCTATCCTCAAATTTGCGTTTGTTGCTGTCAGCTGCTGTGCCCGGCGCCTGTCCAGCCTGAGCAGCAAACAGGTTAGCAAGCTCCAGCGCGCGGTTCCTGCCAGCGTCCAGCAGAACGTCGACCGTGTTGCCCTTGGCCTGGTCGTCCGAAGCTAGCCCTGCATCTGGCCCAGGCAGCTGCTCATGACCACCATAGTACGGTGGGGGTTCAATTCCTTGCTCTCCATTGCCGGCTGGGACTACTTCAGCGGGCAACGCGTAAGCAGCAGCGTCTTGTCCGTCAGACATTCTTTCTAGCGCAGAAGACAACGCAGTTTTATTGTTATCGATGCGGACCTTCCTATCGCTTTACGCACCTCTGTATAAGAATGCGAAGGCCGGCCGCCCAGGAGTCCACGGCGTACGACGGCGGCTCCATGCCCTTAACGAAAGCCTTGAGCAGTAAGAATACATGTGCTTAATGCAAGGGGTGATATTTATCCTCTGGCAAAGTACCATTGAGCAGCTTACTAGTGCCGCGAAGCTGGGCCATGTCCTTGTGCCTGAGGGCACGCTGACCTGGATGTTATGGCCGGCTTAAAGCGTATGGATTTAGGTATTGGTCCCTTGTTTTGAACCATATGTTACTACCTACACGCTTTCCTCCCATTTCAAAGCAAAGCATGTGTGTTCAGCAAAAGAGATACTCAATTGCTTCCTAGTGGTTTTCTCCCTACCGGAAACCCTATACATTTAGAAACCTTGCTTGGTTGTTGAATACAGGATGGTCGCTGCTCGTCAAGCCTACATGCGAGCTTTTATACCAACCTCCGCACGGATGACACACGCAGCAACAGTGACACATGAAGGATAGTGTGTGCACCGGGAGTGCATGCAGGTACTGTGGGAGAGGTGGATTATGTTCTGAGATGTAAGTTGTTAGGCAACTTAGGCCCGTGGGTCACAGGCTGTAGTCCGGTTATGCATCCTGCGCACCAGCCTCTTCGCAGCACATACCCCCCAAATGACCGACACGATGTCTAGCCGACTCAAGTAAAGCTGGGTCTCTGTCGCATGACAACTGCAGCGGCTGTCCTATTCCCTCATTGCTCTAGCTAACTACGTCTCTACGCCGCTACGGTACTGCCTTGTAAACCCGTAACTGTCGTCATAATTCGGTCTTACTCGCCCCGAGGGGGCCGATGCAAGAGGCAGATCTGCTTCAGGGCGATGCCTCCAGGTCGCGGCGGCTTCACAAGGACCTGCTTGGCTCTGCTCTGCGTGTGGCTCGAGGTATTGCACATGCTGGTAGAGGATGGGCTTTTCTTGTTGGAGGAAGGGAGGTGTTGGTGATTGCCGGCAATGCGCTTATGGCATGCGGAGACACTGGCGCCTACCTGGCGAAATGACAGCCCAGCACGTGAATGCTACTACATTAAGCGAAGCTCCAGCTCTTTGGCGTCGGGTTTCATTGGCAGCAAACCAAAAGCGTCACCCGCATGTTCCAGCTGCTTGCTGGCGTGGCCATCGGTACGGCAACTGCATAAGGAAACAGAATCGCCAAGGGTAAATGCGAAGCAAACTCTGGCAACCGAAACCTTGCTAAGCACATGTTATGTATAATAAAGTGAAAACCTAAGGTGCAGCCCCATGGGCGGCAACTCTAGCAAGCTAGAAAAGGCTTTGGCAGAGGCACCTGAGGACGAACGTTATTATGGCCTAGAGAACTTTGGAAATACATGTTACTGCAATTCAGTTCTGCAAGCCCTCTACTTTTGCAAACCGTTCCGCGAGCGCCTGCTGAAATATGGCGCGACAATCCCGCCGAACACGGAGGAGAACTTGCTGGTGTGCTTGGCGGAACTTTTTAATCAGGTGCACGGGCTTGTTTTTATTACTGTGCAGAAAGGCCATCTGAATAGACATTCGCCCACAAGGGCAATAAGCAAGAGTTATCTTGTTTAATTATATACAACACTGAGAGGGGAGCACCAAGTGGCCACGTTTCGTTTTAGGAAGTCCCGGGCGGGAGGATGTTTTAGTACATGCTGACGGTTGAGAGCACTTCACTCCAGATCAATGTGAGCAAGAAGAAGGTGGGCGTCATCTCGCCTAAGAAGTTTGTCCAGCGGCTGAGGCGCGACAACGAGCTTTTCCGGGGCCACATGCATCAGGTGGGTTTGGTACCATGGCGAGCACGAACGGTTATGAGTAAGTTCTGTGGAAGAAGCTCACAGGTAAGCTCACAGGTGGTTCGTTACAACTAGGGGACTTGGGTGCACTTCAACTGCTGTTCCCCACCCGACTGCTTCCTCGCTCCTCAACTAACCGCTGCCTCGGCTGAAAACAAACCCAGCAATATTGTCCAGCCGCATCCCTGCAGCATCACCTCGCCGTCACCGCCACTTGCGCTGCTGCATCCGTCCTTCACCCCCCAGCCTCAGCTCTAATGACCATGGTAGTCATCCCTGCTTCCTCCTACATCGTTGTTTTGCCCTAAGGGGTTTCTCCGGTTTGCCCTTCCCCTCTCTCTGCCTCCTGGCCTCCCCTCTGACCCCTCCCCTACCTTGTATCAATATCACATCACACTTTGGAACTTCTTTTTCCCCTCCCTTTTGCCAGGACGCCCACGAGTTCCTGAACTACCTGCTCAACCAGAGCTGCGAGCTGCTGGAGCAGGAGGCGCGGCAGCAGGAGGGCGGCAGGGGGCAGGCGGTGGGGGCAGCAGGCAGCGGGGGCCAGCAGCAGCCCATCACCACCTGGGTGCACGAAATATTCCAGGTGGAGGGAGGCTGGGGAAAGGGGGAGGGAGGTTGGATTGGTGGGAGGGCTGGCTTCCTCCGTTGCGTGAGGTGTTGCGCGGATCAGCGCTGCCTGCAGAGGCGCTGCAAGGGCGGGGTTGCCATCCATCCGTGCGGGCGGTGGCCGGCTGGCGACTCCCGCCTGGGGCCCGAGGCAGGAGGATGGCTGTCCGTAGCCATGCGGTGCACTCCCTGCCGCCCACCCGCCCGCCTAGCCGCCCACGAGTCCAGTGCCCAGCTGTCATGCCCGCCACATCCGCCCACCCCGTGCGCACTCCATCCGCGCATCACCCGCACTCCGCTTCCTCTAGGTCCCCCTTCCTCTTTCCGGTGTCTCGTAATTCCCTGCCCCCACCCCTCGCCTGCCCCTCCCTCTGCCCCCCACCCTCTGCTTCCTCGCCTCCTGCCCTCCGCTGCAGGGCAAGCTGGTGAACGAGACGCGCTGCCTGCACTGCGAGACGGTGACGTGCCGCGAGGAGGTGTTCATGGACCTCAGCCTGGAGATAGACCAGAACACCTCGGTCACCTCGTGCCTGCGCAACTTCAGGTGGGCGGGAGGGAGGCGTGGGGTGAGGGGGGGAGGCCTGGAGGCAGGTGGTGGGGAAAAGAAAAATACCCTATGTGTTGAATGAGGCTGACAAACACGCCGACTAGCTCCTGGTGATGGAACCGAGGTAGTCGAGCCGAACTTGCCACATCTGGTGGCGGTGGTGGGGGGGAGGCTGGTGGGGGGCTCACAGGTGGCCTTGCAGCAGGGAATGGGCGAGTGGAGCACGGAGACTTGGTTTGCTGGGTGCGTGGCGTGCAGGTCTGCATGCGCTGGCGCTGGTTGAGCTGCGCAAGAGCTCAAATGGGGTCCCCCACATCCCTTGCCGCTCATCCCCACCCTGCTGCCCCCCTGCCTGCCTGCTCCCCTGCCCCCCCCTGCACACAGCTCCATGGAGATGTTGGACCGGGACGACAAGTTCTTCTGCGACCACTGCTGCTGCCTGCAGGTGGGGGGGAGGGCGGGGCGGGGCGGGGCGGCAGGGAACTTGAGGACACGGAAGACGACACGAACACGGTTCTCGCCAGCTGGTATAGCGGCAGTTCAAGGGGTGGTCTATGGATGCGGGTCGCCCCCATCCCACCCTGCTCCCCCTCTGCCTCCCCCTCTGCCCCCCAGGAGGCCAAGAAGCGCATGTTGCTGCGCAGCGCCCCGCCCTGCCTCATACTGCACCTCAAGCGGTTCAAGTACGTGGAGGCGCAGGGCAGGTGAGCACGCGGGGGAGGGGAAAGAAGGAGACCCAATGCGGGGGAGGGGAGGGAGTGTGGGGGCCGCGCATGCAGGGGTGCCGCCGGACAGGGAGGGTGGACAGGGCAGGGGTGGGCATGGAGTTCTCGGGTCATTTCCTGGGTGTCCCTACTGCTCACATGAGGGCGCACACCACTGCTTGTGGCTGGGGAGGGACGAGGGCATGCCGCTTACTGCGTCCAAGCGGCGCTGCGTTGGGAAGGCAAGCAGGAGGCCGTGCAGGCGGCGGTGGCGGCTGAGAGTGAACCCTGAATGGGCAGGGCGGGGAGACCGGTGCGCATGAGCGCTGGCGGTGGGACAAGGCGGGGCGCTACTGCTCCCTTCTTGACCGCCATGCCATGAAGGCACGGCTGGGCAGCCAGTGCATGCAGCCCTCCCTCCCACCCTCGCACCCCCCCGCCCAACTCCTGCCTGCGCACCCGGGTCAGGCTCCGCAAGCTGATGTACCGCGTGGTGTTCCCCATGGAGCTCAAGCTGGCCAACACCACGGAGGACGAGCCGGGGGCGGCGGACACGCTGTACGGGCTGTCAGCGGTGGTGGTGCACGTGGGCAGTGGGCCGCACCACGGTGGGGGGCTGGGGGGCTGGAGGGGCGGGTGCAGGGGAGGGAGGGGCAGGGCAGCGGTGCTCCGGCAGCTTAAGATTGCGTACGGCAGTCTTTTTCCTTTTAGCTGGTCTGGCGGCCGGCTTTGCAGGTTTGCCCTGGCTCACGGTGTGACGCAAGACACCCTGCCGCACCTCGCCTCCCTCATTGAGCGCAGCTTGGCCGCTTCTTCACACCTTTCTCCTTTCCAGCATGTCCTGTTGCATGACAACCCCGGAGCTTCTTACCCCCCGCTTCCCCCGGCTGCTGCTGCCCCTCTCCCGCCCCCCTTGCTAACCCAACAAGTTTGACTATGCGATATCCTAAAATCCAGCCTAATGCGGAATCTTCATCCCTATTACGCCCCCCTGCCGCAGGCCACTACGTGTCGCTCATCAAGAGCGGCGGGCAGTGGCTGTTCTTCGACGACGAGAGCGTCACCCTCATCAATGAGAGCCAGGTGCAGAGCACCTTTGGGTCCACTTCGGACTACGGACAGAACGACACGCACCATGGGTACATCCTCTTCTACGAGCGCGTGGGGGCGGCGTAGGAGGGGCGGCTTGGGCTTGGATTTCCGGAGGAGTAGGACAGGAGTATGTGGGTGTCATAGCTCATAGGTGACAGAGGCAGCCGGAGTCATTTCGGAAAGTCGCGGGGCGGGCATGGCCTCCTGGGCGACTCTTGGAGGAGCGCCAAATGTAGGAGGAGCGTGAGTTTGCATCGTAAACTAATGCCTTTTGCGGTTTGTGCTTAAGAACTTTTACTTTTGCGGTAGTTGTTTGGATTTAGAGACCGACGAGAGGCCGACGAGACTTGGGAACATAGGTGGGTTGTGCGCAGGGCGCTAAGAGCTGGGTTGGATAAAATGGAGCTAGGTCACTTGCCGGGATGGGCTGATGGCGTGATGGGCGATGGGACTCATGGACGTGGTGTGTGCATTCAGGGGCCTCACGCAGAGAATTTGGCTAGACGGAGGCAGCGGAGACGGTGACTGGGCGAACTCGCCGTGGCTGGAACAAGCCGGTGTGTGAGAGCATGGGGTTTTACATGATGACATGAACTCGTCTAACGGATGTGGAACGCAAGGCAAAGGCATGCTTAGGTAGGTAGCAACGGCCACCCCAATGTTGGGTGTAAACAGTCCTGGCAATTCGTAGCCAGCGTTAAGAGATAATACAATGTTTTGTGGATATGGGACGGAAGGAGGGAAGCCGCATAGCAAATAAGGGTTCCGTGTTGTTCCCCACAAAAAAAACCGGTACATCTCCTACTCAGTCGCGGCCATCCGCATACCAGGCCTAAGGCAAATACGTCAGTTCTGGGTTGTACACATTCCAGTTTTATGGTCCGCAGTACTCCTGGGGCAGATTGTTAAGGGAAAGTGGTCAACAACTGCAACTGCTAATTACAAGGTATAAGGTTGAAGAAGCCTATGATGTAACTTCGATCTGCAATAATATATACATTGCGGCACTTACCCGTTATACTGGTATCATTATTCCAAACAGGGTAGACGTATCGTCACTTTGTCGCCAGCCTCGCCAGGGCTTGCCGACTTTGGCTCCTGCGTTCTGTCTATATCCTTTGTACCCATTATCACAGCTACATGCCGGCCGTCCCGATGCGGCTTATCCTCGTCAATCGAGGCCAGCCCGATGTTCATGCCTATCGTGTTTACGAAGGTGGGGTCCTGCAGCCCATCAGGCAAGGTAACGCGCCTCCCTTCGTGCTGCTCAAAGAGGATCAGCGCCCCTCGCCGGAGGATGTGCTGCGCCTTTTCAAACTGGCTCCGGAGCAGCATCCCCCCTTCCTGCTGCTGGCCGACACACTGCTGCGGGAACTGTGCGGAGGGACCCCGCCGAAGCCGCTAGGCATGATGGTGGGGGGCGGCCCCGGCCGATGCAAGCGGAAGCTGCTACACGCGTTCGCGTGGTTCGTCTTCCAGCAGCGTGCGGAACGGCTGGTGGCGATCCTCGGCGTCATGGCGCAGTCAGCGGCGAATGTGAGGTCATGGGGACTGCTGGCTGAAGCCCTGTGTGGCACTGTGCGCTTGCCCCTTGACCCACTTCGTGTTTGTGCTTGGTAGCGGCCTATCTGACGGCTCCATTAGCTTACCAAGCACAGGCCTATCTGACGGCTCCATTTGCCTCTTGAAGTACCGCACCTAGCGCCCAACCTAGCGAACACGTTAACTAGCATGAATAATTCAGAAGCGCTTCCTACGAGTTACCACGATGCTGCCCTAACACCTTGGTGTACTGGCATTGTTCCATTTTACGCACCCACCCGCCCGCCCGTCCGCCCGCAGGCCAGCTTCCCCGGCCTCCCAGCCAGCACCATCTCCGCCTTCCTCGCTCTCGACCCGCCCTTCTCCCAGGTGGACCACTCCTCCTCCTCAGCAGCAGCAGCAGCAGCCGGGACCTCCTCCTCCGCTGCAGCCCTACAGCGCGCCCGCCGCAACCTGGCTGGCAAGCGCTTCCTCATCTTCTTCGATGCCTTCTACATGGGGGCTGCGGAGCTGGGTGCGACAAGCCAGCGGGTGTGTGAGGCGCTGCAGGGAGCGGGTGCGGGGGCCGTCGGGGATGCGAGCAACCCCTGGGCTGGCCTGCACGGTGTGCTGATGGGGGACGCGGAGCAGATCCCGCCGTCGCCCAGCGAGCCGCTGTACCGCCGGGATGACCCGCTAGACCCGCTGAACCGGGCCCAACAACAGAAGGAGCAGCAAGAAGGGAAGGAGCAGCGGCAGCAGCCACCACTGGATCAGCAGGAGGTGGACGAGGAGGAGCATCGGGCTTTCACACAACAAGCTTTGGCAGCCTTTATGTTATCGCAAGCCAAATGATTGCCGTGTATGGATGAGGATATCGGTTGCGGGTTCGATGGGGGATTTGTTGGATATGTGGGTTACCGTTAGTCATCTGTGGCAAGAAGACAAATGCACGGATCACGTTGTACGGACACTATTGTGTTATCGTAGGGCAGGTTACGAGTTATTTGTTAGTTGCTTTCGTGAGAAGTCCATCCTAAAGCCCTACATGTCGCGTCCTAGGGGCAAGCACCGCAGGGCTTGGCGGCTGGCACGTGGGGCGTCTGGGATCTACATGTGGGTTTGGTCCGCAGAGGTCACGACACTTGGGACGTGCTGTGTGTGTTGAAGCCCCCACGTTCACCTGCTAAAGCGGAAGCGCGATAGACTCGAAGCGATTTGAATCATTGTCCAGTTTACATTGTTGTCCATTGGAAGCAAATCCCCGGTAAGCGGCGAGCATAGCAGGACTGGACACAAACCAAACTGCGTGCCCTTTGCGGCCCCCGGGAGTTATTGCACGAACACCCACCCCACTAACAAATATGAACTTTGTAATACCGTAAGCGCCCAAGGCTCATGTTGCCACGTACCGTCATGGAATACGCCTCCATGCAGAAACGAAACTCTACGAGTATTCCAGGAGGCGCCTTCATAGTTCTGTCGCTCGAGCCCTGCTCTAATCCAAATAATGATCGCCATTAGCACTGGCGGCCGTCACACATGAACCTTGGGCGGCTAGACTAATTGCAGAGCAAAGCCCAACAAACCGAGGACCCATCCGCGCCCCTGGCCCCTCTAGAACGGGCTAGGGGACATGCAGCATATGGCTCGAAACCCCACCTTCCCATGGTGCTAGCCTGACGCCACATCCTCGCCATATGCCTAGCAAGCGCCACCCCCGACCAGACCAGACACGGAATAGGTACAGTGCTAACCGAAGTCTAACCAGCCCCTCCATTTCAGGATCTCAAACAAGAATGTACGCCTATTCTACACGCCACGTATGTTCAATCAATCGCACCGCGTGACCACACAATAAGCATCCCAGCCACATCCAAGACATCTGTTCGACCCCCCTCCTTTTCCCATTCCCAAGGGTCGCCACTACCTAATACCACACTGCATTTCTTTCTTCTTTCTTAGTTTTCCTCGCCTCCTCACGCGCTGCCGCCCCTGTTCCTGCCCACCACGTCCTGCCTCAGCTGCTCGCTCAGCTGCTTGTTCTGCTGGAAGTGCCGCATGTGCAGGATGGGCACGCAGCCGGCAGCGGCCAGTGTGCGGCCGCTCACCCGCTCGTCGCTGTAGGAGCGGGGCCGGAAGCGCTCCAGGGTGGCCTCACCCGCCGTGCCAACCCTGGCGCACACCCCCATCAGCGCATCCAGCGTGTTCATCTTCATGTAGGGGCAGGAGGCGCAGCCGCCCTCTAGGCTGCAGCCCTCGCCGGAGGCGGGGCCTGAGGGGGAAGTGTGAAGAGGTGGGTGCGCGTTGATGCGGCACAGGTGCCAGCATGCCGCCCAGCAGACCCCCTGCAACATGCAGGCACCCTAACCCAACCTGCACACCCACCTGCCACACGTAACCCCACACAGCGCAGCCCTTTTCCTGAACCGTGCTCGAACCTCCACCCTCCCTCTTCCCCAGCCCTACCTGGCACGATTGTGAGGCCCGAGGGAAGCTGCACGGGCCCCTGCGCGGTGTCCTGGCGGGCGGTGGTGATGGCGGAGGGAGCCACCGGGAACACAATCTCCACCTCCACGTCGCTGCGGCCGGACTGAAGAGGCGGCAGGGAGAGAAGAGGGGGAGGAAGGGACAGGGACAAGAACGGGTGGGGGCTGTTCTTTGGCTTCGGCAGGCCAGCATCATGGATGCAAGAGGCACACCACAATCCCCATGGTAAAGTGCGCTCCCGTACATGCATGCAATGTGCCATACCGTCAGGAAGTAGCCCTCTTTCCTCCCTGCACCCTCCCGCCCCGGCCGCACCTGCTGCAACATGCCCTGCACCCTCCTCACGATGCTGGTGATCATGCCCGCCTCCGTGCCCAACACGAACTGCAGCACCTCGGGTCGCGGGGCCGCTAGCGCCCGCCCCAGCTGCTCGCCGATGAAGTCCAGGATGTTGGAGGTGGACCCAACCACGCCCATGCCGCGGGTGCGCTTGGCCTGCGGGGGGGGGAGAGGGGCAAACAATTATATAAGTGAGGTGTTGGGGTGATGGGAGGACAGCAGCGCGTCCGGATAAAAAGAGAGCAGCAGGAAGTCTACGCATGCCATGCCTATCCCGCCCGTATGAATAGTGCCGTGTTCCCCGTGTAGCCCCATACACATGTTACCCCCCCTCACCTCCATTGCCAGCCGGAACATCTCCCCGGGCACCTCAAAGTGCGCCGCCAGGTAGGCGTCCCCGTACGCCGCCCGCACCGCCTCGCACACCTCCCCCCCAAACAGGTGGTGCACGATGCAGGTGCCGCGCTCGTAGTGCCGCAGCCGCGGCAGCAGCGCCCGGATGGAGGCCACCGAGTGGGCGGGGTGCAGCTGCCGTACGTCCTCGTCGGTGGCGCCGCCCCAGGCCAGGTCGGTGAAGAGCTGCACCAGGTTGCGACCCATGTAGGTGTCGGGGCCGTACCACACGGTGGCGTCGGGGATCTGGAAGGGGGAGGGGGAGGGGCCGAGGGGGAAAAAGAGAGAGGGGAGGCCGCGGTTAGCAGAGAAAGCGTAGGAGCGGGCAGAAGCCAGGTGAAGGGCAGGAAATTAAAGTGGAAGGCGACTGGGACTAACCTGCTACTAGCGGCGGTAAGTGGGTAGGTGAAACTAGTGTACCCCCCAGACCCCACCACCATTCCTCCCTCCGCCCTGCCCCACCGCCCCCCTCCCCCTACCTCTGCGAACGCCGCCAGCACCGTCTGCACCACGTTGGACGAGGTGCACGTGATGGTGGGCACTCGCTGGTCGGCCAGCGCCTTGGTGCGCAGCGAGGTGTTGATGTACACCACGTGAACACTGGGAGGGAAGGGGAGGGGAGGTTGCTGTTAAGGAACGAGGACAGGTAGAGAGGGGGAGTGAGTTATTAAAAGGGGCCGCCGGATGAGTCGGCCGGTCAACGCCTGCACGTGTTTACATAATGAATTAAAGCAATCCTTCCCGCACCTGTTTGGCGTCTGCGCCGCCGTGTCCAGGTAGGCCAGGTAGTCGTCGCTCTCCGCCGCCTCCGCCAGCGAGCAGCCGATGTCCGTCTCCGCCAGCCGGTACACCCCCACCTGCGTGTGGCCAGCCTCGTCCAGGATGGCGCGCACGTTCTCACTCATGAAGTCCACTCCCAGCACGCAGATGGCCCTAGGGGGGTGGAGGCAGGGAGGATGGGTAGGGAAGGTGGAGGAAGCAAGCAGAGAAGGCGCAAGCGGAGCAGAGTCGGTCAAGCTAGGGCTCCTAACGCTCCCACGTGTGATGCAGCGCCTAACGGAACCGAGGCAGCAGCAGCAACAGCTAAAACGTGACCTCCCTCTTTCCCTTAGGTTGCGGGTCCATAGAATAGTTTCGGTCGTTGCGCTCATTGCATGAGTCGGGGCACGGGATTGTGGTTCACTTCTAAATTCTATTTCCCCTCCCCTTCCCTCCCACCTGCATCCCTGCTCCGCCATGCGCACCGCCTTGTCCGCCATCACCAGCGAGTCGCTGATGGCGATGTGCGGCCAGCTCTCCGCCGCCGCGCTGAGCACCCCCTGCACCTCGGGATCCATGTAGAAGTGAGCCACGACGCCGATGCGCTTCTCACGCAGCGCAGACACAAGCGCGGACACCTGGGAGGGGGCGCGGGGCGCGGGGAGCGGGGCGGAGGGAGGAATGAGAGAGTCAGGCGGGGAGGTGGCATAGAGATTCTGCTAGGCGACTAGGAGGCGAGCAGCAGCGCGGTCACGTAACCGAGGTGGCGGCCCTCCGCCGAGATGCCGATAGCTTTCCTCCCTGAGTCCATTGTTCCAGCTTCCCACTCCCCACTTCCACACCCCACCTACCCTTTGCGGGTCCGGGTGCAGGTACCTGGCCTGCGCCTCCGCAAATGCCCCCTGCGGGCTCAGCTGCCCCGCGGTGATGCGCAGCGAGGGGAAGGCGGCCAGCGTGTGCGGCAGTGCCAGCACGCGCACGCGCTTCTTGGCGGCCTCCAGCATGTTGGCGACCCCGCCGGTGCGGCCGGGGGCCAGCAGCCCGCGACCTAGCGCTCCGGAGAGCTGCTGCTGCAGCAGAGAGGGGGACACCTGCGGAGGCGGTGGAGAGCAGAGGAAAGAACGGGGCATCCTAAAGGTATGGACAGACGAAGAGGGCTGGAAAGGGGCAAAGGGGCGCAGACGGGGGACGATACGTGGGCAGCAGAGAATGCGGGCGCGTCCACATGATGAGCGATGCAGGCCCGCATGCTCTTTGCGGCCGCCTAGCCCAACCTGCCTTCCAAGCGGTCACGCACGTCATACCACAGCCCCCAACATCCTCCATCCCGCATAACCCTAGCCTTGCCAGTTGCCACTTCCCCCGCACCCCTTCCTCCTCCCCACCTGCAGCACCTCCTCCGCGGTGAGGCCCCTCAGTCCCGCCGCCAGCAGGGCCACCAGGCCCCTGCTCACCTCGCTGTCGCTCCAACCCTGCAGGCGGGGAGAGAAGAGGAGCCAGGGGGGATTGACGAGGGAGAATGGATGAAGGAGAGACAGGTGTGTTAAGAGGTAGGAACACAGGAGAGGACAGACAGGGAGAATGGAGGGAGAGACAGGTGTGTTAAGAGGTAGGAACACAGGAGAGGACAGACACGGGCACAGGTGGACTGTGTCAAGAGGGGGCAGGGTAAGTTCGCATAGTGAGTTCCGGGGTAAGTCGCCTCACCTGGAACTGCAAGGTCCCTGAGGCAGCGTCCAGCTCCGCGGTGAGCCACACCTGCGCCGTGCACCCCATCACACGGGTGGCGGCGGTGCGCTGCTCCTCGGGCAGCGGGGGGAATGCTGCACCCAGGTCCAGCAGCCGCCTGCGCTCAGCGGGGAACAGGTAAGTGAGGTCCGTGTACTACCTAGCTTCAAGCGCTAGTAGAATGGACGTGGCAGCGCTAATTATAGAGCTTAAGAAGCAACAGCTTCAAGCAGCATGCCCTCATACTGCAGGGTTTACACTACCCGTTGCTGTGCCCCTCATCCGATACAGAAGGTTCAAAACATACAGCAATTCGTAACGCCGCTGCAATTTTGTTCTCCTTAGGGGCGAGAAAAGCGCTTACGGATTCGCACCTTAGCCGCTCTTTACCATCTCCGATATCCGTAAGCTGCTTTAGAGTAGTTAGAAGTGATGAAGGTAAAGTATCAGAAAAGGCCGTGCCCCGGCCGTTGGAGGCAGCGACGCTGGACACCCCGGTATCATCTGGGCTTAAAGTAGGAGCTGAGTTCAGCGCTGCCAAAAGGGATACCTACGGAACCAAAAGAACACTCGTTGCTGTGCTTACAGCATAGTAACCTTAAGGACTACGAGTACACCGGCTCCGATGGCAACGTTAACTCCCGCCCTTTACCTGGCGGCACCATCTCGAACCACCGCTCGTGCGGCCTGAGTAAACTTTCCCTCTCCGCCCACGTCCTTGTGCACTCACTAATACTACATGTCCCGCCGACCCTGAAGAGCCGACGCGATAACCGTTCCGAAGTGACTTCATATTTGTAATTTTCCTCTAGCATATGTGTTTGGAGCATGATTAAACAACTAAGAAGCCCAGACAGTACCGTACGGCATAACGTAAGACATGCAATCCATGGAGTTTTGCATGGCGTGCTAGCGAATAGGTGTTCGGTCCTGTAGGCCTCAGCGACGCCGCTATACATTCTCCTACCAATAGCCGCATATGTCGCTAGCTACCTGAAGAGCGCTAACCGGTGCGCCGTCCACGCCATATGCGGATGCCATACCAGACACATCAACCTCACTGTGCAGGGAAGTCAAACCTTGCAGCACGGGCGGGTACCCCAAAGATGTTACACAGGAAAGCTTCACACGCGTGGTTTTTGTCTAGGACAAGTTGAGTACGGAACCCCAGTCGTTGCCACTTCGTTTGTGGCATGGCGGATAAGGACCATAGGGCTGTGCGTCGCACTAGAGTCGGCCTTTCGCATTTCGTAGGGCTGGACCGGCTTACTTTCCTTTAATCAAAGCACCCAGCGGTAGGTTGCAATGCCAATGCGCCGTCAGGCTGAATGCGCTGCCATTGCATCGAGCACATCATGAAATCAACTACTGGAACTCGTGAGAAAGCACAGGCGATGTTGCATGCCATGCTCCAGTTCTCCTTTTCCAAAGGATTACGTGACAATAGTATCTGCAGCGCTCGCTAAGCTTGGACATTGGCGCTTCATGATATGAATTAACTGCCAACCAATTAACTGCCAACAGGCTCGCTGTCGTGCTTGCGTTCGCCTGCACCGCCGCACTGAAGTCATACGTGACCGTGAAGACGAATTCAGTGTCCCAATCCTACAACAACAGAAAGCCCAAAGCGCGCAGCCAACCGCCCACCTGCCAGATAACAGCCCACTTGAGCAAAGAGCAAGTACCAAGGTACGACAAGCCTGCGCATTTGCCATTCCTCACCATAGACTTCAACGTCAACTAGTCCCTCACACATATGACATGTTGCAGTATACCAGCCAGTTAGACAGGGTCATGACAAGCATCGCATGGACCAACAAATCCAGAGTTATCAAAGAGACGTACACAACAACACCTGGGCACGCTGTGGCGTCGGGTGGCTCAAGCTCTCATTCATTGCATTAATATTGACCCATGGCACAAACCATTTTGCCGTCTGGACGCACAGTGCCCGCTGCAGGCCGGGCTACATGATGAGGGTACATGCGTGCATACAAGTGCAAGATTCAGGCTTTAAGGTCCGTCAACCCAGCTCTTATTTAGCTACGCGGTGCGAAAAGCCACATGGACGGCGAAGATGGCGGCCGACGCTCGCGTTCCTGTGTCGTACCCAGCTGCAGGAGCAAAGCCGTTGTCTCTTGCGGCTGAGCGCCTGCTTGCTGGCCCTGCCACTCCACGTCAGGATTGGGTCGGGCTGAGCGCGATGCCTCCGCGCCGGAAGTCGGCCCCGGCTCCGCCTCCTTCGCCGTCGTTATAAGTCCAAGACCTGGTTGCGAGTAGCTTGACATCATGTGATTTCCAAGGAGGCGATCCTGCAACGCACGGACGCTGATTTTTACCGTGCTAGGTCTCGGCTGCGCGCCGCCTGCCGCTTTCCCTCCCAATTCAGACCCCTTCAGGCCACTGCTGTGGTCGATGAGCACCTGCAGCGCCGAACGGGTAAGAGATTGAAAGGTAAGTAAGCCCCACACCAGCAAACGTGCGTGCATTCTTCGCAGGTCGTGATGGCTTCACAGCTAGCATGCCAACATGCAACCCACATCGCAGAAGGCCCTGCAAGCCTTAATCCCCGATACGAGGCCGTGTTCCCAACCTCGGCCCCCAGCCGGCTCACCTCCTCTAACTCCAGCTCGCCACCATCCACGTCGTCGAAGGCCGACACCTCCGCTGCTCCAATAAAGTCGCTCATGGGTCGCCGCGTTGTCCAGCGCCGGTACATGGCGTAGAACACCAGCGGCACCGTGTACCAGGCAATCACCACGTCCACCGTGTAGTGCTTGCGACTGGCAACAATCAGCACGGACAGAATGGCGCCCAGCACCCAGGACACCGCCTTCATCATCCACAGGGAGCCGTACTCGTTGTAAGCCAGGATGCCTGGGGACAGGAGGGGAAATCGACATCATGCAAACAGAACTTGGGTACACATGGGCGATTGCCTACAAGGGCCAATGCACATGACTCCCGCTCAATTACGCACAGTAAAAGGACGGCTGAGGGCTTCCACCGCGCTCATCCGCAGATGAAAAGCAAAGCCCAATCCTTTGCCACTAGCTTCCGTTGAGCACCTACCAGTCAGCATGAACGTAGTGTGCGAGGAGAAGATGAGGTCCCCGCAGCTCTTCGACACCTGGCGCCCCACGTCCACCACCACGTGTCCCCACCAGTGGGCGGGCCACGGTCGTCGTGCGGTAGGCTCACCCGCGCGGCAGTGGAAGCTGGGCCCAGGCAGCTGCGTGACCGAGAAGGTCACAATGCGCAGCGCTTGGCACACTACAAAACCACCGACATTGAGGGGAAGGGTAGGGTGCGATAGTAACGGATAAACGAAGACAAACCCATTGCCGCAGCCTGTTGAACGGACATAGCGTTGCTGTCGTTAACCAGGACCCACCAACGAGCACCATCAGCAGTCGGCACCACATGACGACGGTGTAGAAGCGCTTCCGCTTCCTGATAAACGGTGTAAAGGTCCAGAGTACGAAAGTGCCGAAGGCCACGCCAAACAATGTCTCACTGACATAGTGTTTGTCTGGGCCGAGCTCCTGCGGTCGTCAGGGCATAGAGCTTGCCTCAGATGGTCGCACCAGTATACAAGAAGCCCGTAAATGTGGCCGTCCTTTGATGACTCACAGGGGTAAGGCTAAAGCCAACGTCGTGGAGGGGTTCCTCCTGCGGCTGGTGCATACGATGCGCTAGCTGCGTGAAAATCCCGTGCACATACTGCATTACGAGGCCAAAGAGCAGAATCCTCCAGCGTTGCTTGAGAAGGGGCCACTGCAGAAACGCGAACAACGAAGGCATACGGTTACGCCAAGGACTGACAAGCGTGGGGCAGGCCAGCACATAAGACGAACACCAGCGCGATGGCCGCGGAGCTGTCGCACCTCAACGACAAACTCCAAGCGTATCCGCCGCCATAGCTCAATGAAAAAGCGAGATACTACTGAGCAGCCCTGCTGGGCTTGAGCAAGACCGCTACGAGGGGATCCTGAAGGCCATCCTTCGTCCAGGGCACCGTCCACCTTTGGCGTGCCAGGCGCTTTATCCTCCATCAGAATGTAAACTAGAGAAGGTTTCGGCTCGGGACAAGGACTACAGTTCCGCGCGAGCGCAATCCCTATGCTGGTGTCATTTTGTGAAAATCATACAAGTTTGGATGCCTAATAGTATAGTTTATAAGTTATTGCGCCTTCACTTAACTCACGCGGCGCCGGGGTTCAAGCGGACAGTTTCCGCCTAAACTTTTAAACAGAAAGGCTAACCGTTAGCTTGCATACTGCCAAGCAGCATGTACGTAGGGCATCTGCATGAACAGTTAGCCGCCTTTCGTGGAGCTTGTCACAATTTGAACGCCCCGAAGCTGCCGTTCGTCGTACACCAATGTTCATAATTCTTTTGGCTTCCCCCCACTTGAGTCGTTCGGACTCCCCTGTAAAAATCGCATATTCCCCCCTCATACAAATACGTACCTAAATCCTAGTTACGCCTCCGCTGTACATCATGCTTGCGAACAATTTGTTGGATCTCCGCCTGAATGCTTCAACAGGCCTTGACATTTGTTAAGGAGTAAGCTGCCAGGATACCCGCCACTCTGCGCACTGCAGCTTGCCCATCTATTGATTCACGGGACGACAGGAATGCAAGTCACGCGGCCATTAGCCGATAATCCTCCTCGTTGGCCTAGGAGACCCGCCGTACGCCAATGACATCGGGATAGACCATACCGGCTTGCCGGTGCACGTGACAAAGCATATCTCTGCCTTTCCTTCACTCGCCACTGTCTAGTGTTTCAAAGTAATTGCAATTTGGGTAGCTCTAAACTAAACTTGGCCTTGCCCCGCATTTCGCCTCGGCAGAAACGTTTCGTACTCGGTGCCTGTTGGTTTGCCGCTATCTGTGTACACATTGCAACCATCGCCCCTTAAATCCCAAACCAACCATTTGAACCACACGCGTTTCGGCACCTCCTAGTCTATTGGCAGCTGTGCTTGCAGCGGTACGCGGTGTCCCTGACATTCGTAGTTAGGGATTCAGACGCAGAACACGGAAACCTCATCATGCCTGTTGTGCTCACAAGCCGCGCCCTCTTATTGTCACCAATAACCTCTCACGGTCGTTTGTAGCCGTTGCCTGTGACAAGGCAGGACGTGCTGGGTTACGTTGCACACTAGGATATGGATCGGGAGACCCACCAAAACAACCCCCTTGCAAAGAAAAGGGTAAAGCAGTGTATCTCCGGCGCGAGGGCGACCACTTCGCAACGCCTGCTTGCATGAAATAGCCATCATCGTCTTGAGCAATCGTCCTAAATTTAATTCCATATACGGCAAGCCAACACTGCAACGCCCAGAAAGCCCCAAGCCACGCACCCACTCATGTTTCATTGCTCTCGCTAATCCAACCGGCTTTCCCAATTAAGACACCATGCCTTGCGGCGAAAATAGTTACCCCAGTTAAATACTAATCTAACCTAGGGCTCGTAGCTCAGCATGGTCATCAGCCACCGCTCAGCCTCCTTGAAGTCCATGTTCTTACGCGCCGCATAGTCCTCCACCTGCTCGCGGGTGATCTTGCCTACGGCAAAGTATGTCGAGCAGCGCCCGGCAAAGTACAGGCCACTTACACTGGCCGCCGGCAGCATCGCAAGTGACTCGGTCAGCGTGATGCTAGTCGCGTCATCAGCGCCAAGCAGACGCCACATGGTGAGCTTCTCCGTGTGATCGGGCTGCGAGGGGTAGCCGGGTGCGGGGCGGATGCCCTGCACAGGGAAGCATATCGACAGATTAGGAATATAAGGCCGAGGAATAGGTTATGCTGAGAAGGCATGCAAATGCACAGCTTAAACGACAGCAAATTGGCATGCGCCAGCGGCCTTCAACGTCTGTCCCTTCAGACTGCTGTCTCACCTGGTACTTGACCTTAAGCATGTCATCCACGCTGAGCCGCTCGTCCGGTGCATAGCCCCAGTAGTCGCGGCGCACGTCCTCATGCAGCTTCTCCGCCAGCGCCTCCGCCAGGCGATCCGCCAGCGCCTCCGCCATGATGTAGCTGTAGTCGTCACCCGCCTCCTTGTAGCCAGAGATAACCTCATGCAAGCCATGGCCTAAGCAAAGGGACGAGGCAATGCCAGCTCACGCGCGGGTGCATGCACCATGTCACAGCCAGGTGTCAAATGGGTGAAGGGCACCGTGTACAACACCATGCACTGCTGGAATTGCTGTACAAAAACACCCATTTCCACTGATACTTCAGCCTACCCGCCGAACAGGCGAACATGCCAACGTAGTCCGGCACGCCGCTGTCCTTGGGAGCAACGAAGTCAGAGATGCAGTAGTAGGTCTCATCGCCCTCCTTCTCGGCCTGCTGGCGCAGGCCCGCAAGGCGCGCCGCCACCTCCGTGCGCGAATCGTCCGTGTACACCTCGATGTCATCGCCCACGGCGGCGGCAGGGTACAGACCGAGGACGGCGTTCAGCCTTACGCGCTTGTTTGCAATGAAGTCTTGTAGCATGGCCTGCAAGTAAACCACCCGCAATGTTATGCGGTTAACACGGCAAGCCAATGCAGCCAAGGTTTGGATGCTACGACCATAAGTCAATACGAACACAGTGATCGTCCCGCCAGCGTACCTGGGCTTCCTCAAACAGCTTCTTCGCCTCCTCGCCGACCGTCGCATCGTTGAAGATCCGTGGGTAGCCACGGTTGGGGTAGCGGCCGCGAAGTTGCCATACCTACGGCGAAGACACTTCGCAGGTTCAGATTCTGGGTATGGCAATGCATGGGGTCCAGCCATCTTACCTGGAAGAACGGGTTCCAGTCAATGTAGGGCACCACATCCTCAATGAGGATGTCAGCTAGCACCTTGTTGCCCAGAATCTGCAATCAGGGAGTGGAAGCGGGTAAGGCCATGTGGAGTATGGCAGACTGCACTATGTCTGGCCGTACCTTGGGCTTGACTGGCTGGTTAGCCTCCGCCTGCCAATCCACCACCGGCGCCTTCTTCCGGGCCTCCTCCAAGCTCAGGTACTTACGGCTCTCCAGGGACCCGTAGAACTCCTCCCGCAGCTCGGCGTATTGCTCAGCCACCTCGTCCATGAACTCCTGCGGGCGAACGGCCAAACAAAAAACTTGGTACAACCATACCAGGCAACCCCAGTTCACGTAGGATGTCCAAGGCATACGAGGCTATCTAGGCCTTCTACACAAATCAGTGAGTCTGCGATCGGAACAACTGGAGCGCCATGGCGTCAATGTGCCTGGAGGTGTGCCGAAGGTCCCATAGCTTATGGGCGCATGCTTGCAGCCAGGCTTAACCCAGCTGCCAAAGTGCGGTATTCCTGTAATAGTCTATTACATGTTTGACGTGCCCATGCGGTGTCCAGCGGATTGACGGCAACACCGCGACGCACCTGGCGCTGCTTGTTGTTCTTGTCGACGAACGCCTGGCATACGGGCACGCTGCGCGATGCGTCCAAGACGTGCACCACGGGGCCGCTGTACACCGGCGCAATCTTGACGGCAGTATGCATCTTTGATGTCGTTGCTCCGCCGACCAGGAGAGGCGTCTGTTAGCAGAGGGGATTGCGGAACCGTGTTTAATTCCAGCAATTACCGATACAATGTGACGCTGCGTAGCGGAATTGCTACTGCACCTGGCGCACGCCTCAGGTTAACTCACGGCACGTCGCGTGCGGCTGAAATAGCGACATCGCATGCCAACCCAAAACCGAGCAACCCAGGAAAGCAAGCGGTCTTCGCAAAACTCGAGCGTCACCCCTACAGTCCCTTTAGGGTGCCCTTGCCAGGGATAACCTGTTATTACACGTACCGTCAAGCCGCGCTCCTGCATCTTCTTGGCGACAGTAACCATCTCGTCCAGCGATGGGGTGATCAGGCCCGAAAGACCGATGATGTCGGCCTTATGCTTCACCGCCTCATCCAGGATAGTCTCCCACGGCGTCATGACACCCAAGTCAACCACCTGTTCACAGGCCAATGCAGGTGAGACGGGTAAGACGCAAAGACCAAATTGAGGTAGCAAAATCCTTGGAGACATCCAACGCTAGCGCCGAACCACGTGGTTTAAGGGCCTTTCTCCGGATTTCCCTCTGACCTTGAAGTTGTTGCAGCCCAGCACCACCGACACGATGTTCTTGCCGATGTCGTGCACATCGCCCTTGACGGTTGCAATCACGAAGACACCGGCATTGGAATCTTCCCCACTAGTGCCGTTCTTGCGCTTCTCCTCCTCAATAAAAGGAATCAAGTGCGCCACGGCCTTCTTCATGACACGCGCCGACTTGATGACCTGCAGGGAAAGATAAACGAGAAATGACGCAACTTAAGCTCCACGGAGCTACAACCCAAACCCCACAAAATAAGGAGTGGTGGGATGGCCTTAAGCATTATAAAGGCTAACCTGCGGCAGGAACATCTTCCCGGCTCCGAAGAGGTCGCCGACAACGTTCATGCCAGACATCAGCGGACCCTCAATGACCTGCAGCGGCTTTGGGTACCTGCACGCATACATTAGCTGGTTAGCACGCAGCAAGTCATGATTACACATAGTCGACTATACGTTCCAAGGACACGGGCAAGTTGCGTGCAGCTAAAGCTCCCTCTAAACCAAAGCCTACCTGCCGCAACTGCGCGCCTCCTCCGTATCCACAACGGCGAACTCGTCAATTCCCTTAACCAGCGCGTACTCGATGCGTTTCTCAACGGACAGATCGCGCCACGACGCCTCCTTCTTCTCGCCGCTGCCCTTGGCGCCTGCTGCACCGCCCTTCTTGACGACGGCAATGGGCGTGCCCTTGGGCTCGAGAAGAGCAGCATACTCAAGCATGCGCTCAGTGGCGTTGTCGCACCTGCGGGGAATAGTCAAGTACCGAATGGCTTGTCAACACGACGAGGAAACGCCGCTGGTCGCCACAGGGATCATCCAAAGGACCCCTAACCCTGGGTGAAACCGTGCAAAGCAATGTCCTTTCAGCAATGAATCGCAGCACTGCGGATCCCCGGGAACTATTTCCTAGTTTCAGCATGCGGTACATTGCTTCGTTGAACCTATCAAGTGCCCATCACACATTAAGTCCCAAACTTACTGTGTTGCTAATCGCATGCCCAGAGAGCTGGGGCCCTACCCAATTACCTGTTCAGCAGCACGTCCTCCACAAACTCCAGCAGCTCCTTATCGATCTTCTCGTACGCGTCCTCGATGACCTGGCCGGCGTTGACGATGCCCATGTCCATGCCCGCTGCGCAGGCGTGGTGCAGGAAGGCGCTGTGGAAGGCGCGGCGAACCGTCTCATTGCCGCGGAAGCTGAACGCAATGTTGCTGACGCCGCCGCTGACCTTGGCACCGGGGCATAACCGCTTAATCTCACGGGTCGCGCGAATGAAGTCCACTGCGTAGTTATTATGCTCGGGCATCCCCGTGCCGATGGTCAGGATGTTGGGGTCGAAGATGATGTCCTGCGGGTTGAAGCCCACCTCCTCCACCAGGATGCGGTAGGCGCGGCTGCAGATACGGACCCTGTCCTCAAACCCGGCAGCCTGGCCCTGCTCGTCGAATGCCATCACCACCACGGCCGCACCGTGCCGCTTCACCACCTCGGCATGGTGGCGGAACGCCTCCTCGCCCTCCTTCAGACTGATGCTGTTGACGATGCACTTGCCCTGGCTGCACTTCAGGCCCGCCTCCACGACGTGGAACTTGCTGCTGTCGATCATAAACGGCACACGGCTGATCTCCGGGTCGCTGACCAGCAGGTTCACAAAGCGGGTCATGGCGGCCACGCCATCAATCAGGCCGTCATCCATGTTAATGTCCAGCACATCAGCGCCCTGCTGCACCTGCTTAGCCGCGATGGACACTGCCGCCTCGAAGTCGTTGTTGATGATGGCCTTCTTGAACAGGATGCTGCCTGCCACGTTGCAGCGCTCGCCGACCTTTAGGAAGGTGCGGCGCAGGTTGTTCGCGTCTGGCTTGTAGTTCAGCGGCTCCAGCCCGCTCAGGCGCAGCAGCGGCTCCACAGTCTTGCACTGCCGCGGCGGGTAGGCGGACGCCATGGCCTTGATGGCAGCGATGTGCTCGGGCCCAGTGCCGCAGCAACCGCCAATGCCGTTGACCAAGCCAGCCTCGCAGAAGGGCCTGATGTCCTCTGCCATCTCCTCGCCCTTCTGGTCGTAGCCACCCATGGCGTTGGGCAGGCCGGCGTTGGGGTAGCAGAAGACATAGCAGTCGGCGCAGTTGCTGAGGTTGGCAATGTACTGCAGCATGTCCTTAGCGCCCAGCGCGCAGTTCAGGCCCACCGCCATGGGCTTGGCGTGGCTGATGCTGTTCCAGAACGCCTCGTTGGTCTGCCCGCTCAGCGTACGGCCGCTGTTGTCCACGATGGTGCCGCTGACGAAGACCGGGATCAGCACGCGCCGGTCGCTGAACAGCTTCTCCAGCGCAAACACGGCTGCCTTGGCGTTCAGGGTGTCGAAGATGGTCTCCACCAGGAACATGTCAACGCCACCGTCCAGCAGCGCCTCCGCCTGCTTGTAATACGCGTCCACCACCTCATCGTACGTGATGCCGCGGAAGGCCGGGTTCTCCACGCTGGGCGACACGCTCAGCGTCTTGTTGGTGGGGCCAATGGCACCAGCCACGAAGCGGGGGCCACTGCTTGGGTTAGCGGCAAGGAAGTCCTGCACGCAGGACTTTGCCAGTTGGGCAGCGCTCTTGTTGATGAGAGCAACCTCCTCCTGAAGGGAAGACATACGGACAAGAAGTTTTGACTGTCAGGCATGATGTGTTATTAGGGCAGCGAACAGGTTAGCCATTAGCCACATGCATCATGCTCTATTGCATGCTGGTGGCACATGTAGGAAAAAACTGTATGCGAGAAACCATTCTTCCAACCCGCATGCATGCTTGGATGCACGTTTACAGGCTCTAAACAGACCACCGGCAAGAAAACGGTGGCGTGGTGCCAAGCGTAGTTGCCCTCAGTCGTCCTTCGTTAGGAAGACCAACAAGCACCTCTGTGCACCGTCTCTGGGGATGTAAGTAGAATACCCGCAAGAAGGACCTCTAACAGCCCTACACGTTGCGACCACACTCCTGCTGAGCAGGTCCCAGCACTTACATCGGCCTGCAGCTCGTAGTCCGCCTGGCTGATGTTGGTGCCGTTGAAAGTGTTGGTCTCAATGATGTCAGCACCCGCCTCCAGGTAGGCGGTGTGGATCTTGCGGATGACATCCGGACGGGTGATGACCAGTACGTCGTTGTTGCCCTTCAGCTCGTGGCTGTGCTGAGCATACCGCTCGCCACGGAAATCAGCCTCCTCCAGCTTGAACTTCTGAATTTGCGTGCCCATGGCGCCGTCAATGAAGATGACGCGCTCACGGAGCAGCGCATGCAGTGACTCAAACGCTGGCGATGGCTGCAGAGGCTCGGCACACGCCGTGTACACCGGAACGGGTTGCAGGTCCGCGGGCGGCGCCAGGCAATCGACACCGGGCCTGGGGTTAACGCGCGGAGTGATCCCAGGCGTCGCCTCCTCCTTGAGCTTGCGGACTGCCGTTGGTGGGCGCTTGGGGTCCAGCAGAGCGGCGTACTCCAGCATGCGCTCGGTGGCGTTGTCGCACCTGGGTGAAACCGTGCAAAGCAATGTCCTTTCAGCAATGAATCGCAGCACTGCGGATCCCCGGGAACTATTTCCTAGTTTCAGCATGCGGTACATTGCTTCGTTGAACCTATCAAGTGCCCATCACACATTAAGTCCCAAACTTACTGTGTTGCTAATCGCATGCCCAGAGAGCTGGGGCCCTACCCAATTACCTGTTCAGCAGCACGTCCTCCACAAACTCCAGCAGCTCCTTATCGATCTTCTCGTACGCGTCCTCGATGACCTGGCCGGCGTTGACGATGCCCATGTCCATGCCCGCTGCGCAGGCGTGGTGCAGGAAGGCGCTGTGGAAGGCGCGGCGAACCGTCTCATTGCCGCGGAAGCTGAACGCAATGTTGCTGACGCCGCCGCTGACCTTGGCACCGGGGCATAACCGCTTAATCTCACGGGTCGCGCGAATGAAGTCCACTGCGTAGTTATTATGCTCGGGCATCCCCGTGCCGATGGTCAGGATGTTGGGGTCGAAGATGATGTCCTGCGGGTTGAAGCCCACCTCCTCCACCAGGATGCGGTAGGCGCGGCTGCAGATACGGATCCTGTCCTCAAACCCGGCAGCCTGGCCCTGCTCGTCGAATGCCATCACCACCACGGCCGCACCGTGCCGCTTCACCACCTCGGCATGGTGGCGGAACGCCTCCTCGCCCTCCTTCAGACTGATGCTGTTGACGATGCACTTGCCCTGGCTGCACTTCAGGCCCGCCTCCACGACGTGGAACTTGCTGCTGTCGATCATAAACGGCACACGGCTGATCTCCGGGTCGCTGACCAGCAGGTTCACAAAGCGGGTCATGGCGGCCACGCCATCAATCAGGCCGTCATCCATGTTAATGTCCAGCACATCAGCGCCCTGCTGCACCTGCTTCGCCGCGATGGACACTGCCGCCTCGAAGTCGTTGTTGATGATGGCCTTCTTGAACAGGATGCTGCCTGCCACGTTGCAGCGCTCGCCGACCTTGAGGAAGGTGCGGCGCAGGTTGTTCGCGTCTGGCTTGTAGTTCAGCGGCTCCAGCCCGCTCAGGCGCAGCAGCGGCTCCACAGTCTTGCACTGCCGCGGCGGGTAGGCGGACGCCATGGCCTTGATGGCAGCGATGTGCTCGGGCCCAGTGCCGCAGCAACCGCCAATGCCGTTGACCAAGCCAGCCTCGCAGAAGGGCCTGATGTCCTCTGCCATCTCCTCGCCCTTCTGGTCGTAGCCACCCATGGCGTTGGGCAGGCCGGCGTTGGGGTAGCAGAAGACATAGCAGTCGGCGCAGTTGCTGAGGTTGGCAATGTACTGCAGCATGTCCTTAGCGCCCAGCGCGCAGTTCAGGCCCACCGCCATGGGCTTGGCGTGGCTGATGCTGTTCCAGAACGCCTCGTTGGTCTGCCCGCTCAGCGTACGGCCGCTGTTGTCCACGATGGTGCCGCTGACGAAGACCGGGATCCGCACGCGCCGGTCGCTGAACAGCTTCTCCAGCGCAAACACGGCTGCCTTGGCGTTCAGGGTGTCGAAGATGGTCTCCACCAGGAACATGTCAACGCCACCGTCCAGCAGCGCCTCCGCCTGCTTGTAATACGCGTCCACCACCTCATCGTACGTGATGCCGCGGAAGGCCGGGTTCTCCACGCTGGGCGACACGCTCAGCGTCTTGTTGGTGGGGCCAATGGCACCAGCCACGAAGCGGGGGCCACTGCTTGGGTTAGCGGCAAGGAAGTCCTGCACGCAGGACTTTGCCAGTTGGGCAGCGCTCTTGTTGATGAGAGCAACCTCCTCCTGAAGGGAAGACATACGGACAAGAAGTTTTGACTGTCAGGCATGATGTGTTATTAGGGCAGCGAACAGGTTAGCCATTAGCCACATGCATCATGCTCTATTGCATGCTGGTGGCACATGTAGGAAAAAACTGTATGCGAGAAACCATTCTTCCAACCCGCATGCATGCTTGGATGCACGTTTACAGGCTCTAAACAGACCACCGGCAAGAAAACGGTGGCGTGGTGCCAAGCGTAGTTGCCCTCAGTCGTCCTTCGTTAGGAAGACCAACAAGCACCTCTGTGCACCGTCTCTGGGGATGTAAGTAGAATACCCGCAAGAAGGACCTCTAACAGCCCTACACGTTGCGACCACACTCCTGCTGAGCAGGTCCCAGCACTTACATCGGCCTGCAGCTCGTAGTCCGCCTGGCTGATGTTGGTGCCGTTGAAAGTGTTGGTCTCAATGATGTCAGCACCCGCCTCCAGGTAGGCGGTGTGGATCTTGCGGATGACATCCGGACGGGTGATGACCAGTACGTCGTTGTTGCCCTTCAGCTCGTGGCTGTGCTGAGCATACCGCTCGCCACGGAAATCAGCCTCCTCCAGCTTGAACTTCTGAATTTGCGTGCCCATGGCGCCGTCAATGAAGATGACGCGCTCACGGAGCAGCGCATGCAGTGACTCAAACGCTGGCGATGGCTGCAGAGGCTCGGCACACGCCGTGTACACCGGAACGGGTTGCAGGTCCGCGGGCGGCGCCAGGCAATCGACACCGGGCCTGGGGTTAACGCGCGGAGTGATCCCAGGCGTCGCCTCCTCCTTGAGCTTGCGGACTGCCGTTGGTGGGCGCTTGGGGTCCAGCAGAGCGGCGTACTCCAGCATGCGCTCGGTGGCGTCATCACGTCTGCGAAGGAATTTGGAGCCAATTGCTGCCTACGAAGGTACTCAGGATTATGCTACGCCTCTATGGACACAAAATCATCTCGACAACGGACTGTCAGGGGTTCACGGTGACAACAGGTCAATAGGGCACGACGATATTCTACCAAGCTTATCGGCTAGCAGTGCGCGGATTATGGGAAACGTTACGGCACAGGCCATGGCGAAACAACCCAAGAGCACCATGCAGAAGTGCTGACGGAAAGTAAGCCGCCCAGCACACTTGCGCACCAGCTGCAGGATAACCTACACGACTTAAGACTGGCACTGTAGCGTAACTCCACTGCAGGCTGTTACCCACTGTTAGCTCAATGGAGCATACCTGTTCAGCAGCACGTCCTCCACATATGTCAATAACTCCTTGTCAACCTTCTCATACGCGTCCTCAATGACCTGGCCGGCGTTGACGATGCCCATGTCCATGCCCGCTGCGCAGGCGTGGTGCAGGAAGGCGCTGTGGAAGGCGCGGCGAACCGTCTCATTGCCGCGGAAGCTGAACGCAATGTTGCTGACGCCGCCGCTAACCTTGGCACCGGGGCATAACCGCTTAATCTCACGGGTCGCGCGAATGAAGTCCACTGCGTAGTTGTTATGCTCGGGCATCCCCGTGCCGATGGTCAGGATGTTGGGGTCGAAGATGATGTCCTGCGGGTTGAAGCCCACCTCCTCCACCAGGATGCGGTAGGCGCGGCTGCAGATACGGATCCTGTCCTCAAACCCGGCAGCCTGGCCCTGCTCGTCGAATGCCATCACCACCACGGCCGCACCGTGCCGCTTCACCACCTCGGCATGGTGGCGGAACGCCTCCTCGCCCTCCTTCAGACTGATGCTGTTGACGATGCACTTGCCCTGGCTGCACTTCAGGCCCGCCTCCACGACGTGGAACTTGCTGCTGTCGATCATAAACGGCACACGGCTGATCTCCGGGTCGCTGACCAGCAGGTTCACAAAGCGGGTCATGGCGGCCACGCCATCAATCAGGCCGTCATCCATGTTAATGTCCAGCACATCAGCGCCCTGCTGCACCTGCTTAGCCGCGATGGACACTGCCGCCTCAAAGTCGTTGTTGACAATGGCCTTCTTAAACAAAATGCTGCCTGCTACGTTGCAGCGCTCGCCGATCTTCAGGAAGGTGCTGCGCAGGTTGGTCGCGTCTGGCTTGTAGTTCAGCGGCTCCAGCCCGCTCAGGCGCAGCAGCGGCTCCACAGTCTTGCACTGCCGCGGCGGGTAGGCAGACGCCATGGCCTTGATGGCAGCGATGTGCTCGGGCCCAGTGCCGCAGCAACCGCCAATGCCGTTGACCAAGCCAGCCTCGCAGAAGGGCCTGATGTCCTCTGCCATCTCCTCGCCCTTCTGGTCGTAGCCACCCATGGCGTTGGGCAGGCCGGCGTTGGGGTAGCAGAAGACATAGCAGTCGGCGCAGTTGCTGAGGTTGGCAATGTACTGCAGCATGTCCTTAGCGCCCAGCGCGCAGTTCAGGCCCACCGCCATGGGCTTGGCGTGGCTGATGCTGTTCCAGAACGCCTCGTTGGTCTGCCCGCTCAGCGTACGGCCGCTGTTGTCCACGATGGTGCCGCTGACGAAGACCGGGATCAGCACGCGCCGGTCGCTGAACAGCTTCTCCAGCGCAAACACGGCTGCCTTGGCGTTCAGGGTGTCGAAGATGGTCTCCACCAGGAACATGTCAACGCCACCGTCCAGCAGCGCCTCCGCCTGCTTGTAATACGCGTCCACCACCTCATCGTACGTGATGCCGCGGAAGGCCGGGTTCTCCACGCTGGGCGACACGCTCAGCGTCTTGTTGGTGGGGCCAATGGCACCAGCCACGAAGCGGGGGCCACTGCTTGGGTTAGCGGCAAGGAAGTCCTGCACGCAGGACTTTGCCAGTTGGGCAGCGCTCTTGTTGATGAGAGCAACCTCCTCCTGAAGGGAAGACATACGGACAAGAAGTTTTGACTGTCAGGCATGATGTGTTATTAGGGCAGCGAACAGGTTAGCCATTAGCCACATGCATCATGCTCTATTGCATGCTGGTGGCACATGTAGGAAAAAACTGTATGCGAGAAACCATTCTTCCAACCCGCATGCATGCTTGGATGCACGTTTACAGGCTCTAAACAGACCACCGGCAAGAAAACGGTGGCGTGGTGCCAAGCGTAGTTGCCCTCAGTCGTCCTTCGTTAGGAAGACCAACAAGCACCTCTGTGCACCGTCTCTGGGGATGTAAGTAGAATACCCGCAAGAAGGACCTCTAACAGCCCTACACGTTGCGACCACACTCCTGCTGAGCAGGTCCCAGCACTTACATCGGCCTGCAGCTCGTAGTCCGCCTGGCTGATGTTGGTGCCGTTGAAAGTGTTGGTCTCAATGATGTCAGCACCCGCCTCCAGGTAGGCGGTGTGGATCTTGCGGATGACATCCGGACGGGTGATGACCAGTACGTCGTTGTTGCCCTTCAGCTCGTGGCTGTGCTGAGCATACCGCTCGCCACGGAAATCAGCCTCCTCCAGCTTGAACTTCTGAATTTGCGTGCCCATGGCGCCGTCAATGAAGATGACGCGCTCACGGAGCAGCGCATGCAGTGACTCAAACGCTGGCGATGGCTGCAGAGGCTCGGCACACGCCGTGTACACCGGAACGGGTTGCAGGTCCGCGGGCGGCGCCAGGCAATCGACACCGGGCCTGGGGTTAACGCGCGGAGTGATCCCAGGCGTCGCCTCCTCCTTGAGCTTGCGGACTGCCGTTGGTGGGCGCTTGGGGTCCAGCAGAGCGGCGTACTCCAGCATGCGCTCGGTGGCGTTGTCGCACCTGGGTGAAACCGTGCAAAGCAATGTCCTTTCAGCAATGAATCGCAGCACTGCGGATCCCCGGGAACTATTTCCTAGTTTCAGCATGCGGTACATTGCTTCGTTGAACCTATCAAGTGCCCATCACACATTAAGTCCCAAACTTACTGTGTTGCTAATCGCATGCCCAGAGAGCTGGGGCCCTACCCAATTACCTGTTCAGCAGCACGTCCTCCACAAACTCCAGCAGCTCCTTATCGATCTTCTCGTACGCGTCCTCGATGACCTGGCCGGCGTTGACGATGCCCATGTCCATGCCCGCTGCGCAGGCGTGGTGCAGGAAGGCGCTGTGGAAGGCGCGGCGAACCGTCTCATTGCCGCGGAAGCTGAACGCAATGTTGCTGACGCCGCCGCTGACCTTGGCACCGGGGCATAACCGCTTAATCTCACGGGTCGCGCGAATGAAGTCCACTGCGTAGTTATTATGCTCGGGCATCCCCGTGCCGATGGTCAGGATGTTGGGGTCGAAGATGATGTCCTGCGGGTTGAAGCCCACCTCCTCCACCAGGATGCGGTAGGCGCGGCTGCAGATACGGATCCTGTCCTCAAACCCGGCAGCCTGGCCCTGCTCGTCGAATGCCATCACCACCACGGCCGCACCGTGCCGCTTCACCACCTCGGCATGGTGGCGGAACGCCTCCTCGCCCTCCTTCAGACTGATGCTGTTGACGATGCACTTGCCCTGGCTGCACTTCAGGCCCGCCTCCACGACGTGGAACTTGCTGCTGTCGATCATAAACGGCACACGGCTGATCTCCGGGTCGCTGACCAGCAGGTTCACAAAGCGGGTCATGGCGGCCACGCCATCAATCAGGCCGTCATCCATGTTAATGTCCAGCACATCAGCGCCCTGCTGCACCTGCTTCGCCGCGATGGACACTGCCGCCTCGAAGTCGTTGTTGATGATGGCCTTCTTGAACAGGATGCTGCCTGCCACGTTGCAGCGCTCGCCGACCTTGAGGAAGGTGCGGCGCAGGTTGTTCGCGTCTGGCTTGTAGTTCAGCGGCTCCAGCCCGCTCAGGCGCAGCAGCGGCTCCACAGTCTTGCACTGCCGCGGCGGGTAGGCGGACGCCATGGCCTTGATGGCAGCGATGTGCTCGGGCCCAGTGCCGCAGCAACCGCCAATGCCGTTGACCAAGCCAGCCTCGCAGAAGGGCCTGATGTCCTCTGCCATCTCCTCGCCCTTCTGGTCGTAGCCACCCATGGCGTTGGGCAGGCCGGCGTTGGGGTAGCAGAAGACATAGCAGTCGGCGCAGTTGCTGAGGTTGGCAATGTACTGCAGCATGTCCTTAGCGCCCAGCGCGCAGTTCAGGCCCACCGCCATGGGCTTGGCGTGGCTGATGCTGTTCCAGAACGCCTCGTTGGTCTGCCCGCTCAGCGTACGGCCGCTGTTGTCCACGATGGTGCCGCTGACGAAGACCGGGATCCGCACGCGCCGGTCGCTGAACAGCTTCTCCAGCGCAAACACGGCTGCCTTGGCGTTCAGGGTGTCGAAGATGGTCTCCACCAGGAACATGTCAACGCCACCGTCCAGCAGCGCCTCCGCCTGCTTGTAATACGCGTCCACCACCTCATCGTACGTGATGCCGCGGAAGGCCGGGTTCTCCACGCTGGGCGACACGCTCAGCGTCTTGTTGGTGGGGCCAATGGCACCAGCCACGAAGCGGGGGCCACTGCTTGGGTTAGCGGCAAGGAAGTCCTGCACGCAGGACTTTGCCAGTTGGGCAGCGCTCTTGTTGATGAGAGCAACCTCCTCCTGAAGGGAAGACATACGGACAAGAAGTTTTGACTGTCAGGCATGATGTGTTATTAGGGCAGCGAACAGGTTAGCCATTAGCCACATGCATCATGCTCTATTGCATGCTGGTGGCACATGTAGGAAAAAACTGTATGCGAGAAACCATTCTTCCAACCCGCATGCATGCTTGGATGCACGTTTACAGGCTCTAAACAGACCACCGGCAAGAAAACGGTGGCGTGGTGCCAAGCGTAGTTGCCCTCAGTCGTCCTTCGTTAGGAAGACCAACAAGCACCTCTGTGCACCGTCTCTGGGGATGTAAGTAGAATACCCGCAAGAAGGACCTCTAACAGCCCTACACGTTGCGACCACACTCCTGCTGAGCAGGTCCCAGCACTTACATCGGCCTGCAGCTCGTAGTCCGCCTGGCTGATGTTGGTGCCGTTGAAAGTGTTGGTCTCAATGATGTCAGCACCCGCCTCCAGGTAGGCGGTGTGGATCTTGCGGATGACATCCGGACGGGTGATGACCAGTACGTCGTTGTTGCCCTTCAGCTCGTGGCTGTGCTGAGCATACCGCTCGCCACGGAAATCAGCCTCCTCCAGCTTGAACTTCTGAATTTGCGTGCCCATGGCGCCGTCAATGAAGATGACGCGCTCACGGAGCAGCGCATGCAGTGACTCAAACGCTGGCGATGGCTGCAGAGGCTCGGCACACGCCGTGTACACCGGAACGGGTTGCAGGTCCGCGGGCGGCGCCAGGCAATCGACACCGGGCCTGGGGTTAACGCGCGGAGTGATCCCAGGCGTCGCCTCCTCCTTGAGCTTGCGGACTGCCGTTGGTGGGCGCTTGGGGTCCAGCAGAGCGGCGTACTCCAGCATGCGCTCGGTGGCGTCATCACGTCTGCGAAGGAATTTGGAGCCAATTGCTGCCTACGAAGGTACTCAGGATTATGCTACGCCTCTATGGACACAAAATCATCTCGACAACGGACTGTCAGGGGTTCACGGTGACAACAGGTCAATAGGGCACGACGATATTCTACCAAGCTTATCGGCTAGCAGTGCGCGGATTATGGGAAACGTTACGGCACAGGCCATGGCGAAACAACCCAAGAGCACCATGCAGAAGTGCTGACGGAAAGTAAGCCGCCCAGCACACTTGCGCACCAGCTGCAGGATAACCTACACGACTTAAGACTGGCACTGTAGCGTAACTCCACTGCAGGCTGTTACCCACTGTTAGCTCAATGGAGCATACCTGTTCAGCAGCACGTCCTCCACATATGTCAATAACTCCTTGTCAACCTTCTCATACGCGTCCTCAATGACCTGGCCGGCGTTGACGATGCCCATGTCCATGCCCGCTGCGCAGGCGTGGTGCAGGAAGGCGCTGTGGAAGGCGCGGCGAACCGTCTCATTGCCGCGGAAGCTGAACGCAATGTTGCTGACGCCGCCGCTAACCTTGGCACCGGGGCATAACCGCTTAATCTCACGGGTCGCGCGAATGAAGTCCACTGCGTAGTTGTTATGCTCGGGCATCCCCGTGCCGATGGTCAGGATGTTGGGGTCGAAGATGATGTCCTGCGGGTTGAAGCCCACCTCCTCCACCAGGATGCGGTAGGCGCGGCTGCAGATACGGATCCTGTCCTCAAACCCGGCAGCCTGGCCCTGCTCGTCGAATGCCATCACCACCACGGCCGCACCGTGCCGCTTCACCACCTCGGCATGGTGGCGGAACGCCTCCTCGCCCTCCTTCAGACTGATGCTGTTGACGATGCACTTGCCCTGGCTGCACTTCAGGCCCGCCTCCACGACGTGGAACTTGCTGCTGTCGATCATAAACGGCACACGGCTGATCTCCGGGTCGCTGACCAGCAGGTTCACAAAGCGGGTCATGGCGGCCACGCCATCAATCAGGCCGTCATCCATGTTAATGTCCAGCACATCAGCGCCCTGCTGCACCTGCTTAGCCGCGATGGACACTGCCGCCTCAAAGTCGTTGTTGACAATGGCCTTCTTAAACAAAATGCTGCCTGCTACGTTGCAGCGCTCGCCGATCTTCAGGAAGGTGCTGCGCAGGTTGGTCGCGTCTGGCTTGTAGTTCAGCGGCTCCAGCCCGCTCAGGCGCAGCAGCGGCTCCACAGTCTTGCACTGCCGCGGCGGGTAGGCAGACGCCATGGCCTTGATGGCAGCGATGTGCTCGGGCCCAGTGCCGCAGCAACCGCCAATGCCGTTGACCAAGCCAGCCTCGCAGAAGGGCCTGATGTCCTCTGCCATCTCCTCGCCCTTCTGGTCGTAGCCACCCATGGCGTTGGGCAGGCCGGCGTTGGGGTAGCAGAAGACATAGCAGTCGGCGCAGTTGCTGAGGTTGGCAATGTACTGCAGCATGTCCTTAGCGCCCAGCGCGCAGTTCAGGCCCACCGCCATGGGCTTGGCGTGGCTGATGCTGTTCCAGAACGCCTCGTTGGTCTGCCCGCTCAGCGTACGGCCGCTGTTGTCCACGATGGTGCCGCTGATGAAGACCGGGATCCGCACGCGCCGGTCGCTGAACAGCTTCTCCAGCGCAAACACGGCTGCCTTGGCGTTCAGGGTGTCGAAGATGGTCTCCACCAGGAACATGTCAACGCCACCGTCCAGCAGCGCCTCCGCCTGCTTGTAATACGCGTCCACCACCTCATCGTACGTGATGCCGCGGAAGGCCGGGTTCTCCACGCTGGGCGACACGCTCAGCGTCTTGTTGGTGGGGCCAATGGCACCAGCCACGAAGCGGGGGCCGCTGCTTGGGTTAGCGGCAAGGAAGTCCTGCACGCAGGACTTCGCCAGCTGGGCAGCGCTCTTGTTGATGAGAGCAACCTCCTCCTGAAGGGAAGACATGCGGACAAGAAGTTTTACTTTTAGCCATGGGCCGCATGCGTCTTGCATGCTGGTTGCAAGTGCTGCATGCAACAAACTATTCGACCAGTCTGCATGTATTCTTGCATGCAAGGACACTGTCAGTTGGACAACAATCATATTGGTAGGGGCAACCTCATCCTAAAGGGTCAACGATTCGATGTGGCCAGCAAGGGGAATGCATCATGAGAGGATATCTGGTATCGCATCTGGCTTCTAGTAGATATGCGATGTGCCGGGACGTAATGCCATGCTATGGCCGGCAAATATACATTCTGCGATACGGCGTTTGATTAGGACTGACTCGGATGGCCTTTGTACGGAATGCAGGCTACCCCGTCCTTAGCAACCGGCAAATACACCCCATGGAGGGCTCCAGGAACCAAAGCTTACGTCGGCCTGTAGCTCGTAGTCTGCCTGGCTGATGTTGGTGCCGTTGAAAGTGTTAGTCTCGATGATATCAGCACCGGCCTCAAGGTAGGCCGTGTGGATCTTACGGATGACATCCGGACGGGTAATGACCAGCACGTCGTTGTTGCCCTTCAGCTCGTGGCTGTGCTGAGCATACCGCTCGCCACGGAAATCCGTTTCGGTTAGCTTAAACTTCTGAATCTGCGTGCCCATCGCGCCATCAATGAAGATGATGCGCTCGCGCAGCAAGCCATCCAACTCCTGGAAAGCCATGGACTGAACAACAACAGAGTCTGTCGATGACTCGCCGGTAGGCGCCGCCTCTACGCCGGTGTTGGCCTCCAAAGGCTCATGCTCTGAGACCGCCTCCACGGCTGGCTCGACTCCATCAGGCGTAACCGAAGTTGCTCCCTCGGCATCTGCACAACAGTAAATGGTCGTGTTTCTACGAAACAGGCATACGCAAGCAAGTAAAAAACGCAACACACCTGTTATGGTATGCGCCTCGGAAGCCCGCCGCTTGGAAACAGCAACCCCGACCTGGAACACATTGTATAGTTATAATTCTGCCGTTCGGTAAGGAAAAGTAGTCATAACCCGACCCACCGCTGCGACTACCACAGCTGGAACAGCGATTGCGGCCAGCCCAGGGCCGGCTGCGAGGATCAACGGTAGGACCGCCGCAGTGCAGGCTGCAGCACCAGCCACAGACCCTACTGCAACGGCTGGATGTCTCCGAAGAACTGCGACTAAGTGCTTCATGCTTGCTTTATCGGCAAGCTGTTTTGTCAGATTAGTCGACAGACAACGCTAGACATCGTATGGTTGATTACGTTCCAGACGAAGACGAATATTATTTCCCTGAGGCCGCCGCTTGCTACCCTTGCTGATGCCGTACTTAACGGAGAATCCAACCTCCAAGCAGCAAGCACGCTAACTCGAAGACAGTCGCCGACGCGATACGCAGGAATAATGGAAGCAAACCTCTCGAAACAAGTAAAAATGCCTGGGTTAACTCACGGATAGCAGCTGCAGGTAGGTAGGTAAGTTCAATAGGTTCCGTACGCCGGCTGCGCCACACCTCCTGCGTGCGGTGTTTGACTGATCCACGAGAACAAGCGCGGAGCACCGCAGTATCTATGGGGCTTTCGGTTTTTTCGGCTGTGAACTACATGCGAGTTGGACGGCTCCTCCCAGCTGTGGAGTAGTAGGTTGTCGCCCTAGTCAGCCAATCCATCAGGCTGTCGTTGCTGACCAGTTGCTTTATACCAGCTGCCGTAGACCACTACCTGGCGTCCTGGAGGGCTCTTGCTACCACCTCAGGCATGTGTTATGCGCCGTACCGCAGTAGCTCAAACCCAGCAGCTTCGAAACACACCTGAGACATATACGATGCCACCTGCCACAGAGCATGGTGCCAGACAGCTGCAACTACCTGTGTGGTCTGCTGGGTGCACCCATTGTCACGCGAACTTTGTTACCTTGGCATTGCTGGGACCTGTCCAATAATACAGTGCCATCGTTGTGTAAAATGGCCATGGACAACGCCATTTTCCACAACACAGGCGCGTTTTCTGTATGCTCCTGGCAGCCTCTACTAGTGTCGCCGCATTTGCCTGAAAGGGCCATTTGCACAGCTGTGACACCGGCTCAAAGGATGTCCTTGGGTCCACGCCCAGCCGCCTGCGCGACCAATACAGCTCCGACACTGGCACTGCGCCCTGCTAATGCAAGACGGCTGGCTCGACCCAGGATCCCTCGAGTTAAGACGAGTCCGACCCGACCTCACGATATGGAGGCTATCTGCTGGGCAGCTTTGTACTGCTCAATCATCGTGGGTACCGGCAGTTAGGTCCACCTCCCATACCACACTTCCATCGCACCTATAGGGGTTCTAGCCCGATAGCACCCATAGGACCTAGTGCTTTAGTTTGTCGCGATTGCAAGCCGTCTTCTGACCTGAAAGCCTAATCCACCCCTCTGGAATTGGAACCGCACACCTCGAACGCCTACGTCATAGCGCACTGTCCGGTATTAGCCGTGGGTCGTCGTCCGTCCCCGCCATCCTCACTGCAGCTCCGCCAGTCTGTTTGCGCGGCTCACGTAGTAGGGCAGCCGCTCGCGAGGCACACGTCGCTCTTGGAAGACCTGCGGACGCGGGACGGCGTTAAGGCTGGTGCTCAGGACATGACCATGGCACTACAGACCTGTTCCAAAGCACTTGTTTCACCATGCCCCACACCAGCGAAGCCGCATGGCACATGAGGCGTGCAAGCAGAGACATGCCACATGCAAGCAAAGTCCTGGCTCAACAAAGTTGCGCACCTGCTCCTGCTCGTTGAGCGGCCGCTTCTGACCGTCCGGCATGGCGACGTACAGCGGCGGGTACTTGGTGGCTCCGTCCTCCGCGATGTCGTACACCACCACCGGCCGCTCCAGCACGCTGTTCAGGTTAGCGGGCCAGGCGGGGCGACCGGCCTCGCCGTGACGCAGCTTCTCACCGCGCTGCGGGTGAGGGTGCGGGAAGTGGGTCGGGGTGAGCGTGTTGACGTGGTGACGGTACATGCGGTGAGAGCGAACGTAAGTGGAGGCGGGCTTACAGCGCCACGCGCATGCACACGAAGGTGCTTGACTAACTGGCACTTACGGCCCTCTTTGACGAGCCCAAGAACGAACCACTAGTGACACTGCCGAAAGCAACACATCCACCCCATCAAGGGAAACCCCTGTCTCTCCCATACCACTCCCCACCCCGCCCTACCAGTCCCAGGTTGTACAGCAGATCGCTGCGGAAGCGCTCGTACATGGCCGCGTCCGTGCGCTCCGCCACCTGCCGGTTCAGCGCGCCCAGCTCGCCCTCGGTAGCCCGGTCAAACTCCTCCAGGCTGTAGCCCTCAAAGGCCGGGTAGCTGGGCAAGCGGGCCACGTGCCGCTCCCCGCTGCCGGTGCCGTACACCCGGCCCGCCACCTTGACGTCCAGGTAGGCAGCGACCGAGTCCCAGCTGGCGCGCTCGGCGGGTGTGGAGGGCGCGGTGCCGCCGGAAGCCGTCAGCGCGGCCGCCGCCGCGGCGCCCACGCCTGCTGTGAGCGCGTCTGCCTCCGCCACCGCCCTGCGCGCCCGCAGCTGCATGGCTGCCTCCACCTGCAGCGTGCGCGACACGGCGCTCGGGTCCGCCTCGGCCATTACCTGGTGAAGGAGGGAGGGGCACGGGAGAGGAGGATTGAGGAAGGGTGGTGACATGTTAGAACGAGCTGCTTAACGAGAGAGGCTTGCCAGGTTGGATCCCGGACCCATATCCCGGAGCCCCCTCCGTTGCCCGTTGCCGTAAAAAGCGCTGAACGATCTCCTGACCACCCACCTCCAGCAGGCGACGCAGCTTATCCGCCGGCACGGCTGCATGTCGGGGCGGACGGCTGCCCTCCTGCACCCGCGGCGCCATCAGGTCGGCCCACATGGCCTCCGCGCCCGCGTACTGCGCGGCCATCTGCCGCAGCTGCCGCAGCTCGCTAGCGGAAGGGGCAGCCGCGGAAGGGGCGGCTGGCGGGAGGGGGGGAAGAAGCGAACAACATACTGGTAAAGGAAATCCTGGCTGGCATGCTCTCTACCAGAGAACAGAAGGATTGGCGACATCAAGATAATAGAGTGGTATGTACACCGTAACAGCCCCTGCCTATGCACTCCCATGCATGGAGATCCGGTTACGCCGGGCCTCCCGCCAGCCCACTCCCCACCTCTCTGGCTGCTGGCGAGCGCGGGGTCCAGCGCCGCCACCTTGGCCCGCACCGCCGCCTGCGCGCCCACCAGCGCCTCCACAGCCGCCGCAACCGCCTCCAGCTTGCCCTCAGCCACCGGCAGGAAGCCGAACACGTCCACCGGCAGCCGCTGCAGCGGGACGAAGGAGCCCTCCGCAGCCGCCGGCTGAGCGGCCTCGGGGCCTGCTGTGCCGGGGCCTTTATAGGAAGCGTCCTTGGCGGAGCGAATCAGGTCCACGCCTAGGGCGTTGAGACGGATGGAGAGGTCGGGCTGCAGGCGCAACAGCGACCCACGGGTCGAGGGCGCCAACGAGAAGAAGACGCGCTGCATCAAGGCGTCGTCGGCGGCCTGAGAGAAGGCGATAGGGAGAGGGTTTTGATGAAGCGGTCTTCATCGTGGAGGGTGGGCAACAGGATTGGCATAATGCAGCGAACTTGCAGGAAAGGCATTCCAAATTCCATTCCCAGCATGGCCGTGCTCCACTTCCTCTTTTCCGCAGTGGCCCCAGTTCTCAGTCTACGCTCCTCATACCTGCAGCGCCTGCAGTCCCTTGTTCTGCTCCGCCCCCGCCTGCCCAGCCCCCGCCATGTCCGCCTCCACCGCCGCACGCAGCGCCGCCACCTGCCGCTCCTCCTGCGCAGCGAGGTGGCGAGGAATGGTGGGTAGCGGGGTTAGTATAAAACGCAGGTAAACGCACCAAGAAGCTGAGAAGAGCCTTGCAATCAGGATGGCGAGGCGGCCGGCTGAGGGCGCTTCCCATCTGGTACTAACCCCGCAACACGAGGCCAATCTGATTCCTACCTAACCTGCCCAGCCCCTGCACACGTCCAGTCACGCGTTTTACCCCTAACCAGCAAACTCCCCAGCAGCTCCCGCCTCCCTCCCTCCCCACCATCAGCAGCGGCGAGCCGGCTACCACCTCCTCCACCGCCGCCATAACCGCCTCCACTGCCGCGCGGTACGTCCCCAGCTCCGCCGCCAGGTAGGGAGCACCGCTGCCCTCCGCCGCCTCCCCGCTGCCCCCCAGCGTGCGACCCGCCAGCTCCTCCGCCGCCTGCAGGTCCGCCAGCAGGCCGGCGCGCATGTGGGCGGTGTCGTACCCGTGCGCCGACAGCAGCTCAACCAGCTGCATCTGCAGCTGCTGGGTAGCGGAGAGGACCTGCGCGGGGAGGAACGGGGTTGGGAAGGGGGCGAGTGGCGGGAGCTAAGGCGGTGGAACTTCTTGCTATATGCTGTTTCCGCCGATATCGACAACGACCATCCTCGTATTTTGCTGTTAGTTCAGAACCCATCCCCTTCCGCTCGCGGCGCTGCTGCCCGGCTCAACAGGACGACATGCAGACAAGCACCTCGCTAGCGCCCCAAGCCCCCTCCCCCCAGCCGGCCTCACCCGCGGCAGCACCGCCTCCACATGCGCCTCCTCAGCCGCCCCTAGCTGCTGCCCCGGCTCGGCCTGGCGGCCCAGCTGCGCCTCGGCGGTGTTGACGGGCAGCGCGTACGCGGCCAGCGGCCCCGACAGCAGCTTGCCCTCCTCGATACGTTGAGCCTCCAGCTCCTGAAAGGGGCAAGAAAGGGGGCACGCGAAGAGCGAAAGACACGTCTGGCTTGAAGGAAGAAGGGCGGAGAGGGATTCCTCTTTCCTGTGGGCCGCTTGGACAACGAGGCGGACTCATTTGCCGGGCGCCTAACCACAATGGTGCTGCTAGCGAGCAGCAGCGCCCCCTCCCCCATCCCCTCCCTCAGGCCCCCACGGCCGCACCTTGAGGGCCAGGATGGCGAGCACGCGCTGCTTGCGGATGCGGAACTTGTCAGCAAGCGCCTGGATCGACCACCTGCGCGGATGGACCCAGCCGGCATAGTGGTAACATGACAGCCACTTGCCGCGTGACGCAGTCGGCTTCCTAGCACACTTCCTTTCGTCTCACTTCCAGAATACTGCAATACACATTGCATTCTAAGGCCTGTTGCGCCAAGCCAAAGGTTTAACACTATCCGCAAACCTCCAGCTCCGCAACCCTGCCCGCCCCGGCCCTTGTCCGTACCGCTTGGAGTCCTTGGCCCTCAACAGGTAGATCAGGTTGCGTGTGTAGTCCGACAGCCGAGCGTCGCGGTGGGAGCCGGCGCGCCCGCCCGCGAACTCATGCTTGAACCAGTACACCTCGTTCTTAGATTGGTGGTGGATCATGTCCACCGTCACCTCGCCAAAGGGATTGGTGGTCATGTCATCCGCGATACCGGTGCGCGGGTCTCCGATGAGGCCAAAGTAGCCCTGTGGCGCGTTCTGCGTTGCGAGGTCCCAGCGCTGACGTGCTGGCTGGGCCTGCAAAGCTGAGCCGGCTGCGTTTGCGACCCCGCCTGCTCTTCCGGCACCCTCTGCTGGCCGGGAGTCAGTGCGCCTAGGGCCCCGAGGTCCTCCAGCACCACCAGCACCGCCATCACCACCGCCGGATTGCCAGCGACCGCGCCCGCCGTGCTGATGGGAGCCTCCACCACGGTCGCTTTGGTTCCGCGCATGGCTTCCAGATCCGTCGCTGCCACCAGCTTTTCGTGATTGGTTCCGCTGCTGTCCGTGCCCGGAATGCGGCGCTGCCGAAGTATGAATAGATGATGATGCTTCCCGCGACCAGGCCTGGCGAGCTTCAATACTCAGGTTATAAGTATTTTGAAGTAGAATAGAAACAGGGGTAGTTAGAGGTCCCTCTGCGGCATTACACGCTGCTAAAGCGTGCAGCGCGGCGCGTCGCATGGCCGCAGTGTTCCGCTAAGTAGCACAGCCCGTTCTGACAAAAACCTACAAGCACATTAAGCTTATGTTGCAAAGCCGGAAGTTTAGAGTATAAGTCACTGATGACATGCACAAGAGCACGTAAGGCCCGGGTGGAGCTCGCTGGCACGAAGACTTGAGGTGGCATCAGGCATTGTTGAAATGGTAACACTCTCATTTGCCTTACTGGCATTAATGCTAGTAACATGCAACGTTCCGGGGCCTCCTTCCCGTCCCTCTTCAGCGTGTTTCCGCATCCTGCAAATTACATGTATCTTATGCCTTTCTTTTGCCTATCTAGTAAAGCTTTACAAGTAGGAACCGTCACCGGGTATTGCCGCCGAGATGACTGCCACTGCAGTATAGTTCTGCGGTTTGGCAGACTACATAGTGCGTGGGCGATGTTATGTTTGGCATCCTTCAGGCTCTGAAGGTAACACACGTGTTCCGACGAAGCCGGCGTCCAAGTCCCACCATAGCTCTGCATGCGTGGGTGTAGTGGAAACCACTAACATGGCAAGCCACCGTCATGTGCTGCGACTAAATTGGCAGCCCACGCCTAAACATCGATGGGGCGTTTGGGGTGTACACCAACGTATTCATGTGCTCGTCCGTGAGGCCGTGAGGTGCTTCCCATAGTGCATGAGGGTGCAGGGCATGGGTTTACGATAAGTGGTGCCGTGCCTTTGGGTTGGGGTCCGCTCAGTTGAACAGCACGTGTGCAAACGTAATAAACAATAAGAGGTCTCAATACATGAGGGCCGGGTTAGGATTGCTACGCGCATTGTGTAGCAAGTACCCGCTGATGCGTAATCCTCTAATGCACCTCAGCAATCACAGGGCTGATATACCGATGTGTGGGCACTGGGGAATTATTCGGCCAGTGTCAGTTCTGCGGCTTAACACAACACGGCTACGCCAGGTATCAACCCAAATACATTTGGGTAGAATAGGTGCTTTGCACGGTTCTTGCAGTTGAGCGTTGACGGCTTGGAAACAATGCAAACCAGTCCTTCAGGTGATGAGTTGGCTGCAGGCTGGGTAACTGGTATATAATACGGCAGTGTGACGATATAGCCTCCTTCCAGACTGAGGTTCACATTGGGTCATTGCCAAGCATGCTTACCGCCGGTACACGTATCCACTCTTAGCAAAGAGGCACCAGTGTCACGGCACTGCCCGCATAGGTTCCTGATCTGGGTCGGGCGAAATGGGTGCCAACGTAACGACGGGCTTGTTCATTGCTGACGTGTGTACGTGACTAACACATGTGAATTGCTAAGCTCCACGTTCCTGTGGAATGTAGCTTGGCGTGCCGACGAATTGAAGTAAAACAGTTTTCCAACGGCACCCGTGCATGCCCTAAAAGCAGCAGCTCAGGCGTAGGGGAAGTCAATCTTGCGTATATTGGCAACGGCAAGTTTCGGGCACAATGCGCCACTTTACTTGTAAATCTTGCCATGGTCGGTAGATTTCGTTGTTGTTTGGACTTTGGGATGAGAACGCGGGAGGCCCGTCGAGCCAACAGGAAACCCATATAAGGGTTGATTTTTGTTTAGGTTCATCACCCAGTGTTAATTTTACATTTTTATCCTGGAACTGTGAGCTTCTGACGACAGAGCGGCGTTGCGAGTCCTCGCCTACTTTGCACCCAAGCCCTCGCGACCCCCATAATATATCTTCAGTATGGCCTTTTCAAGTTCTCTGCGATGCATCCTTGCTTGCGCTTTCCTAGCGAGCTGCCTTCGGGCCTCGTCAGCGGATGGTGGATGGACGACCGCTCGGGCAACTTGGTTTGACGTCGGCGACATGAGCAAGTAGGTGCTTCTCCTGCAACGTTCTTGCTTCGTTCCTTGAACGGGTCACGGGACCAAATTCCGTCGGCTTCACTGCTGATGGACTCGTCAGTCGATAAGATGTTCAAGTTTGCTGTTCAAGCTTGCTGAAGGCATACGTTGATCCTTTGCTGAATGCCCGTGATATCCATTAATGTTCCATTCCACAGGGCTAACTGCCACTTCTCGTGGGCACCTACTGGCCGAAACGTTGGAGCTTGGCCCGATCAGCAGAGCGGTTTCAGCTCCAGCTGCGGGTGAGTCACACGGCTCTGCTAATCATCAATCCCTGTCCAGATACACAGATTTGCTGGCACCTTCTAGAATCGGACAATTTTGGTCCTGCACTTACGAAAGCCCTCTCTCGCTGTCCCCACGTGCAGCAAATGCTACGAGGTCAAATGCCGCAACGCTAACATCGTCGACGGCTACGGCCAGAGTCTGCAACGCACCAACGCCTGCTACGACGAGAACAAGTCCGTCATCATCACGATTGTGGATGCTTGCCCCTGCAAGGTAAGGTGGCCAGGAACTAGGGACTGGCAACATTTTTTGAATGCTCCCTTGCTGTTGGACCTACCTTGCATTACTTGTGTTGTTAGTTAAATGTTGCCAATGCCAATACATCGTACATGCCTTCCGCCTTTAGCTGAATATCCCTCCATAACCCTGCCTGCTGCGCCCCACAGTACCCCAACAACGCCTACAGCAACCAGCGTTGGTGCTGCGGCGACATGAACCATGTCGACATCTCCCAGGAGGCGTTCCAGCAGGTGCGGTTGGTGGCTGTGTCTTACACATCGTCTGTATCCCTGCCACAATGCACCAACCAGATGTTACATTTCGCCCAGCCAGAAACCATTGGCTGAAGTTCGTTTCAAGCATACAACGGCCGATCGCTTTCACCTTCGTACAGTTGACCCACATCGCCGCCACTCTCCATCCCCCACCCCTTGCAGCTCGCCAACCTCGACATCGGCGTCATCGGACTTTCCTACCGCGAGGTGGACTGCTCCAAGGCCGGTACGCAGGGAGACGTCAACAGCGGCAGCGCCTCCTCACCCAGCTCCAGCGGCTCCAAGTCGGCTGGCAGCGGCTACAGCACCGGCACCGGCTCAACGCAGCAGCAGCAGGGGCAGCAGTCCGCTCCCGCTTGGGCTAGCTGGGCTAAGGGCTGGTCGGGTGGTCGCTGGCGCTCGCGCAGCTTCATGTAAGGGGTGCAATGGAAAGCGTGATCAGCAGGATGTGAGCTGAAAGCTTGAGGAGTACATATCGTGAGTAGGGTGGCTATTTAAGGCTTGGTGCAAGTGTTTGGCAGTGATGAGCGAGCCGCTTCAGCGTCCGAAGAGAAGTAGGTAGCGCATGTTGTGAACCGATAGGTCGTTAAATCTTTCTGACACGGCGCATGCGGCCATTGCCGGTGGAGCCTGCGCAGTGATGTTGGGATGAATAGGAATCGTACATACGGGGTTTGTTGCTGGCTTAGCTGGAGAAGAAGTTCGTGTGTGGTGTGTATGCATACATGGCACCCGAAGTGGCTGAACCTTTAGTCTGTACCACTAATGTAGTAGATACCAGTTCCAGTTGTAACGTCGAATGACACATGAATAATTGAATGGCCGGTACAGTGATCCCAAACCCCGCGCGAGTGCAGCTGGGCCCACCCACCGCACTCAATAGGCTTTCTTGAGGAGCCTTGTGTGCACTTTTTGCGCTTTTCGTCCTGCTGATGTTAACGTGCTTCTGGTTCAACGCTTGGTCCTCGCCCTGGTCGGCGGGCGAACCGAAAGGCAAGGAAAGCGGACAATACCCAACCGTACACTGGAAGGTAAAGGTTAGAGCCCTGGGACTCAGAAACAAGCCCGGAACTGCTTTGCTAACAATAGAATGGATCCACTTCACGTGTGGCAGTTTCACAGCTTAGATGGTTAACGGCATTGCCGGACCAGCATGCCCCCGTACGGATGGGTTGAATATGCCGACACTAAATTTTACAGATTTGCTGTCCTTGACGCTTAGGTTGCATTGCAGTGCCCCACCTAGGGGACCACCTTCGTTAGTGCGGAACGTGCGTCAGGTACGGTAGTTAGATGCGAATGCCACAAGGGGGACCGCGGACCGGAGCGTGGGGTACGGCAGTTTCGCTGTTAAGAAGGTACAGACGCGTACGACAATCGTTACATGGCTAAGCCTACCTTGATGATCTACCTAATAGCGCTCAATGCATACTAAATTGAGGATGCATTGCAACTTACCGTTATAGCTAGCCAACGCACGGGCGCTATAAAAAAGTTGGCGGCCCACGGAGACGATTCCGTAACCTTGCCTGGCTGGCCTGATCGACAGTTACGTGTTTAGAAATGGCTGAAAAGCGAACATTACCAGTGGATACTGATGAAGACGGACACGTCGAGGATGTTGGGACTATTGTTCCAGCAAAGAAGGCCCGCACAGATCAGGAGCTGGTCGTGGGCACTGTAACAAAAGATGTACGTTAAAATTACTTAAATGGCATATTGGGTAAACAGTCAACCTCTTGCGCGACCATGAATGCCTATACTTGTAGGGTATCACCCGCACAAGCAACCTTTCAGCTCCAATTATTCAGCTATCGGGCCATGCTGGCGAGCTTTTCTCATTGCGGTTCAGCCCAGATGGTCAGTGTCTTGCCTCATCGTCCTTTGATAAAGACATCTTCTGCTGGCGTGTCTATGATGAGAATGAAAACTACATGGTTATTAAGGTGGGTGCGCAACGGACCATCTCTAGTTACACTCCGCTGTGCTTGGCCCATCCAACCTTGTCCTCGTAAGCCCTTCCCGTCACACCGCACATCGTTTCAACCACTATAGTCAAGAGCCCTTCCGTGCTCATTGCATTATCGCCCGCAGGCTGCTTGTGTTTAAAGCCACCGTATCCTAACCTTCCCACACGCATGGCGTTTGGACCTAACCTCTTCACGTTTCGTCCTCGCCTGTCAGCAATGTGGAGGGCTACTGGTCTGCTCCGCCTCGCACATCCACATTCCTGCGTGCCCCTGCCTCCCTCGACCCTTCCCGCTCCTCTGCCCGCATCCCTCCCCTCCCGCGCCGCCGCACAGGGCCACCGCAACGCCGTGTTGGAGGTGCACTGGTTCACGGACGGCGAGGCGCTGCTCAGCTGCTCGGCGGATAAGACAGCCAGGTGCTGGGACACGGAGACGGGGCAGCAGGTGGGGCAGGGGCTCCAAGGAGGGTGGTGCAGGACACCCTGGGAAGGGGAGGGGGTCTGGGCCGGGATGCGTGAGGAAATTTATATGGAGATGGGTGGCGAGCACTATGTGGCTTGAGAAGGCTAGAGCCAACGGGCTCCGTTTATCGGCTGGCATTAGGTGGAGTATCATGGCCCGTTGTCTCTGTCCTTTGCGGGCTCCCTCTGCAAACAACTCGCTCCTTCCTGCCACTCATGTCGTACCCCATCCCTCCAGATTAAGAAGCTGGGCGAGCACACCGGCATCGTGAACAGCTGCTGCCCGCTGCGGAGGGGCGCCAAGATGTTCGTGACGGGCTCGGACGACAACACCGTCAAGGTAGGCGGTCTTGGGGATTGGGTCGGGGGAAGGAATCGGGCCAGGGTTGGGGAGGCGATGAGAGGGTTTGGGCGTCTTGCTTGCTTGCTTGCTGGTTGGTGGTGGGGTAACGGTGGTGGTGTGGCCGCGGGAGGGAGGGGTGCGGGGCACGGGCGGCTGGGTAGGCCAGGGAAAGGAGCCTACTGAGGACAGTTCTGCAGGGAGCCCTCGTATCCACCATCGAGCCAGCTCCTCGACCTGCGCATGGGCCAATTGCCGCTGCGCATCCTTCACGTGTTTCTCAACCTGTCCCGCTCACATCTCCTCCCAGCCTCACCACAACCCCCTTCCTCTTCTCTGATGCCGCCCTCCCGCTCCCCTCCTACTCCTCCCCAGCTGTGGGACATGCGCGTCAAGAAGTCCGTGCAGACGCTACGCGGCTCCTTCCCGGTGTGCGCGGTGGCCTTCGCGGACGCGGGCGACCAGGTGTTCAGCGGCGGGCTGGATAACACCATCAAGCTGTGGGACCTGCGCACCCAGGGGGGCAGCAGCGGCGAGGCGGCGGAGCCGGTGCTGCTGCTCAAGGGGCACAGCGACAGCGTGACTGGGCTGCGGCTGAGCCCCGACGGCACCCACCTGCTGTCCAACGCCATGGACAACACGCTGAGGGAGTGGGACGTGCGGCCCTACGCGCCGCCCAACCGCTGCACGAAGGTGTTCACAGGTGGGCTACGGGAGGGGGGGGGGCGGCGGCAGGAATGGGTGTGCGGGTGGTGGGTGCTGCATGCAAGGATGCGGCTTATCCACATGGCTTGAGGGCATTGTATGGTGGTAAATGCAGAGGGGCTAAGCTGCCTTGGGACACCTGCCGACAGCGCGCACCTTATTGCGCGACCCAGCTTCTCCCTCGCTACGCGGCCCCTCTCTGTTCCTTACCAAACGGCCCCTCTCGCCTCCCGTCTTTCCCGCCGTCCTCCAGGCCACATACACAGCTTCGAGAAGGGGCTGCTGCGCTGCGACTACTCGCCGGATGCCAGCCAGGTCACGTGCGGCAGCGCGGACAGGATGGTGGGGCGGGGAGGGAGGGGCGGGGGAGGGGGCCTGTGAACACGGGGGCGGTGTTAGTGGGTTAAGAGAAACCAGCCCTTCCTAAAGCAAACCGCAAGTGAAGGCATGTCGGCCATGATGGGAAGCGTAGAGCGTGTGAAAGGGGGCGTTAAGACCGTACAGGATGGTGAAGGATAGAGGAGCTGCATGAAGCACGTACAACACCTGCCAGCCAAGTGCTAGCCTCGGTTTGGACGCGAAGCGCGGCACGGCTGGCGCCGCCTGCACCCGTACACTAGCACCGCCACACGCCCCACACTTCCAGCCCTAACCGCTCCCATACCTGGCCGCCTGCCTCTCCTGTTCCCCGGCTGCTCTCGCCCTCTCTCCCCATGAGTCGGGATATGGGATTGGGATTCGTTGTTTCACTTATTTTCCTCCCCTGCCCGGCCGCGCAGGTGTACGTGTGGGACAGCTCCTCGCGCAAGGTGCTGTACAAGCTGCCCGGCCACACCGGCAGCGTCAACGAGGTGGTCTTCCACCCCAAGGTGCGCTGCGGAATGGGGGAGAGGAGGGGAGAGAGGGAGAGGCAGGGAGGGGTGCGGCTACAGCAGCGAGGGGGGCAGGGGGTCGAGTGGCAGGTGAGGGCTGGGCTACGCTGTTCCATGCCTAACCGGACATGTAGCCACTTCATTCTTCTGAAGAGAATCGCTCTCCTAAACTGGGCAACATCCGAAGAGGTTTGCAAACGTGACTCCCAACCCTCCCTTCTTCCCCCCTCCCACTCCCCAGGATCCCATCATTGCGTCTGCCTCCAGCGACAAGACCATCTTCCTCGGGGAGCTGGCGGCATGAGGGGCAGCAGCAGGAGGAGGGAGGGGTAGGGGCTGCAGCACGAGGAGGAGGCATGTAGACGGGGGCACATGGCGCAGCGAGCTTGCATGCAGGCGTGACGCTAGGGTGTATGCGTGAGCGGTTGTGTTGAGTTGCTCAGGGAATCTCTCACCTCGTGTTTATCCCTTTATGCTAAAGCGCATGCACCTTCTCCAGTGCAAGGCAAGGGAGGCGGAGCTGGTGGTGCTCAAGCAGTCATACAGTATGCCGCTGCAGTCATAGGGGAGTAGTGCAGAGGGGCTGCCGGGTGTCAGGGAGGTTGGGCAGGAGGTTCGGGCTCCCGGCGAGCAGGGATGAGCCGGCGGGAGGCGGGGACTGCGGGAGGGAGGAAGGGTTCTTGCCCGCCTGGCCAGCTGCTCCAGTTGGTAGGCGGAGTGGCGGTAGGCTGCATGGGCGGCATGGCGCTGGCAGCAGCAAGGGCCGGCGGCTTGGGCTCCTAGCATAGCGTCGGTTCCAGCTCCTGTCTTAGGGTCCGGGGCCGGGCTGATGATGGCCGCGGGTGTTGAGGAGAATTGCAGCCATGTCGGTGTCGTGCCTTGGGTAGTGTTAAATGCGATTTCCGTCCCCTAGTCCCAGGCCCGGCCCCTCGCTCCCGAAGGATGTCCTCGATGTGTAAGGCGCCCCTCACGCAAGGCGCCCAAGACGAGCTATGCACATGCTGTACTAATATGTTGTTATGCAGCGTGCCAGCAGGCATCACAGCTGAGCCACTGGTGGGTGCAGCACTCCTCCGCGGTCTACATGACGCTGACTAGTGGGCCAAAGCCGCATGGACTGGACAGCAGTTGCGCTCTTTCCGTGTAGTCATTTCACAGCGAACAATACTTCGCATAGAGCGCTGTCAGGATCGAGACACGAGTCATGTCCGAGCTAACGGCTGGTGTACGATGTTCGCCTTAATAAATTGCATTAAAGGCTGCATAATTGCAGGTTACAAACCATCTATTGACTCCCAACTCTAACTGATGCTTCAAGCCTAGTGCATAGGTCAACTTAGGGACAGGAATTGTCGCCCTTGCGCCTCCCCTGGGGTGCCGGTTCGCCAGCTCAGGCCGGCCTCGCAGCTTGCTGTTCTTCACGTCAGACGTCGCGGCAACTTCACAATTTTAACTCCTTTATTTTAATACTTAGAAGTAAGTGACGGCCCCTCGTTCATGCGTTCGTGCGCACATGTCGGACCAACCTGTAACGGCCCGCAACGGCCATGACGAGATGACGACCCCTCGCTCTGCTGCGTCCCTCCATGCAGTTTAAACCTCATACACGACGTTATACTAGCCATGAACACGAGGGCTGCAACTGGTAAGCCGTACGTGTAGGTTTAGGCACGTCGGTTTCGGCTGCTGCCGCATCTTCAAGCATTAGTTCTACTCCAGAAGCCTGCTGAGCCTATTTCTAATGCCATGACTTATAGACCCTTTGCGTTATCATCAAGTCTCTTATCACCCGCTTCACCACTGCTTGACGTTTCACAGCAGGTGCGATGCCGATGTTGGCGCCATTGCACGGCGCAAGAGGCTCAGCCTTTGCTTCCAGCGCAGTGTGCCAGTACTGCAAGGACAACGCACGAACCATCCTGGCAACGGCCGCCGTCGCTGCTGCCGCGTACCTCTCGTACCGGGCCGCCACCAGGGCTGCCCCTCGTTCGTCCCCTCGTTCTGGATCGCAGCTGCTGCAGCAGCAGCAGCCTCCGCCGGCCGCACACGATCAGCCGCAGCAGGAGCAGCCACAGCCGCTGAGCCCCCACCAGCAGGCGCTGCTCGACTTCGCCCGGGCGGAACCCCCGGCGATGGACGCCGCCACGTCCGTGCCAGCTCTCCGCAAGTTCATAGCTGAGGCGGGTCATGAGGAGCTCAGCCGCACGTGCCTCGGGAAGCCGGAGTTTCTGAAGGTGGCCCAGGAGCTGCGGAACGGGTGGGAGGTGCGCCGCGCCATGGCGTGCGCGCAGCTGGGCAGGCAGGGCGACTTCGCGCTGTTCCGCATCAGGCCAGATGCCCCGGTGAGCCGGGCGGACCTCCAGCTGGCGTTCATGGCGCTGCGGCTGCAGCTGGACCCCGACAACAACCCGGATGACATGGTGGCCGTGCCGGCGTTCCAGTACCTGCAGGAGGCCCACCAGCGGCTTTATGCCCTGGCCCGCGAATGAGGGAAGAAGCTGCTGCGATCGTCGGCGGGTCGTGTCTGTGAACGCCTAGGGAGGCTGCATGGGAAAAAGCTGGCGCAATCTTGTGTTTGCGCGAATAGATAGGGGCATCATGGTCGGTTCTATGTGTCGGCGATGAGGTGCCATATGGTTGCAAAATATTCCTAAGAGCAGATGCTGGTATGCATGCAGGGGCTTTTATACGTAGCCGGTTTAACAGTCGCCCGCTGCGTATCAACCAGACAGCTGAGAGAGTACGGTAGGAAGCAAGCAATACATGCATTTGAGGGGCCAGCTAATGGGTAGTTGGTCGTTGCTTGAGGGAAGGCAACACGAGTTTACAGTTGGACAAGGATTGCTGCTTGTTATGCATACTGTATTATACTTAATAGAATTTCACGGCTGGACATGGGACGTGGAGGCCGAGCGTGTACAGTAACACCCTGGCCTTTGCTGCATGGTGTGGGTTGGTAGCTAGCTTTGCAGTCTTTCCATCCTTCTAGCGCACCCGTTATTAGTACATAGTTGGTATCATAAGGCATCCGTGTGATCGGAGCTAGGCCCGGTGCCGGGCTTGCCATGCTTTGGCGCAAGGGCAGCAACACCCGGTTGTAATGAATTCTCCAGCCGGCTTTCTAGTGTGGTGCATTAACAGCCATGAACAGAAGGGCGTGGCGCTATTCTTGTCGTCGCCAATCCAGGCAACTAGGACCCATGGGTCATCACACCGATCCTGGCTTACCATGTGTGCCCAACCGAAAAGCTCCCAATTACAATGCAGGCTTTAACCTGGCATACTGTACTACTGGTATTTCAAGTGTCATCCCTGGCTCTTCTTGTCACTGCGGCCCAGTCTGATGACTACCGGCGGTAGTCGGCAGCCATGCGCCCAGTACGTGCAAGCAAGCAGACACTCTTTCGTGGCTAGGAGTCATGGCGGCACCTACATAGGTTGAAACCTGGGTGGAAGGAGTGTCAGGAATAACAGCGGAGGTTGAGGACCTTGCCTAGGCTTACAGAGGCAGCCCTTCGTTCCCGCCTCAAGGTCTGGGGCCAGTTCGGATGCGCTTCATTAGGCATTGGCCCGGCGCGCGGGGTTGCTTATGCAGCTAAAGCCTTAACACTGCATGCTTTTGCAAAGCTGGTCAACCATTGTAGAAGGCCTCGCTCAAAGCAAGCTGTTGCGAACCCAGTGACCTGCAGCCGCGTCTCATGCGTGCTCTCTCACGCGCCTGAGACCCGGGGCCCGCTGCCAGCGAGGCTGCACCCGTCCGCATGATCCGGCTTGCCGTGCAGGAGGTTTACTGGGATGGAGTTTCAGCAACGCAGGCCTAAACGTTTCTGTGAGGTGACGTGTGCCTTGCTTTAATGCTGGCTAATGAAGGCTGTGGACCGCGGGCGGGTCTAGGGCTTCACACAAGGCATGACGTTGAAGTGCAACATAGCTGGGGCACGCAGTTCTTATTCATCCCGGGGTCCAAATAACATGAGGCAGCGAGCTGCTTCCGAATCGGTACGCAGGCACGAAGCATGCAGGCAGCGTGCCTAGTTCCCAAGCTCAAATGTGCCAACACGCACGAAGCAGTCAGCAGTTGCATTGTCCTTGACCAACTTGCCATAGTGTCCCAACGTCATCATGTTACGGTTGCTGTGCAACGTCGCGTCGTACAACACGTCCATGCAGCCTCGTGCAAGCGTATAAAGCTACAGCAAAAGGGCAGAAGAAGCAGATTAGTTGTCAATACCGTCATTCGTTGCCTTATACAAATTGTGACAGCCAGCGACAAGAAACGTCGGCCTTATGCCTTCTCCGCAGTGCCGTTTCGCCGGCCTTGCAACTCACCCGCAACTTGCCGCATCCCTGTCGCCTAACTTCGCGGCTGCCGCTTAACCAGGATGATAATCGTAATTTTCCATTCGGACTTTGAGTAAGTCTTTGGCATCCTACTTTTCACCACGAAGAAATGACGTCGCATGCTGCCTCGGACGTAACGACTTGCAACGGCCTTGACGACTAGCTTGCTGCTGCTCCCGTGCAGTTTCTGGCAGGGCCTGATCAAGGAAACACCTATTCATAAGCCAAAAGCTGGTGAGTTGGGTTGCTTAGAGGATACCGGGCATGAGTGCCGCACTGCCCGTCAAGGATTGGTTGGAAACGTTTCAGTCGCCAGCTGCACGCTGGCCGCACATGCACTGTTACTTAAACTTGACCAAACAATGCGAGCAGAGGTATAATGTTATCAAATGGCCGACACGGTCCCACTTTCCCATACATTGTACCAACCCTAATGCAGGTGTGCCCTTGGAACCCATTCCTACCTGTGCCTTGCCTAGCACTGCTAGCTCCTTCCGGAAAGGGGCCTTTGGATACGGCTGGCGGCTACTAGCTAAAGCCGCTGGCATTGCCATCCTCGTCAGTGGGAGCGCGTACCTGTTGGCCCAACTCATCCGCCGCGCTCGTGCGTCTGCCGATGCTGCTGGTCGAGGTGCCGGGGGCAGAGGTGCTGCAGCCGGCAGCAGCGGCAGTGGTGCCGGTGGCAGCGGCAGTGGTGCAGGGTGCAGCCGTGGTGCAGCCGGGAGTGGCGACAGCCGCCCGGCAGGTGCACAGCAGCCTGATGAGCCGCCCTTCCATCCCGCGCAGATGGAGGCACTGAGAGGCTTCGCGTGGGCACATGCCCCAGGGCTGGACGCCAACACGCCCGTGCAAATGCTCCAGCGATTCCTAATGGAGGCCGGTCTGCCGGAGGAGGCACTGTTGTACATCGAGAAGCCGGAGCTCCTGCAGCAAGCCATAGAGCTGCGGAACACATGGGAAGTGCGGCGCGCATTGGCGTGCATGCAGCTGCCTGACGGGTACTTCGCGCTGTTCCGCATCAGGCCTGGCGAGCACACAACCCGGGCGGCGCTCAAAAGGCAGTACCATGACCTCCTTCTGCGGCTGCACCCTGACAAGAACCCAGGCAACGACCTGGCCGGGGAGGCGTTCCTGTACCTGAAGGAGGCCTACGAGTGGCTCAAGGCGTGAGGCTGGTCAGGGGTGCGCCTGCTGGCGTAGAGTTTCCTTAGCGCAAGACGTCATACATACAGGGATGTTTAGAGAAGGACTGTATGAGTAGCGCCAATGCCCTCTTTGCATGCAAGCAGTGGGAGAGACTGTCAACTGTTTTGAGCACGTTCTGAAGATATTTGGTGGCATGGAAGGCAAAACAAAGCCATTAATAGTCCGGTTAGTGGCATAGCCTGGGTCAGGCCGGTAAGGCACTGCAAGCCTGCCGCAGGTAGATAATGAGAGATGAGGGCTGGCCCCTTATGCTGAGCTTACGTAGTAGCTTTGGCGTTGAAGGTGAATGTCTCTTTCCATCGAGTTTATTGTGGAATACATTTATAGCTTAGGTATGGGTGGTCATGTGTTCATGGCGACCTGCATGCTAACATCACGCAGCTGGCATAGTCTTTTACCTACTTGTGCCGCGTAGTAAGGATTAGACAGTATCTGTGTTTCCCCTTCCCCTTCCCGCTTCGGCTATCGTTCTCTTTATTTGATGTAGTGGCCAGAAGAGCCCTGGAATATACTAAATATCTGCGTCCTTTATTCAGGATGACTAAGAACCATGACCCATGGGTCGCCATACAGACCCCAAGCTTGCTATTGGTGTCCCTTAGGTGCGCTCTCATCCACATTGCTTGTTTGGCTTAGCCTACCTAGTAACTGGAGGTTATAGTGTCTAGTGTCCCTCCTCCTAGCTTTTCCTTTGCGACTGTGGCTCAGCCTGTTGACGGTTCTGCCGCCATGCGGCCTGTGCATGCTAGTAGAGACCCTAGGTCGGCGGAGGCTAGGTCGGCGGGTGCTGATCGGCGCAGGCTAGGTCGGCGGGTTCAAGGTCGGCGCGGGCTAGGTCGGTGGGTGCTAGGTCGGCGCAGGCTAGGTCGGCGGGGGCCAGGTCGGCGGGTGCTAGGTCGGCGGGTGCCAGGTCGGCGGGGGCTAGGTCGGCGGGTGCTAGGTCGGCGCAGGCTAGGTCGGCGGGTGCTAGGTCGGCGCAGGCTAGGTCGGCGGGTGCTAGGTCGGCGCAGGCTAGGTCGGCGGGGGCTAGGTCGGTGTGGTGCTAGGTATGCGCGTGCTAGGTGGGTGGGTGCTAGGTCGGCGGGTGCTAGGTCGGCGCGTGCTAGGTCGGCGCGTGCTAGGTCGGCGGGTGCTAGGTCGGCGCAGGCTAGGTCGGCGGGGGCTAGGTCGGCGGGGGCTAGGTCGGCGCAGGCTAGGTCGGCGCAGGCTAGGTCGGCGGGGACTAGGTCGGCGGGGGCTAGGTCGGTGTGGTTCTAGGTCGGCGGGTGCTAGGTCGGCGAGTACTAGGTCGGCGCGTGCTAGGTCGGCGCGTACTACGTCGGCGCGGGCTAGGTCGGCGCAGGCTAGGTCGGCGCAGGCTAGGTCGGCGGGGGCTAGGTCGGCGGGGGCTAGGTCGGCGCAGGCTAGGTCGGCGGGGGCTAGGTCGGCGGGGGCAAGGTCGGCGGGGGCTAGGTCGGCGGGGGCTAGGTCGGCGCGTGCTAGGTCGGCGCGTGCTAGGTCGGCGCGTGCTAGGTCGGCGGGTGCTTGGTCGGCGGGGG